TCCCTGGTCATTCCCCCTAGAAATGACTTGATTACCGTATTGGCCCGAATATAAGATGCACCCGCAAATAAGCCACACTCTGAAAATTGAAGGGGGGGGGAACCACAATACAAGGGCTGCTTCCGGGGGGGGAGGGGGGGAGGAGAGCCGCACTGCTTTGCCAGCAGCGTAAGGTCGTGAATATGAGCCACACTTTTTACTGTCAGAATTTGGGGGGAAAGTGTGGCTTACCGTATTTTTTGCACCATAACACTCACTTTTTTCCTCCTAGAAAGTAAGGGGAAATGTCTGTGCATGTTATGGAGCGAATGCCTGCGGGTGGCGGGGGGGGGGATCTGCTGCAGTCGTGAGCAGAGGATCCATGGTTCCCCTTCCTTCCCTCCTCCGTGGTTACAAAGCATGGATCCACATGGATCCTCAGGATTTTTTGCATTGGGCTACTCCAAACTCACTGTCAGATCACATGTCTGTGGCCACAGCATGAACCACAAAAATCATATATCCACTATTTCGTTTAGAATATTTTTTTTTCTTGTTTTCCTCCTCTAAAAACTATGTGCGTGTTATGGTCTGGTGCATGTTATAGAGCGAAAAATATGGTATATTTGGGTCAATACGGTAGGTGGTGGATTCTGTTATCCTTTTCCTCCCTGTTTTTCTTTGCAAGAAGCCTTGGAGGATATTAAGCAAGCTGGAACAATAGAAGCAGCGGGTGGGAGTGAGGTTGCCCACCATGTCAGTCTGCCAACCAGAGTCATGCATTCTTCCCGTGGGTGTTCATCTTTCTAAGCCTGCATTGTGTGTGAGGGGCAGAGAGAGAAATAAATTTTCCTCACAGTTAGATTGGAAAAGAAAATGTGTTTCAAATGTGTTGTACATGTGATGTAACGCTGTAACAGCAGATGGCGCTGTGGAGTCCCACCTTTCCCAACCGGATTTCCCTGTATGAGTTACAACGTGTTTAACTGAAACTCTTCTTGGATGTCTAGAGCAGCTTCCGTAGGAGAAACAAGGGAGCCAAGCTTGCAGCAGGAGGAGCAGTGTGTGTAGGTCAGCCTTTGTTTCTTTGCTAGAATCCTTCATTTCTCTCCACGCTGCCTTCCTCCAGCACGCCTGCTCAGGTCCCCCCTCCCACTTTCTTGGGATCTTTCTCTCTGATAGCATTTCCACTCCCCTCAATTTTCAAACACCACAGCTCAAGCTAGAAAGCCCACCTCAGATTCTTTCCATGTTGTCTTAGGTTAAAGTTTACCCCTCCCTCATAGAGTGACAATGCCCAGCACCCTTACCGAACCACAGCTGCCAGTTATTCCTTGGGGAAAGCTGTATGTTTTGTGTATGGTGTGCATGTGATGTGACACTGCCAACTACAAACCACACTCTCAGTTTCCTCAGATAGACATATCCTGTATGCTTTTTTATTCCCAATCCTCTTCTGTCTGATTTGGATCATTGTATGAGCAGCCATTGGTCATATCCCTGTCCCAGTCACTTTATTTGTTCAGTTGAAATATTCTGTGTTTGTTTTGTTTTTAGTATGTATTGTGTATAAAATAAACAAGCAAATGGCACTCTGATGAGAGGAACTTTATAGCTAAAACTCTCCCGGGCAGCATTAACAACCACAGGAGCCGTGTCCTGCATGGAAGCAATAGCGAAACAGTCATCTTGTTCTCTGATACATTCAAGTCTCACTTAAAGGACACACTCATCTCTTCTGGCCCCTTTTCTCTGGCTCATCTTGTTCCTGGTATACCTTTCCCTGCAAATGACAGCCACTCTCCACAGCTGTTTCCTGCTTGCCTTTCTCCCTGCCTCCCACTCCAGCAGGATTTCACTGCCTCTGAGCCACATCTGTCACTGTGTCAGAAGGAGCGCCTTTGTTATGCGTTTGCTGGTTCAACACAGCTTCCCGTAGTTCTCAGGGAAGGTGTATCCCCCTCCCTGCACCCTCAGCTGTAGTGGAAATGTCATGCAAGCCTCAAGTGGAAGTGGGACACCTGCAGCAGGAGGGGGGGATAGCACCTTTGCCCTCCTCCAGCCCATCCATCACTGCATCACAGGGTGGTTGCTGTTTTTGAAAAAGAGCAAATGAGTTTCCTTACTGGAAACGCCACACAGCTGTGGAGCTGTGCCCTGCACAGGGCAGCAGAATGCGGCAGTCGTTCAGGGTTGGTAGAAGTGGCTGAACTGCTACAGGGTGGGGAAGTCCAGGACTGAGGTATCACCCCATGCCTGACTTCATCCACTGCAATACCATACTTTCTTCAAAGCTTGAGGCAGCTGTCAAAATATAAAATCAGTTAATAAAACACAAAAAATAAATAGGCACAGCTGAGAGAGGATGGGGGGGGGGGGGAGTAGCACGATGCTCGAAAAGCCAATCTAAAAAAATGTGAGTTTTATACCTTCAACAGGGAAGTGCCCCAATTCACACCTAATTCTACAGCTTTGGAGCTCCACACGGGGGAGGGAGAGGCAAGCGGATCCCCAAGGTGGTTATTATGATTATTTGATTATTTGAAGGAATGGCACTATTCACGGTTGTTGACATCCATCTGTCTCGGGAGACCATGGTGGAGTGTGCCTTCGAGGGTGAAGTCAAACCATTGCATTAGCACTGAAGTGACTTCCCTGGGGTGCAAGCCTGGGCAGTGTGCTGTGGCTGATACAGGAGAGACATGTTTTATTGCAGCTGGGGCAGATGAAGGTGCCTTGTTTCACTACAACAGTCACACCATGGCATTTCTTCTCTCTGCACTCCTCCAGAAGAAGCCACTGAGGGTAGTAGAATTATCTGCCTTATTGGCTATCAGTAATGAGTAATTGAGGTATGGATGAAAGCACAAGCTGCAGAGCTGTGCCAGACAAGGAATCTCTGGACTGGCTTATGCAAACCAGTCTGGCTGGCAAATATGTTAAGGTGGCAAAGGGGATTGATGGGTCATCTGAGAGAAATCCTTTGGCCTGGGAAGACAGATGTTGCCAAGGTGATGGGGTGTGTGAAGTGAGGGGAAAAGAGATTTTTTAGCAACATGTTCTGAGAAGAAGAATGGGAGGGGGAAAAGACTGGAATCCATATTAGGCAGGCTGGCTGAAGGCAGGCTAGGAGCATAGCTGTCAACTTTTCCCTTTTCTTGTGAGGAATCCTATTCAGAATAAGGGAATTTCCCTTTAAAAAAGGGAAACGTTGACGGCTATGGCTGGGAGAGAGGCCTTGAATTGCATGGCTGCCCTGACGCAGGGTACAAGCTCCTCTTGAAATGGCCACGCTGTGAGATCTCGACTCCTTCCATGCAGACTGAAGGTGTAAATAGGTGAGTAAGCCATATTTCTTAAAGCTACGACAGTCTCTGCTGTCTCTTATTCCTCCAAAGGAACACAGAAATGGATCATGCCTATTTCAGAGTAACATTCCTGATACAAAAATTACCCCACCTCTTCATCCATCAACCCAGTTCCTTACAGTCATGTAGCCCTTAAAATGGGTTGGTTGATGCCATCCTGAGGGATTAAACTAGGTATGCTTTTTAGATAGATATACAGTGCTATTTTTCTAGAAAAAGAGGTGCCGGAACTCACATGAACTAGGTTACATTCTAAATAGTGCACAGTAGATACGCATACAGACAACTTATTGGGAAGGTACAATGATCACCCATAATGTTTTGTAAATGCTGGGCAGATGGCAAATGGATTGCAGATTTCATGGGGGAGGGATGGGGAACCCATGGCCCTTCAGATATTCCTGAACGACAATCCTGGTTGTCCCTAGGCATTGGTCATGGTGGATGGGCTGATGGGAGCTGGAGTCCAGCAACATCTGGAGAACTCGAAGCTCCATCTCTGTCCTAGGTAAAAAATGCTCATTATTATCCCTCAGGGGAAAGGTTGAAGGGGAAAGTGGAAGAAAATTTACCAGTCAGGTGTGCCAAGGTTGCCTGGGTAGGATTTTATTTCTTTAGCTGGAACATGACATGTTTCAACACACACATGGAGGATGTTGGACAATTAATGCTTTTCCTACCCGGGAAGATGGGAGAAAAAGATGTGAACTGGGAGATATTTCCCCTCTACTCAAAGCAGACATGCCCCATGGGGGTGTGGGGTGTCCATCCTGTGTATCTACCTGCAAGATGCTTGCAGTATGTGACAGGAAAGATGCTCTGCTGTGGAAATTCTAGGTCAGAAGTGAGGGAGTTATGGCCGCCAGATGTTGGGCTCCACCTACCACCAGCCCCTAGCTGCATGACCTGTGGCAGTAAACATCTGGAGGGCTACCACTTCCCCATTTCCTGTTGGACCAGAGAGCATTTAAAAAATAAATACTACATATAAATAAAAGCATTTTATCACTGGGCTTTATCCACAGTCACATATTTAAGAATTCACAGTGCAGCTCCCAGGACTCATTGCACAATATGGACACCAACTTTCTCTGGCATCTTGGTCTGAAGCAGGTTCACTTGGAATACAGTCCTGCCACTTTTTATGAGACTTGTTTCATGCTGGGCAGGCCTGGAACCATCACATATGAAGTACAGCAAACAGCATTCGTGACTATTTTTTCACCATACACTAGGGCCGGATTTAGGCCCTTTCTATGTCCAGCTGTCCTTTGTCAACAACAAATTGTCCCTGTTTTTTGTGTTGAATATATGCTATATGGTAATTTATGGACCTAATAGGTATCTAAAGCCATTTTATAAGTTTTTTATCTTATATTTTGGAAATGTACATCCAGTTTTTTCCCCTTTAATTTTTTTGGGGGCCCCCAAGAGAGTGGGGCCCCAAGCTATAGCTTGTTTAGCTTATACGTAAATCCGGCACTGCCATACACTCAGTACTGAAGTGTTTATTTAATTGTGAACCTAGTCACAAAATGCGTTCCTTGAGTCAATGCCCTTCAAATCAACAAATGCTAAGGCACCACAGCAACAGAAGAAGGCATATTTTATAATGCAGAATTGGTCTGCTTGTTCCTCTGCCGGGAACTGTTCATGACTGCGACGCTCAAGGACAGTTCCAGTTCTTCTTGTCTAGCGGCAGGAGCTGTGCACTTGATTCCCGCTCCCTCCCATTTCCCATCAGATATAAAAGCTCCGCTTCCAGACACCAGCGCACAGAGCGCTAAACAGCAAAAGGTGCTGCTGGAGCTGCCCACTGCTTCTCTTTTCTGCACAGCTTTAGGCAAAGCATCTGTCTGCTTCCTCACCATGTGTCGGGGGTTAGCTTCCCTTCCTACAAGCTGCTTGGAAAGGTAAGAGGCTGGAAAATATTTGGGGCTCTTAGCAAACAACTGCTGAGTTGATAAAACAGGAGTGTGCTTTGCTTCAACATCTATACTGATCGGGGTAACATTTGTGTACAACCATAGCTCATACTCCTATAGTATCTTCTAAAGAATGGAAAAACTTTTGTTAGTTAGATGAGCAAGATCTATCACTGGCAAGGGCAGGAAGTGCGGGGGGAGGGGGGGAATAATTCAAACAAGCAAACAAAATAACTGCATTTATCCTGAATTTCTGTTACTCTTGTTGAGGGATGCTTCCTGGTCCGTACATACTTTTGCTTTCACTCAAAAGGAAGGCTTTTAAATGTTATAATGAAATCTTTTTCTCCAAACGATCACCTGTTTTTGCAATGCGGTTCTACAAGACACTTCTGCAAGCAGCACTCTGCACAATTAGCATTCCTGCCACACACCACCCAGAGGGGGGTGAGCTAAGAATAGAAAGTGGCGCGCCAGGCAGTCATCTACAAAGTGTCGCAGTGATGCACCAAGCGGGGAGGCACCTCTGTGTGGCTGGTTGCAGACGCACTACAGCAGGCAGGCAGCTGTCATAAGAAATCTAAAAACGGGAGACCGTGTCCGCATTGTTATGGCTAGCGCAGCAGCAAGTAAATCTGGGTCACTGAGAAGTGGTGCAAAGGAAGTTCAGGAGAGATGGCATGGAAGAAACTCAGCTTCATGCGGTTTTGAAGAAGGAATGTGATTGTTGTCATTAGTAGTATTAATTTCTCTACCGTTATTGATGTAACATTTTACTTAACCGAATAATAGTGTTCACAGTTTATATTTTGACACTGGGGGAGACAACAAGAGGGGGAGGAAATAAAGAGAAATCATAAACAGGATGTTTCTCTTGAGCTTAGTTTCAGCTGAGCATGACAATAGAGGACAGTGTTGAATGTCTACCTGAAAAGCAGCAGTGAGCAATTTCAGTTGTGACCTGCTTGAGGCAGGGACCTATCCTTTCCCCTAGTAATTGTAGAAACTCTGGCTTACTGTATTATCCACCCAAGTGAGACAGACATATCAGTCCTTTTAATAGCAAAGAAAGAATAATACTATTGCAGGCATGCTCTTCCTGGTTTCTATACTTTGTCCAAGAATGTGGGGTTGTTGTTTTATACCTGTGAACAAACACTTTTTCCTGGAAAGCTTGAGGCATGCAAATAGAGACCTCTTTATGCACTGGTGACGGTGTTCATTCCCCCACCCCACCATCATCTATGGTCAAGCTGTTGTGGTGCTTTAAAGCGTCAGAGACAGTGGCAGAGGAAAAAGAGTGAATGTGTTGAATCTCTGGACCTTAAATATTCCAGTTCTCTGACAGATGCATTCAACAACATAGAGCTTTGAGGAATAAGAGAGACTATCAGAGGATGCCTGAACAGGAAGAGCAATCTTGCAGGGAAACATAAGAGTAGAGGAAGAGACTAAAGGGACAGCAGATGCTCCAAGCGGAAATTATTTGGTCTTTACAAAAAGTGGTTAACAAACAGTTCCATCTGCATGTTGTGATATTCCAGTCCTTTTGCATCTGAAGAGCAGGTGCCACATAACAAAATGTACCAAACAAGTGAAGAAACTGTCCATCAAAAGTGGAGGTCTTAGGTTACACTTGCGTCCCACTTGAGAGCTTCCCTGGGGCCACTGGGCAAACAGAATTTTGGTTCATTTGTGTGACCTTCGGATCACTTCTTGGAGCCATAGCTGGGCACCATATGTGACAATCATGACAGACTTTCCAAGAGTCCCCTGGCACAGAGGGCGAGGGGTTAATGATGCCAGGGATGAAGAGAAGCTGTTACAAGAGGTTCCAGTTTATTAAACAGGAAGGGCACTAGGGAATCCTTAATGTTGTAAAGGTTACACAGTTCAGATATTAACCACTGAATCTGAAGGCTAAAAATAAGCTAGCTTTGCTGCCAGCTAGATCCCATTGTCCATAAAAGTGGGAACTAGGTGGGAAATAAAAATCTTTTTTTAAAAAAGGGGAACTCGGGGAAAGTTGTGTAGCCATGAAAGCATGATTAACACACAGAGCCCGCAAGCACAATAAACACAATACCCAATTGCTGTATTAGAGGCCTCGAATCATTACAGCAGTCGTTGAAGGACCAAATGGCCACCCATCTGTCAAAGATGATTAAATTACTTGCATGTGTAATCCTGCCTTGCCTTCTGCATTAATGGGAATTACAGCTTGATTAGGAATTCTACATTACTGAAATGCTTGCATGCCCTCACACAGCAGGAATTAGTATTGTTTCTCCCTCTCTCTCTCTCTCTCCCCATCATATATCTCCTACATTTATTTGAACAAACATGCAACAACTCTTCTCTCCAGCCAGGAGCATAGGAAGGGGGGCGGTGGGGGTGGTCTGCCCCGGGTGCCCTCACTGAGGGGGGTGACATGCAGATCCCAAGTCTCCCCGAGCCGTTGGGGAAAGGGGAGGAGCTGCACCGCCTTGCCAGCGGCATCCCCCCTTTGCCCTTCATTCTGACAGCTCGGGGGAGGCTTGGGAGTCGCGGGCAGCAGCGAGCCAAATGTCCGCCCTGTGAGCAGCTCGCTCTGCCCCTGGCTGCAGGGCGCACACACCGCTCCGGGCACCCAAGCGGCTGTCCCACGCCTGGGAGGGCACCCTCCGCGCCACGCCCCCCTCAGGAGCACGGATGTATGCTCCACCGCTGTCTCCAGCCCCCAATGTATAGCTCTGCAAATTCACACCAAAAGCCAACAGCCAGTTTGGAACCAGGCAGATGGTGGTTTTCACTTGAAGCCGCTCTCTTCTTTTTAAGGAACACACACTGCTGCCCCCTCGTGGCCACTTCTTGTTTTACCTTAAAATTCATTTTGACATTCTTCCATTCCTCTCATTCTGCAGAGCAAAGGAATTCAAGACCCGCTTGGGGATCCTGCTTCATAAACCAGATCTGGGATATAAAATTGGGAGCCTGAGCCGAAGCACAAAGCAGAGGTAAGTCATGTGCTGAAGGTAGCGTAAAAAAAAACACCTGGTCCAACCTAGAGCACTGCTGCAGCTACTTAAGAGGGACCGGTCCTGAAAGGTGCAATGGAGCAGTGCAACATTAAATATATGTATTAGCTCCTAAGGAATTCAGTGAGAGGGAGGACTCATAACTAGCTGTCTATGGAAGAAAACTGTTCTTCAGCCATGACCTGCCCTCCTGAGTCTGAGCTGTTGCCATCCATCTGTCTCAAGAGACAACGGCATGTGCCTCTGGGCATGAGGTCAAACTGCTGTGTCAGTAGCACCCAGGTCACTTCCCCCAGGAGCAAGCCTGGGCAGTGTGTCTGGAGGTCCTGGGCTGCCCAGACAACAAGACCTCACTGAAGTGGTCCAAAGGAAAGCAGAGCAATATGTTTAGCACCAACCTGGCTGCAGAAGTTGCTGGAAGGAGGCGTACAAGACGCCATCCAACCATCTTAGGGATTCCACTCCAGATTTGTGCAGGGCTCACTCTTTAGCCTTTTCTTCTCCTGAAGATATCCCATAAGGCAGTGGAGGTTTAGGATCATAGTTTTCCTTCTCTTAGATGGACTATCTTCCCAGGTTGATGAGCCCCATCTGCCCCTCACTTCCCTTTTCAGCACGTGCAGAAACCACCGCTCAACCCATGTAGTCTGAGTAAATTCCAGTGATCCAGTGGGGTGGCTTATGTGTGCTCAAGCTAGAAGCCAGCTTGTTGTCTGCAAGAACAGGGACCCATGTTTTCCCATACAGCTAACAAGAAATAGGAGAACTGAAGACCTTGCTTCAGCTGTTTTCTAAACATTGTAACCACACCATGGAAACCATACAAGGTGAAATTAAGAGACAGATACATCCTTCTGCCTCCCCCCCCCCATAAGTGGTGATGAGGGTGTTTGCTTTAGTTTAGGATCTCTGGGCTTCTTGTCTTGTCTGCTCCTCTGCCTAAACTCTTCACCCCAACATTCCTATTGGCACCACCATGATTTTAACATTTATTTTCCTCTCCAGATATGCCTTAGAAGAGGTGCTCGGATGGAAGGAGTCTTTTGACCATCTTCTGAGAAGCAAAAGTGAGTATGCCTTTTCACAGTCCCCAACATGTCAAAGGGAGCAGAGAGTTTTTCCAAAACTTGTTTTAGGAAAACACATTCCTTCCCCCCATAGCTACCAAATGCATGCCTTGATTGTTCCATAATTCCTTCAAGTGCGATATGTCCTACAGTGTACTGTGCCTCAGACAGGTTCACTTCTGGGTCAGATTAATGTATGATTAAACATGCCCTTGAATGCAACGCTTGGTTTCCCCTGTCTTTTTAAAAAAACGAATACCAGCCACAGGCAGCTCCATTTCATATAAGGACTACAGTATGCGGGGAGGCGTTTAACTCCCCCCCCCGTGCCATTTCCCCACTGCATATCTCCCCACACATTCCCAGTCCAAGCTGCTAGATCCTGCAGCTAGAGACAGATAAATAACACAGAGCAGAGAGTGTTCTTTTAAACAACAATTCAATCCTCAGACAAGGCCCTGTGGTGGTTTAAATAATATATATACTATAGAAAAGTTAGCTGCCCATCAGTTTGCTCCAAACCTGCTGATTTGGATATATTTATAAAATATTTCCTGCCTATGCTCCAGTTCTCCCAAAATAATTTTTCTACCAATGTTCTGACCCTTGTTCCGCACAAGGGTTTTATTCCTATGTCTTTTCTTTCTAAAAAATAAATAAATCCCATAGCATTGTGTTAATGTCTGTAAGAAAAAGTGCATCCTTCTGTTCTCTTCACTCTCCTTCCAAGCTAAACATTCTCTGTCCTCCTTCACAGGTGGCCTGGCAGCATTTCATGGCTTCCTCAAAACAGAGTTCAGTGAAGAGAACCTGGAGTTCTGGCTGGCCTGTGAGGAGTATAAGAAAACCCACTCAAAAGCCAAACTAGCAGCCAAAGCCAACAGGATTTTTGAAGATTTTGTTCAAAATGAGGCCCCCAAAGAGGTGAGTAAAATTTCTCAGTATGATGCAATCCTTTAAAAAAAAATACTACTGCATTTGCACCCTATATTTCCTCTAAGGTTCTCAAGACAGCATACATGTTTCCTTCCCCACGATCACTCTATTTTATCCTCACAACGAGCTTGTGAAGTAGGTTAGACTGAGAGATAGCGCAGGACACTTTGCTGCTGGAAGCAAAATGCTCGGCTGCCACCCCCCGGCCACTGCCCCCTTTGCCACCACTGCAGTCTTGCCTTGGGATATGGGGGGGGGGTGGCGGCATGAGGCTCTGCAATGACTTTTCCTAGAGGAAATTTTTGTTTTTATTTGTTTAATTTGTATACCGTCCTATGTCTGTAGATAAAGCTTCACCGTCAGGAGGGAGGAGGGAGGCTCTGCAAGGAGCAAATCTGCCTCCTCTCTGGCGTCTGCTGCGCTGAGGCAACTGCCTCACTTTGCTTCATGGGCCAGCCAGCCTGCAGCTGACCCCAAGTCACCCTGTGAGGGTTGTGGGTCTCCCCAGTCCTCCTTCCATACTCTTAACTGCTTCACACTGGCTCTGCTAGAATGCATACAATACCTGTTGCTTTTCCTCACTGTTAAGAAACATATTGGCATAGAATTAATTGCTGCTGTGTTCCTTACAGGTGAACCTTGACCATGAAACCAGAGAGGCGACCAGGAGGAACCTCACCATTGCCAATTCTGCTTGCTTTGAAGAAGCCCAAGCAAAAACCCACACCTTGATGGAGAAGGACTCCTATCCCAGATTTCTGAAATCTGCCTATTACAGGGACCTGACAGAGCAAGCGACCAGCCACAGGACAGGCAAGCCCACACACACCTGAAGCTGCTCATTGTCACTGCTAGGACTTGTGTTGGGGGAACAGAGACAAAGAATGAACCAGGAGAGGCAGGAGCCTCAGAGGGAGGTAATAAGAGCTTTCCAGTGGTGGAGTTTAGGCTGGGCCTTTACATCGGCCAGGATGCCTGGGACCTCATATGCTTCCATACACCCAGGAGCTCTACCAAGAAAAGGCCTTCCCTGGCATCTAGGAAGGGCAGAAAACAGGCGCTCATGTGAGAAGCACCGGAGAAAATTGTGTAAGAAAGAACCTGCGCTCCAAGTAGGACGAAGAAAGCAGAAGGGAAGGCGAGAATTGAGGGGCAGAGAACTAGAAAGGTTGAATTCCTCTCTAAAACTGTGTATCATCCTCGTGTTCAATGTTATGCACCTGTGCACCCGTCCGCATGCATCAGACTCTATCTGCTTTCAGAATCCAGTATCTGCACTTGCAAAACACAGACGACAAACTGTATCTAGCACACAGGGGTTTGAAATCTCCAGCTACCGCATGACAGTTCCAGAAGCACACAGCTCTCTGCATGTTTGTACACCAACCAGCTGAACAGTCAAGACTTAGCATCCTTAACAGTGCAGGTGTTGCTTTGCCTTTGTACCCAGAGGAATGCTGCATCTGCTTTGATCCAACTGCATATCTGCCTTCTGCCATGATGGGCAAACTTCCTTCCAGTGACATTTGCAGAAGCCAACAAACTCTGTGAACATTATAAGCAACCTTGGGTGACATGCCCCATTTTTTAATGGTTTCCCATTTATTGTTAATTATTACAGTGATTATTAATAATTATTTATTTAGATAGGGCATTTAATGAGCACAGCACTTTCGACACAGGTACAAGTCACTGCAGCAAGGGGCCTGCAAATGATATCTCCGCTGATTTCACGATACCTATAAGACTACATTGACAGGTGGCATCAGCAGAGAGGTAAAGAAAAAGAGAGAGTGGGAAACAAGACTAGATTGGCCTTGCAAATATAAGTCTGCAAAAGTTATTAATTCCTCACCCCTCCATGAAAAATACAACTACTACCCTGGTGGTCCAAACAAAACGTGTTACAGAGCATTCTACGCCTGTTTACTTGAAAGAAAGTCCCGCTTTTTTAAATGGGACTTGCTCCGAAATAAGTGTGCATGTGTAAAGGTTTGCTGTCTCAATCATGTGCAGCACAGTTGACAGCTTGAAAGGGCAGGGGAAGAGAAACTTTCCAGTGAACACACCCTTCCCTGCCTGAAGATTATTTTCTTTTATAAATTGTATTTTTGCATTTTCAATTTTACAAGAATAAACAAAAGAAAGATACACACTCAAACAGAAACATACTGTAAAATCCCCATTGATTTCCCTCCCGCCCTTTGTGAATCCTCATAAGATTTTCCCTCTGCATCTCTTCCATAACTCTATTCTTATAAGTCCTTTATCAATCCATAGCTCAAATTTTTACTACAAGTTTTCTGTCAGTCCTACCAATGAATTTGTTTACTATAGTTTTTAAAATAGATTATATACTTTCCCCATTCCTTATTAAAATCAGCCTCTTCCTGGTTTCTAATTCTTCCTGTAAGTTTTGCCATCTCGGCATAGTTCATCCATTTTATCTGCCATTCTTCATTGGTCAGAGTTGTACCATCTTTCCATCTCTGGGCTACCAGAATCCTTGCAGCCGTGGTCGCGAACATAAATAATTTCATCTGGTCCTTCAGAATCTCGGCACCTAAAATTCCTAAAAGAAAAGCTTCTGGTCTCTTAAGAAAAGTTATTTTCAGCATTTTGTTCAGGTCGTTATATATCATTTCCCAGAAGTCGTTTACCACCTTACAATGACCACCATATATGATAAAAGGTGCCCTCCTCCTCTTCGCATTTCAAGCATGTTTTAGACTTTGATTGTACATTTTAGCTAATTAACTAGGAGTTAAATACCAACAATACATTATTTTCATATAATTTTCCTTCAGAGCGTAACATGCTGTGAATTTAAACTTGTTGTCCATAATCTCTCCCATGCTGCTAACTCAATATTGTACCCCAAATCCTTCACCCAGTGAATCATCATGGATTTGACCTGTTCATCTTTTGTTTGCCAATATTATTCTTACTCATAATCACAGGTGACCAGGTGACTAGGTATTTGCAGTCCTTGACCAAAATGCAATCAGGGAAAGTTAAAAGGCCCAGCAGGGATGAAAAGCTGTCTGATTTACAAGCGACTTACTGCAGACCAGTCTCACTTAAATTCTGAAAATAGAATAAATGGAGATTATTTGGGGAATATTAAAACACTGTTCAATTGTAGCCTCATCTCCAGTGCAAGACCTGTTGAAACTGATAGCAATCTTGCATGTGGAACTTCCAATATTCCAATTTTGTAGGGCTATATGTACAAGAGATGTTTCCAGTGAATTGTGCCTGTAGACTGACAGGTTTGGAGGAAGGACATTTTGAAAAAGGAGACAAGGAAAAACCTGGTAAATGAAGAATGATGTGAATGGGCAAACAAAGGCAAATTCTGCTGCTAAAGCAGTACACACAGAACAAAGATATATGATTAATCATGTTAGCAAGTTAGTAGGCCCATTGTAACTTAATGCATATAATACTGTAGAATGGAAGGTGGGTGCAGGAGTGGCCCAGTCATTCAGCAGGGCAGACACTATGAGATTTTACTGATCCAACTTGTGTAATGGATAGACAGGATCCTGGATTACAACTGAGAAGGGGCACAGGCTCGCAGTCATTGAATCCCTGCTCATTTGTACTTTCATACATCTTGTAATGTACACCAGCTAGGATTGTACGCGCAAGATAACGCTGGCAGCAACAGAATGTGCCACACCTGGCTGAACAATTGTACGCCAGGTAGTTTGTTAAAATCAGCCCTGACGCCCTGCCTTGCTTGCTCATTTGACAAACTGCAAAATACCAAGCAGAGCATTTGTTCACAACAGAAACCTATCTAGACTTATGTGAATTAAGTACTGGAAGTAGCTGAGAAAATAAACAGTCAAACTGCAACTACTGAGCAATTTACAGTGCTGTTTCTGTTGCTGCTGCTGCTAGTAAAGCTTTCAAATACCAGTAAGATCAGTTTATGCTTTTCTTTCATTTATCCACAAGCAACATTTCCCAGAGCAGATGCACCCTGAGCCAATAGCAAAAGCCTCTTGCATGCGGCAACTCACTTGGCAGAGACCATATCCTGAGGTTCTTATTCTGGTTTTGATTAACCTTATTCAGACAAACTCCTGTTGACTTCTGTGAAGTGTTGTCTGAAAAAGGAGACATGCTGCAGTTTTCCTTCTGAAGTCTATGGTTAAAACCTCCCTCCATGGACTTCACTGGTGAAAGAACAGTATATATATATATATATGTATATAAAGTTATATAAGCCAAACCATGTTTACACAAACTTTTCTTTTTTTAAAAAAACCCAATGCTACTTTTGCGGGTCTACTTGGGGTGAACTCTTTTCTGCTGCAGTGTTTGCATGCCAATGTGATTTAACCATCGATCTGCCTGCATGCCAAAATAAATATTCTTCAGCAGCAAAGGAGGGTGGAGGATATGAATTTGAAAAATGTACTCTACCCAGTTCTTTGCATTATTCTGTTTCGCACAGCTGCCATGCTGCCCCTTTATTGTTGGTTTTCTTGAGAAGTTCTACAAAATATAAAGCATTTCTTAATGCTGAACCACAGATGAGAAATTGTGAGATGCCTGTCTAGTGGTCGGTGATTCCACCAGCAAACCAGCAATGAAGTGACCAGGCCTTTGCAGCCCAGTTTAAAACCCCAGAATGAAATGTACTGTCCTATTGCTGAAGTTAGCCTGGCCAGAAGTCTAAGAGAAGATGAACTGGAATTCTCCCCAAGGCCAGAGCTGCCTTAATATTTATTATTTATTTACAACTGGAACTTATTCCGGTTCTTTCAGTGTGAATGACTGAGATACTACGTTGTGGATTCAAGAATGTTATAATGTTGTTGTTATAATATTATTTGAAAATAAATCAGTTACAAAACCAGTGCAATGGAAATCTGTTTCATATTGGCCAGGGAGGAGGAAGGGGGGGAGGAAAGGGGGGGAGGACAGCATCTGCATGATATAATTTGGTAGAAACATTTATTCAAACATAAATAAAACTAATATTTACTGTATTTCAGAGTAAGGAAAGCTGGTTGTTTATTGATGGGACACACTGAGCATAAATCGAAAGTAGCTGGTGACGGGATTGGAAGTCTAAGGGTGAAATCCTTTAGGATTATAATATTGCCCAGATTACTGAAAAGCCTACGTGTCACTGCTTTTAGATTGCACTGAAACCCTACCATGTTTTTTTTAGAAAGGAAGGAGCATCCTTTATACAAAGACTAGTGGAAACCCTATGAATGGAAAAAACCAACCAGACCCTAAACGTTGTGCATAATACAACTAAGTACAAATCTAAGAAAACATAACAGACTTTGATACTGTTGTGGGTTTGCAGGGGACAAAGATCCCCTAAACTTCCTGGGTGCCAAGTTCTCCCCATAATTTCTGAAGTTAGTAAAGGTGGGGTTTGAAGTCAGAAGCTTTGCGTAGAGAGGCGGATCAGGTGATGGCAGAGTCTTTACCCTGACAAAAGGTGAGACTTGTAGCATCAGACAAGAAAGGGGGAGGCTATCAGGATTACAGGGGGCATGATGTCACCACAGGAAAAAGTGCTTTTTGCAAGATGCTTTGAAAGGGAAGGTGCTGGAATCAGAGTAGTAGTAGTTATTATTATTAATTGAATTTATATACCGCCCTATACCCCAAGGTCTCAGGGCGGTTCACAGAAAAGTTCAACATAAAAAGCACAATATATATAATCAAAATAAAAACAACAACCCACCCCCCAAAGAGACACATTGTAATGTGGTAGGGACATTTGTTAAACATAAATAAAACTAATATTTACTGTATTGCAGAGTAAGGAAAGCTGGTTGTTTATTGATGGGACACATTGGGGGATTACAGGGGATGTGATGTCACCACACAAAAGTGTTTTTTGAAAGTGAGGTTTCCAGGGTGGCGAGGGGGATACTAGAAGCGGCAGGGGACGGCTTGTTTTCTGCAAAGGTTTTCTGGGAAGAAGGAGCAAGAAGGAGGCAGAACTCCAGGCAGCAGTGGCTGAAAGAGGCTGCGCTGAGAGACCTTGAACCATGGCTGGCTGCTGCCTTGGACCCTAGCTATGAGAGGAGAAACGAGGTGTAATGTTCCTGAGGTGTAATGTCCGGCACCCTCTCAACTGAAAGTTATAAAATTGACTATTAAGAGGAGCAATGCCCATTGTTAAGCAAAGTATCACAGAATCGAAGAGTTGGAAGGGGTTCCAAGGGTCATCTAGTCCAACCCCCTGCAATGTGGGAGGGGTAGCTAAAGGAATGGTGACCTGTCCTCCATTGTGACACGTCCCCCTGCTGACTGACTTGGCAGGGAACGTTGGGAAGAGCCACCATTCCAGGCTAGGTAGTTAGTTAGAGAGAAAGCAGCTCGTTGGTGACAAGTCGGAGATGTTTCCTGAGGGATTGAAGAGTCTCTCTTCTGCTCAAGCGTATGTAGGATTTCCAGTTCTTTTTGCATTCTGCTTGTTTCTATCCCTCAATATTTAGAAAAATAGGGGATCATGTCTTGGTTGGATTATTTTCTGACTTTCCCCCTGTTCTTCCCTAGGTTTCACAGGCTGCTGTCCGGCTGCTGCCGAGCACCAAAATCCCACCGCCTGGTCTGCAAGGAGGAGGAGGAAGAGACGTCACGGTGATGAAAAACGAAAAGGCAACACTCGTGAAAGTCAGTTATCAATGTGCATGGCACATAGTTGGTGACAAATAAGATATGTTTCCTGAGGGGTTGAAAAGACTGCAAGTAGGATTTCTAATTCTTCCTGCATTCTGCTTCTATCACTATCCTTCAAGATTTAGAAACATAGGGAACCATGTCACGGTTATTTTTAAAAGATTGTCCTCAGGGCTACCACAGATGCTTTGAGGGAAATGGCTTTCCATCTCCCTTGTGGGCATCATCACAAGAAGAGCACCTTATTTGATGGTCTTTTTGACAAGATGCCCTCCTCCGTGGGTCCAACTCCTTGCTGCACTCTTCATTAGAGGTTCGTGACAGCAAGTTCAGTTGCCAGATACCCCACATTCAGTGCAGAGATAGAGAGTATCAAGGAAGTGGCTTGCGTTATTCTCCCTTCCTCCCTTCCATCCCCGAACTCTTCTTGAATCAGGGAGCTGCCTCCCCCCATCCCAGGGATCCAGATTCTCTCTGGCCTCCCTGTTCCTCAAGAACAAAGATCACCATCTCTCACCATCTATATTGGCATCGGTGGCATCCATCCCCTGGTTGCTTGGTCTAACATAAATTGTTTTCACCTTCACTAAAGATTCCTTCTGATCTTCATAACCATCACTTCATCCTCCCATTTCTCTTCCAATATCTCTTCCTCCTCCTCCTCGCAGACCAGGGGATGGATCTTTGGCACGTGACAGCAGGAGACCAGCAGCTCACGCAGCCAATCTTTATAAACTAATCTAACCATGACATGGTTCCCTACATTTCTGAATCTTGAGGGATAGTAAAAGAAACAGAATGCAGAAGGAATTAGGAATCCTACTTACACTTTATATGAAGAAAGTCTCTTCATTACACCAGAAAACGTATTTCCTTTCTCACAAACTACCTCCTCAAACTAAATATGCTCATCTTTAATTTTATAGTCCCTCTCCTCTTCTGTCCAGTTCCACCCCTCCTTTGGGCGCTTTTCTTTTCTTGATTCTCCAATTAGTCCAGCCGTTTCTCCTAGACCACGCTACGCCATCTTTATAGGTTAGTGTTTAATATAAGTTCAATATTAAAAGTGTTGCCTTCTCTTTTACCTTTGTTTTCCACTCTTTTACCACAAACAGCACTGACAATCCAAGTCTTTTAACTCAGTCTCTTTCGCTGGGCTCACGCCACTTCAAAGTGAAAAACAAGTTAAGTCCATGAATTCCGCTTCTTTTATTGGGCTAGTACTGCTGCTGCAGAGTGAAATTTGAATCTGTCTTCCTTTTCTTACTGGTACTTGTTAGAGAAATCTTCGCTTATGGTTAAGTATAATGAGAAAGATTTCCAATATATTTAAGATAAAATCTCCCGTTCTTTACTCTTTATGTGCTAGTCTTCTGGGTCTGTTTCTGAGCAGTTCACTTTGTATAAATAAGTCTCACAGACCCTCTTCTCCTCAAGCTCTCCTTGTTAGCTTAGTCCAGTAATTAAGGGGATTGAGAAAGTGAGAGATTTTGCTGCCGTTCTTACCGTTTGGGACTTTGAGGCTTGCTGCTGAGGATTGCTCGTGTCCTTGCGTCTAGGTACTCTCTGTACCACAGACTGTCTCACCGGAGTGGTGCATGCTCTAGTTATCTCTTGCTTGGACTACTGCAATGCGCTCTATGTGGGGCTACCTTTGAAGGTGACCCAGAAACTACAACTAATCCAGAATGCGGCAGCTAGACTGGTGACTGGGAGTGGCCCCCGAGACCTCCCAGTACGTTTCCGACCACAATTCCAAGTGTTGGTGCTGACCTTTAAAGCCCTAAACGGCCTCGGTCCAGTATACCTGAAGGAGCACCTCCACCCCCATCGTTCTGCCCAGGCACTGAGGTCCAGCGCTGAGGGCCTTTTGGCGGTTCCCTCCCTGCGAGAAGCCAAGTTACAGGGTAGTGGTGCCTGCCCTGTGGAACCCCCTCCCACCAGATGTCAAAGAAATAAACAGCTACCTGACATTTAGAAGACGTCTGAAGGCAGCCCTGTTCTGGGAAGCTTTTAATGTTTGACAGACTATTTTATTTTAATATTTTGTTGGAAGCCGCCCAGAGTGGCTGGGTATAAATCATAAATTATTATTATTATATGATGATGACGACTGTGAGGTGTTACAAGTCATTAACTTCAAGCCACACAAACCATCCCAGCTTTTCAGAGCTGGCTATCATGGCTTCTTTAATCTTTGTGTATTGCTCCACCATGTAGCTGAATCATATAAAGCACTGACTTTTACATATCTCTTGACCTCTAATTGCAAGAAGATCTCGTTAACTTGGATTATAATCTTTATAAATTGGAGTTGTGGAGCAGGTCCTTGAGAGGGGGGGGGCTCCCACCATTCCTCCTCAGTCCAGCCCCTGACAACCATGTGGGTTACGGCATCAAGGGCTCATTTTGTGGGGCGATGTGAAACGTAGTGTTTTCACCCCCAAACCTTGCAGGGGGCATTCTCTGGGTGTTTGGCACCGCTTTGGAGTGAATCGGACAACATCTGACTTTTGGAGAAATTGGGATCCTGTGAGTTAGGGCGCCAAAGGCTCATTTTTTGGGGTGCCATGAAATGTGGGGTTTTCACTGCCAAACATTTCAGGGGGTCTTTAGCAGGTGTTTGCCGTTGCTTTGTTGTGAATCCTAAGACATCGGGTTTTCAGCGAAATCGTGGCCACCATAGCTATCCTGACAGATGATTTGGCCTGTCACCCTTGTGTGGAAGTAAAGGATGAGATTCCCCTACTACTCCGCCTGGGGTCTCCAATGTGGTGCACCCAGCCTCCACTCACACTATTCCTATGTTGGGAAATTTGGGGGTGGTTTGTGGGGATGTTATGTACTGAGTTGAAAAGGATCCAAAATGCAACAGTCTGATTGGTCCTAGAACAATAGGATCCAACATGCAGCAGTCTGATTGGTCCGCAGGAGCCACCCAATCCAGCTCCAGGTGAAAGTGAATCCACAACCTGATTGGCCTACAGGAGAATCCCAGAATTAGCCAATCACGTGCAGCCCATTGTGTAAATAATGTATATAAAGCAGATATTGTGGGGGAACTTTCATTCCTCGCTACTATGAGCTGAATATAGAGCATGAAATCCACTCTCGACTCCGAGTATATTTCAGGGGAAGAGCTGTTTGGGATATTTCCTGTTTGTGGATTATTGGGGGGGGGGGGTGTAAAACACATGCCTAAAGCTTTAAATCTGGGATGGGCATGGAAGCTCCGAGGTGGGCCACCAGGTGGCACTGCAGGCCACGCTCCAGCTGCTGCTGCTGCTGCTCCAGGTGCCAGTAAGTCTTGCATTTTCAACCTCTTCCTCCTCCATTGCACTGGCCAAATGTACCTTTACAGAGCAAAATATCCTTTCGAATTATACACCCAGCACATGGAACCTTACAAAGGGGCAATTTTTTCATTGATTATTACATTGATGACCCTGTTCTTCCTTGGGTTTCAAAGGCTGCACTGGTTGCTGGCCTCCTGTTGCCCCCCTCCCATCCATCCCCTGGTCTACATGAAGGAGGGGGAGGCTGAAGAGGTTAGGGTAAGGAAAGATGGAAAGGCAACAGCATTAAAAATAAGGTTCATCTATGTGCATTCCAGCAACCAGGTGGTGGATGCCACCAATCCTGATTTATCAGGTGAGAGATAAGCTGTGCTCATGAGGAACTGTCAGGCCAGAGCAAATCTGGCTTCAAGAGGAATGAGGCTGGCCTCTGATTCATGAAGACTTCAGGGACATCCCTTTTGAAAAAGAAAGAGAACCACTTCTCTTTCCTTTTTTCCTTTTCCATTACAGTGCATATTTATTTGTATAAAAATTATACCCCAAAAATCCTCAAAGCAGGGGGGAAAACAGCTGGTCATCCTTGGAGAACCACAGGAAATTTTAAACTTCCTTTACTCATTGTTGTGCTTGCTGACTTCCTCCCCAGGCCCAGTGAAGTATTTTGAGCCTGCTTCACTTGCTGCACCGCAGAAGGCGATGCGGTGTCATGAGTCATGGGGTGGGGAGAGGGTGTGTATGAATTCAACAGCGCTAGGTTTATTTTTTGGTTGCTGCTTTGTTAATGTTAATACTGTTTTATAGATTATGAATGCTGTAGTACTTTATGAATCCTATAATATGACTTTGTCTTATAATATGACTATCTCGTAATAAGCTGTTTAGCTTATTTTTTTAGCTGTGTTGTTAATAGTGTTTTATAGATTAAAAGGTAAAGGGACCCCTGACCATTAGGTCCAGTCGTGGCCGACTCTGGGGTTGCGGCGCTCATCTTGCTTTACTGGCCGAGGGAGCCGGCGCACAGCTTCCGGGTCATGTGGCCGCTTCTGGCAAACCAGAGCAGCACACGGAAACGCTGTTTACCTTCCCGCCAGAGTGGTACCTATTTATCTACTTGCACTTTTTGGTGTGCTTTCGAACTGTTAGGTTGGCAGGAGGTTTTAGATTACAATTGTTTTACTGGAGATTTATATTCTTTATCAATGTTCCTGTGACGTCCTATTATGCTGTAATTTATTGTTTGTGATTCATGTGAATGAGAAGTGGCACAGAAATGTAATAAACCAAGCCAGAGGTCTGCTGCGCTGGGCCAGGGGCCCGATCCTGCAGGCTCTTCACCAGCCTCTCTTACACAGGCGCCCACGTTTGGACAAAGCACATTTTCAGCCCCGAGTGGGACCCCTGCAAGGATATGAGGAGAAGCCTTTCCAGGCCAGATGAACCAAGACCTTCCCCGCGGGTGTCTCCTTCGCCGATTCCCGTCCCCCTGGCCTTCCGAAGAGCTTCCTGAGGGCGCTGCGCACCATTTCTTCTCCTTCTTCCCACCTCAGTCCATCCTCGCAACAACCCGGCGAGGGAGACTGGACGACGGACCTCATGGCCGGACCGAGGTCACGTGCCTAAACAAGTGGCGCCCTGAGCCCGAGTTGCCCTGGTCCTTGTTCAAGGAAAGGGGAATGGAGTGGCGGGAATCCCAAAGGCTTTGGGCCGAGAGAGAGAGAGAGAGCGGCGTCTCCTCAGCCTCCGCGCCGGCCGCGCGTTGATTGTGAGGCGAAAAAGGCACGCAAATATTTCCTTTCCCGCCGCGAAGAACAAACTTCTCGTTTTCTTTTCCTTAGCAAACTTTATTCGGCGTTAAAAACAAAATAACCCCGCAACGCAAAGCCTCCCCTTCTGAGGCGAAAAGAGCCTCGCCCGTCTCGGCTTCTCCCTGCCCTGAAACTCGTTTCCGTCTCCGCCTCCTCGGGCGGCCTTCGCCCCGCCGGATTCAAGAGGGGGAAATGCGTTGCTGTGGCCAGAAGTTCCTCCTTCCCTCACAACAACTTCTCCGAAGCGGCGAAGGCGGCGAGAGATCCTCCGCCGGGCGGTAAGGGCGGGCGGGCGGGCGGGTCGGGAGGTGGCTCTCCTGAGGGTCGCGGGCGGCGCCGAGGCCTTTCTGGCCCCGCAGGCGAGGGAGGAAAAGGCGGCCGGGAGAGGAAGGCCGCCTGGGCCTGGCCTGGATTTATGGGGGGGGAGGAGGCCCACCTGCCCCCATTTCTGGGGGGGGGATTACTCCGCGCCCCCCTGGAGATCCGTCTTCTTTAAGCGAACAGACAGAAAGATGCAGTGACAAATATTCAATCTTTTGTGTCTCTCTTTTTCTACCTACGTCCTACAACATCGTAAAGATGTTGTAAATAGGACACCTTGAAGCTTGAAATTATAAAATGACTCATTAAAATCAACCACAGTAACATCCGCATTGCACACAGAAAATTAAGATAACAAAGGATTACGTTAAAATAAAAATTACAAATAATCCTAATGAGAAGGAGGAACCTGGTGCGCTACTATTGATTTATTAATGTTTGGCTCTATTTTTGGCAGCAGCAGCAGCATCGTTAAATCACCTGATTAACTATTTGCAGTTTGTTTCCTTTTTTAGTTAAGAGATTTGTGACCTCGCTGAACCCACGTTCCACTAAATACCATGAAGGAAACATGGGTATAGCCAAGGGGGCGGGGTGGGGTGGGGTGGCGCAGCTGTTCACCCAGATCAAGTAAAACAATAAAAATACTTGACTAACTAACTAATCATGTCAGTTTTGCTGCCCTAACAAAAATCCTGGCTATGCCCATGGAAGAAAATGCAATTAAAATTGTACTACTGTATAGTCCAGAGGCGGAGGTGCCACTGTCCCACAACAGCACCTGGCTAACAGAAAAATCTGTCAAAATCTTCAGTAGGAAGTTAAATAAAATATTAAAATCATGTGGTTACCAGCATCCTCACCTTATCTTGGTGGTGACAGGTGGGCACAGCAGCAGCAAAAAGGAAAAACACAAGCTGGTATAGCTAAGAAATGCCGTTGCTGGTTCCTGCCCTTTTAATCTTTCCACAATACCTCTCGGCCCCAGTGTAACATTGCTGTGGAGTAACCCTACACTGAGGCACAGAAGATACTGTGGGGGGAATCAACATGATGGGCACCAGCCACCACCACCCAGGAGCTAGTGCTTTGGGTCAGCCGCAACATAGAAGACAAGCTCCTGATTATGCCCTATTTATTGCTTCTGAACATCTAGCTATTGATAGATGAGTTATCCTTACATATTAACTGAACATGGCATTTTCTATTTGATAAACAGGTGGAGTGTATATGAAGAAGGAAAACTATAAGTCCTTTAAAATGCATACATCCATGTGACAAAGGCAGTGTGACTAACTTTTCGCTATGTAGCACCTCTGTTATTTGAGCCTTCACTATCCAAAACCACTGAATCAAGAGACGCTATGTCTTGCATCCAGCCCTGTGGCACCATAACTCTTTGTGTGAATAGCTCTTCCATTATTAAGTTGATAATGTCATAGCTGTCGCTTTTGTGTTGCAGTAGAAATATATTCGCAGAAAGCTAATGTAATCACGACTACTGGGAGAGGCGTCAGAACCCTACAGAAAAGAAATGGCAGCTGATAAAGCCCTTCAGCTAAATGATGCAGTAAGAAGAGGATCGATCGAGACTGTCCGGCAGTTGATAGAAGAAGGTAATGATATCAATTCAAAGGTGAATGATGGATGGACAGCCCTTCACAGTGCTGTACAAGTGAATGAAGAGGCAATTGCCCGCCTTCTGCTGGACAGAGGAGCCGATCCACTTGCTAGGAAGGACAACGGAGCTACCCCCTTTATTCTAGCAGGAATAACAGGCAATGTTGAACTTTTAAAGCTCTTCCTTCAGAAGGGGTCGGCCATCAATGAGTGTGATTTGAATGGTTTCACGGCATTCATAGAGGCTGCTGGGTATGGGCGAGAAGAGGCCCTGAGGTTTTTGTATGAGTGTGGGGCAGATGTTAACTTGCCCAGAAATGTGGCTGATGAGGATAAAAGGGCCCTGAATAAAGGTGGGGAAACAGCCCTGATGGATGCTGCCAGGTACGGTCACTGCTCTGTTGTCAAAGTCCTAGTTGAAGAATTGGGTGCTGATGTGAACATCTGCGACAACTGGGAGAGAAATGCATTGGTCCATGCTCTCACAATGACTAAAAAGGATCAGCCCCAAGGCAAAGAGGCAGCTGCCCTTTTCCTCTTAAAACATGGGGCTGATGTGAATAAGAGAGATGAAGATGGGAAAACTACTTTGATCCTGGCAGCTGAAAGGCAAAGCCTAGACCTGGTGAAGGCTATATTGGAAAAAGAAGTGGACGTGAACGATGCTGACAGAAACAACAAAACAGCCCTTATGGCAGCAGTGGAAATGGAAAATTATGAAATAGTGAAGACATTGTGTGAAAAGGGAGCAAGAACAGACATTGGGAACTTGATAGATATGGCCAGCCTGAATTACAACAGCAAAATGATAAGGCTTCTTCGCCAGTATGGAGCATTGTCTTGTCCAAGGCAGCCAGAAATACAATGGACCTCTGCTAGCAGACACTGGCAATCCAAGCTCCGAGATCTTTATGGAAAGTATCGTCCTATGATTGGAAAACTCAAGATCTTCATGTGTCCAGATTTCCGAATTCAGACAAGTTCCCACGGAGGTGTCTACCTAGGATTCTACAATGGAGAAGAGGTGGCTGTGAAGATATTCCCCACCACTGCAGAAAATGCTGAACGAGAAAAAACCTGCCTTGAGAAGTGCCGTACCAGCAAACATCTGGTGAAGTTCTGTGGATGGGAAGAGCAGAACTGCTGTCTCTACTTGTGCCTTTCCCTGTGTGAGAAAAACCTTGAGGAGTACTTCAGGACAGCAGGGACTGAGAATGGAACTATGAGAAGTAATGTTATTATTGAAACAATATTTCAGGCAGTGAAGGAACTGCACTCATTTGGATTTGGGCATCAAGATCTGCACCCAAGTAACGTTTTGATAGGTTTGTGTTCTTTCTTATATGGCTGTCTGTTGAGTGGAACCCAAGCCATTACCCAAGTGTAGTTGAAAGAATTTTATGAAAGAAATATGGAGTAGCAGGTTTTCAATTTTATGGTGTAAACCAAGGATGGGGAATCTGTGTCCTTTAAGATACCGTTGGCTAGCAAGTCCCATAATCTCGGAACATGGAGCTGATGGGATTTGGAGTCCAGCACTAACTGGAGCACCACAGGTTCCCTACACCTGGGGTGGGGGGTGGGAATTGGCTAGCCAATAATCTGCAAGGGGTCAGAAATTCAGATCCAACAGCAAGCATGTGAGCAGCATAGAAGAATAGTTTCACACACAAGCTGAAAGAAAACAGCAGCAGATATTGGAGATTTATTACAGGGAGTGATATGGGATTGACTCTCTGGTGACATACCAAACCCTTGGATATTCTAAGCTGTAGTGATCATAGTGCCCTGCATTTTCCTCTTCTAACCAGCAGCCTCACTGGTGCAAGGCACAGTCTGACCCCCTCCTTTGGTAATCCTCATAGAACACTAGCCCAATGGTTGCCATTAATTTGATCCTGAATTGATTTTAGAATGAATTTATTTTAGAATGTATTTCAATTAATTGATTGTGATTTTATGTAAACTGTGTTACTTTTATTGTTGTTAGCCACGCTGAGCCCGGCTTCGGCTGGGGAGGGCGGGATATAAATAAAATTATTATTATTAAGGAAGGAGAGATTCCAGCTCAGGAATAGAATATCTGCTTTTCAGGCAAAAAGTTAATTATGTTCAACCCCCAGCATCTCCAGGCAGGGTTGGGAGAGACTCCTGTGTGGCACTGCGGAGAGCCACTGCCAATCTGAGCATAAACAATGTTGAGTGCAGAGGGACCAATGGTCTGACTAGATATAAGGTAGCTTCCTGTGATCCTAGTCTGCACTCTACTCACCCAGCTCCCAGATCAAGCCATCTGGAAGCTGATGCCACCATCCTAAATCTTGAGAATAATTTCACTACACCTTTTTACTGCTTCAGAAATGTGACCCGCCCCTCCAATAGATCTCCATTGTTTACTTATTTATTATGCACTAACACTTTGAATATTATGGTTTCTCCTCTGCATTATATCCCCTCAACAAATCTGGAATGTAGGACTAAGCAGATGGATGGATGGATGGTTTCAGACAGAAGTCGTTCTGGTTCTACCTGGAGAACAACCTACACCAGGCATCCCCAAACTCGGCCCTCCAAATATTTTGGGACCAAAACTCCCACCATCCCTGACCACTGGTCATGTTAGCTAGGGATGATGGGAGTTGTAGTCCCCAAACATCTGGAGGGCTGAGTTTGAGGGTGTCTGACCTACATATTCAGATAAAAAATTAAGTTCTGTTGGCATCTACATTAGGGTGGCAAATCTTTTTAGGATCAAAGGTCACATTGCCATGTTGTGACTTCCAGTAACTGAGCATGTGGGTGGGGGTGGGTGGGGAGTCCCTGAAGTGATATTAGTGCTTGAGGTGAATATTTATCAATCATACTTCTGTGCTGCCTCAACATCAGAAATATAAAAACAATACATTTCAAATAAAACATAAAAGCTAAAAGCAGCAGAGATAAAGTGAAACTAGTCAACAATACCATAAAAATGTTCATGGCACAGACACATCTTTGATGTTTTAAAACAATAAAGTGTCAAAATCTCAAAAATCCACAGAAATCAAAAGCCCCTAAAAAGCCTTGGGAAATGAAAATGTCTTCATTTGACCATAACAGCAATACAAAGTAGGCATCAGGTGGACTCTCTGGGGAGGCCATTCTATAACTGGGTATAACAGCTGAGAAGGCCTTCTCCCTAGCAACCACCAGCTGGCTCTCATTAGGCAGGGATATGCAGAGAAGAGCCTCAGGCGCTGACATGAAGTTTCACGTAGGTTTGCATGTAAGCAGGTGAATTGGCTGCTCTTGTTGAATCTTGAAAGTTTCCAATATGTGCTCTTTCCCCACAAAGCATTCAATACACAAAGATGTGAAAACCATTCCGCTTGATTGCTTCCACTTATGTATTTATTTATTTGCTAGATGTCACAGGCAAGGTTTTTCTAGCAGATTTTGATAAGTCCAGAAAAATAGATGATGAAGATCTTACCATCACAGAAGATCTGCAGGTAAGTGAGCCTCCTCTGCAGTTGCCTCCCCAGCCTTCTATATTTGCAGAATGATTATCCTCAACCATTAAGGCAATGTATTGTGTGTTTGTGCACAATATACTTTTATGCTTAACCATAACATAGAGTTGGGTTGAATGTTCGTCCTACTCAGAGTAGCCCCATTGAAATCTGGCTAACCTAAGATCAATAATTCCAATGAGTTTACCCAAACTTTGCCCGGTTCAATTTGTATTTATTTATTTGATTTCTTACCAGCCCTTCACCAAAAGGTGCCAGGGTGGAGTACAACAGGTTTAAATACAATACTGTATTATTGGAAACATTTTAAAACAAATTAAAGTCACGTGAATATGGTAGATCCTGAAAATGAGTATATCAGGTGTATGGTTCAAATTTATTCAAGAATAAATTGACATCAGTAAGAATGTTAATTGCTAGTTCTGGTCCCAGGAGTTCTTTCTGGTAACAATGTCATTGTTTTTGTGAAATTTTTAATCTCCTGTATAACCCCAGTATAGTTGTAACCTGGAAGTTGAATGGAATCCATTCCGGAAGTCCATCCGACTTCCAAAATGTTCGGAAACCAAAGCACAGCTTCTGATTAGCTGCAGGAAGCTCCTACAGCCAATCAGAAGCTGCGGAAGCCCCATCGGACGTTTGGGTTCCAAAGAATGTTCGCAAACCGGAATAATCACTTTCGAGTTTGCGGCATTCGGGAGCCAAAATGTCCAAGTACCAAGGCATTCAAGATCCAAAGTACGACTGTAGATTAGAGAATTTAATAACCTGTCATTGCAGCCCTGTGTTTCTAAGGGCCAAATTTGATTCCAGTCGTCGTGGTGGGAATCTGATCAGGACCATAGTGGTGAAGAACCAGTGTGTGCCGGGGAATGGTATCTAAACATTCCTCCAACATTTTTTTTCCAGGTTGAAATTACCTCCATCTGCTATTTAGTCTATAGGGCAAAACATAGAGATACTGAACAAGCTGTAGTATAATCCTATTCTCTAACATTTTAGGTAGGTTTCCACATGCAAGGGGTGTGTTTGTGTGTAGAAACATTATGTCATGTGATTGCATCACTTGCAATTTAAACTGACACAGCCCAGACACAGATTTTTAGCATCTCAGCAAGAACTAAGCCCAGGCACAAAGGATAAAAGTGTGATTTCAGTCTACTTGCCCAAGAATGACATTCTGTGTTGTGAAATCGTATTGCCATTTGTTCTCACATGTAGGCTCTCAGAAGTCTAGCCCTATATGTTGCTATGAGGGGGACAATCTGCTTTGAAGCCTTGCCTGCGCAGTGTCCAAAGGATGTAGATGATCACTTTGAAATAGAAGACCTCAGAGCCAGTCTGGAATCTCCTGATGAAAACGTCCCAGTCACTGAGCAACTGGGACAGTTGATCTACCATCCTTATTTCTGGAGCAAGAAGGTGTAAGTACTAAATAAATACAGGAAACTTAGCAACTATCCATTCTTATCATTCTACCTTCCTCAGTTTGATTTGCCCTGTTACTACAACAGCATGGAAGAAGAAACTTTGCAAGTAGGATTAGAATGACATTTTGGGAAAATGTTTTAATCCATTCATTTCTATTTTTTGAAATCTTAAGTTTTGCCTTCAGAATTGAAGCTCAGAATTAGATTACGCTGCTTTATATGTCTTTGTTGCTTATAGACTGTCATGTGCTTTGTCATGTTGTTTAAAATATAATGAATGTTCAGGCCTGGGTTGTTGTCCCTCATGTGAAAACCACATGGCTAATCATTAATGTAAGATAAAAATAATGCAGTCAAACCTCGGTTGTCAAATGTAATCCATTCTGGTTACAGGTCGGTAGCCGTGTTGGTCTGCCATAGTCGAAACAAAATAAAAAAATACCTTCCAGTAGCACCTTAGAGACCAACTAAGTTTGTTATTGGTATGAGCTTTCGTGTGCATCTGTTCTGGAAGACTATTCGACTTCCGAAATGTTTGACAGCCAAGTTGCAGCTTTGGTTGCAAGAGCTTTTTGCACTCAAGCAGAAGCCGCGTTTGACGTTCAAGTTCCAAGGAACATTCGAAAACAGGAGCATTTACTTCTGGGTTTTTGGCATTAGGGAGCCGAAACGTTTGAATATGGAGCCATTCGAGAACCGAGGTTTGACTGTATATATATTTCAGTAAATAACTGCAGTGAACTTTGGATAGTGAGTTTGCTGCAGATATGACAGCACATTGATGCAGTATTGATATTATTTGTCATTGCTAGCCATCAAATACCAAATGTTGAATATGAACTATGTGATGTGCAATTGGCACTGAAATCCATGCACTAAGATTTAAGGGATCAATGTCTGATTCTACACTACTATTTAGGGCTCTGAAAATCCACCCTCATGCCTAACAAAAACTCTCAAGAGACTTTAACAGGCAGAAACACACATTTCAAATTGGTTTTGCACAGCCACAATAATAATGCCACATCTGGAGAGCCACAGATTAGCCACACTGCATTAGATGGTAATGTGTCAGGGAGAGGAAAGGCAAAATCAGAGTTTTGTTATAAAAGGCAGCTTGCAGAGCAAGGATGCCCCTTCCTTGCATATGACAGGAGTTAATGGTTGCAGTATACCTGCCCCAGGAGAACAGAGGAAGCTGCTTCATTCTAGGTCAGACTATTTGTCTATGTCTTGGTGTTGTCTGCCTGGCTCCAGGGTCTCATTGCCTGCTACTGGGTCCTTTTAACTGGCGATGGCAGGTGTTGAAGCTGGGACCAAGCATGTGCTCTGTCCTTTCCCAGTCTCCGAGACCAGCCTTACCATATGGTCACCTTGGCTCTTTGGGTTCTTAGTAATTGCCTTTTGTTTGCCAGGAGATACAGGGTCTTAAGAGACGTTGGGAATGAGAGCGATATAAAGACACGCAACACTCGGCACCATAACAGCACTAGTGAAATTCTGAAGGCTCTGAATAGTGAGGAAGATCCTTTCAAGGACTGGACTGAAAAGGTAAGTGATCTCTTGCAGCCTCCGTATGAAAGCTTCAGCTGTGCTGATTTGAACCGCCACATTTGACCTCTTTTCCTTCTGCATTGTCAGTGCCAGTGCTTCATCACTTCTCAAAGGCATGAGGGCAACTTAAGTGCAAAACAAACAGCTTAAGTCTGATTCACGTCTTTACAATATGTGTACCTGGTCCTGGGCAAGTATCTGTTTGCCCCTGCAAAACCATTCTTATGTCTGTGAAATGATTTGCCATTAGATCAGATTTTAAACACAGTTGTACCTCGGAAGTCAAACAGAATCTGTTCTGGAAGTCCATTCAACTTCCGAAGTGCGGCTTCTGATTGGCTGCAGGAAGCTCCTGAAGCCAATCGGAAGCTGCAGAAGCCCTGTTGGACATTTGGCTTCCAAAAGAAGGTTCGAAAACTGGAACACTCACTTTTGGTTTGCGATCATTTGGGAGCTGGAATGTTCAACTCCCAAGGTGTTCAGGAGCCAAGGTATGACTGTATTGCAAAATCTGCCAAGCAATATAAATGGAAACTGTTTCAATAAATTAACCAGTATAGTATTATAATAACCAATATATGTCATACTTCATGCCATTCTGTCAAATGTATATTTTTGTATATTTTTTGTATATTTTTGTATACTGTATGTTTTTGTGACTTGGAATCTACCAGTTTGCAGGTCTACATGGAAACTGTATTGTGAGGAGTGGGCTTCATGGACCCAAATTAATGACAGGGGACATGTGTTTTTTTCAGATTGATAAGGATGTATTGGACTGTATGGTTGGTCCCTTTAATGACAAGAAAAAGAATAAGAAAAACAATAAAGATTATGAAAACTGTGTGACAGATTTACTGAAGCTGATCAGGAATATGGGGGAGCACTTCAGTGAGAAGGATGAGAAGTAAGTGAGAGTTGTTTTTTCTAGATTTGCAGCTGTCCCTAGCCTTCTGCAGAGGAGACACTGAGTGGCCATTTCTATGCAGTGTACTTCCTCTTCTGTAAACCAGTACTATGTGAATCCGGACTTAGATAATCACATCTTTGAAAAGGCCTCCCAGTGGTCAAGTGGAGTTTTGCACGTCAGCTACCAGCTTCATGTCAAAGGGCTAAACTGCTTCCTTTTGCGCTGAATTTTTAGGCACAAAAACACGGCTTTAAAGCGCCGTGTTTGAGTGCATTTGTTTTATCCCAGCAGTATGCCCAGGAAAGCCCATGCTTTGATGTTGAATCAGAGCAAACAGCAAAAGGGTTTTCCGTGGATTGGCATTTGCTCCAATTCAGAGACCAACATTCACATTCTATTTTTAAAAAATACAAATCTAAACTACTGCTTGCTTACATACTGGTATTAAAAGGGTTCACATTTTCCACTATTTCAGGGTGAAGGAAATAATCAAGGAGCCAGAAGACTATTTTCTGAACCTTTTTCCAAATTTAACAACTTATGTCTACCGGACTTTGCATAATATACAATATGATAAACATTTTCCGAATGCACAGAATTCTTCTCAGCTATAATGGGGACCAATAGACCGAGATTCTTCATGAGAGTTCTCTTCTGTTTCAAGGTGTAAGAATAATTAAGAGGCAAGCAACATGTCCCTCTTTTTCTGAGCCTCTTTCCAGAATTAATCATTTTCATCTTGCCAGAATTTGTGCAACACAGGATGATATATATTCTCCAAGTGCTCAGAACCCTTCTCAGTTGCAATGAGAATCGGCAGCAGTTGATTCTTGCACGTGACTCTTCTGCCTTTCTTCAGTTTGCCCCGTTCAGCTAAGATACCAGATAAAGTCAAATAAGAAAGTCAAATAAGAAAGCTGCAGCACGTGTAATATAAAGAGACAGAAAGGAAGGTTGTGGCTGGCAGAAGGGAGCTTTAGTTGTCTATGCATTTGCGAAGCTTGTTTGCTTGAAATTGAGGCTTTCTCTCACCTACCAGCAAAACATCAATCCAGATGTTGTATAATTTCCTGAATGTTATGCTCTGCAGTGGAAAGAGAAAATAAATACTTTCTATTACATTCTGCAGTTGTTTGATCTTGGATTGCTTAACAAATGCAAATGAAACTGCAGTCAAACTACAGCAGTTCTCTTTAGTGTGCTTGCCCAGAAATGTTGCTACTTCAGATCTCCATGCATTTCCATACTGCAGAGCTGCAATAAGGCAGTCTACAACTTCAAGTTTGGTATCAACCATGTCAAATGCAACTTATGGTGGGCTTAGATTCTTGGCAATATAGCTGCAACTAATGGGGCTTCCATTGCCATTGCACAAAAACAAGGTGGATGCAAAAGGCCCCCCTTGGGTCTGACACAGATCCCTGCCAAAGAAAACTACATTCTACATTCCTGTTGAACTACAGAAAGGACCATGGCTGTCATGGTGGACTTTGGAGTTTAAAATTTCAATGGCACCCTGGGCAACACCAAAATTTGCCCCTCCCTGCCTCTCATCTTCCATTGTTTATCATTGCTGCAACACCCCTGCACCCCTCTTGGCTCGGTGCCCAGTGCAGGCGAACCAGTCATGCTCCCCTAAATCCACTTCTGGTGGCTGGCCTAAAGCCTGTTCCGGGAAATGAGGGGTGGCGGGGTTGGGATACAAGTTAGATGTCTTGGCATCTTCAGGGGACTCCAATTTGCTGCCCTTCAGAATAACACTAGGTTAGCTTGATAAGTGTCTGATCTCTGTGTAATTACAAGGGCCCCTGAGGTGATGGGTGGGCACCCTCCCTCCTCCCTCTGAGGGCTCTAATGGGCTTTCCTGGTGGCAACAGTGGGCTGCATCTGTGCTTGGAGAAGGACCAGACAGATGTGTGCCTGGGGGGCCCTTTTAATTTCCCACAATGTAGCACAGCTGTGGGGTTGGGAATCAAAATGGCAGCTAGAAATTTAAAGGGAGGTTCATACCACACATTGTAAGTTAGGAGGCATCTGTTAGGGTTCTGGGACCCTAACAGTTGCCCAAGAATGCTGGGTCCTGGCATCTGCTCTGATGGCATCTGCCTGTCCCATCTGCTCTCTACTGTGTGTTGGTCCCCCTAAGAATAATAATTATTTATTTATTTATTTATAACACGCCAATCTGGCTGGGATTCCCCAGGCACTCTGGGTGGCTCCCAACAGAATATTAAAAACACAATAAAACAGCAAACATTAAAAACTTCCCTAAACAGGGCTGCCTTCAGATGTCTTCTAAAAGTCAGATAGTTGTTTATTTCCTTGACATCTGATGGGAGGGTGTTCCACAGAGCGGGAGCCACTAGCGAGAAGGCCCTCTGCCTGGTTCCCTGTAACCTCACTTCTCACAATGAGGGAACCATCAGAAGGCCCTTGGAGCTGGACCTCAGTGTCCAGGTATACTGGTCTGAGGCCATTTAAGGTTTTAAAGGTCAGGGCCAACACTTTGAATTGTTGCCTATCTGACAGCTTTGGAACACTGGGCAAGGACAATCAGTTTATGTCACTCAAGATTAGTTATGAGGTACTTCAAAAGAGTAAGGTGAGCGGCTTCCGGGTTGGCGCCATCGGTAATGGCGGATTCCCTCTGACTTTCTGAGGGACCAGCTCCGCGGGATCGGGTCTGACTGCTGCGGCGAAAGCGGGGACCCTTCAAAAATCACAGGCGGGTGAAGCCTGTGGACGTGGGACTCGGCGGGCACCTTTTGCGCCCCCCCAAATTGCGAAGGAACCCATTTACGGGCTCCAGAGCGAAATGGGGTGAGCGGCGCGGTGCTGAGAGTCGACTGCTTCTTCCGCGGAGTGAAGCCGCACAGCCGTTATCAGAGAGCGCTGACTTTTTTCTGGGACAATTTGACTTCAAAAGCAACTACCCGTGAGTAGGATAAAATTGGATTTAAAGGGAGAAAATAATTAATTCGGCACCGAAGCGGGGAGGCATAAACAGGAAGTCCGCCTTCCGTTTCTTGTAAACAGATCAAAGCAAAGAGACTGTAAGCGGAAACTATGAAAGACGTTTGAAAAAAGACTTAAATCCTAACATCAGAAAAGCAATCTCCCCTCCGGATTGCAGGAGAGGAGGGGAGAAAGGTTTGAACTGTATTTACCTGCAAAAAAAAAAGAGGAAAGGAAGCTAAAATCCACCGCTTAGAACCTGGGAACGGACTGCCTAGGGACAAGCAATGCCGTTTTGTGAAAGCACTATTGGCAAATAGAATACTGGTGACAGCTAACTCTGCAAGAGGGATACAGTGTTTCTGGACTTCTCCTGGTTTCAAAGTAATTGGAGTTAAGTGCAATTGAAACTGTTGCCTTGTTGTGAATTGGGGGATTTAAAAAGGTTATTTTCTTTTCAAAGTTACAAGTTTTGACTGTCACTGTGTCCCCCTAGAGGAGGTTTGACATTGTTACAATAACAACTGGGCCAGGGGAATTTTCCACTTCAAAATAAATCCTAGCCGTGGGACTGACCTTGGATTTTAGTTAGAGTGTTATGGCAGATGGAAGAGGAAAGTTAGAGTTGATTCAGGAAAAAACTACCAGGTCTGGCAGATCCTTTCGTCCAGATACTGGGGCGCAGCGAAGAGCTTCAACATCTGGTCCTTCTGGACCATCTGGATTATCAGGGGCTGCACCTCTACAAGTTAAACCAAAAGGAATGTCGTCTGAAGACGTTTTAGCTCTGGCACTAGGGAAAATTAATGAATCTTTGGAAAACCTAAGTAAACAAGTAGCTGAAACAAATAAACAAGTAGCTGAAGCATTAGTTAAAATTGACCAAAATACTACAAGTATTAATAATTTGGGACAAAAGGTGAACACCAATACAGAGACTATTGAGAAATTGTTACAGGAATCTGCTTTGACCCGAAAGACAGCTGAAGAAGCAAAGGACATAGCAACTGCTACTGAAGAGAAGATACCACCGATATATAGGCAACTCGAGGACCACAGGTTGACGTTGTCTATGATTGAATTGAAGGAAAAACAAACGTATTTGGGAATCAGGGCTGTACCTGAACTTGAGAAAGATAATTTGATTGACTTTCTTACGCAGGTATTTGCAGATTTCTGGCAACAGGATTTGGGGGAGGAAGAATTCAAGATAGTGAGCGCATTCAGGCTTGGAAGAGGAGGAAGGAGGAACAAGGTGAGAGACTGTTTGATTACCCTTCGAACAAAAGAGGAGAGAGACAAAATCTTGAATCTGCACTTCCGAAAGACTTTGGAAATACATGAGTCAAGTGTGGAGATATTTAAGGACATTCCAAAACATCTTTTGGACTTAAGGTTTAACTACGGAGACCTGGTTGCCCTGCTGAGAAGTAACAGAATCATCTTTAGGTGGGAATTTCCCCAAGGCCTGTCCTTTAAATATAAAGGAAGAAAGATAAAAATAAGATCAGTCGATGACAAAGATAGATTCTTGAAAGACCACGGAGAAGACTTACAGAAAGAAGTGGAATCTGGAGAAGAGCCAAAAGCACTGGAAAGAGGAATATTAGATATAGCAAATTTATCTTTTGGATTGCATGGTTCAGAGAAAGTGACACCACCGACAGAACAAGAACAAACACTTGGTGCAGTTGGAGGTAAAGCAAAGTAATAACATCATGGCTCTGCAACTATTAAGTTGGAATTGTAATGGCCTCAACTCTCCTCGGAAAAGGAAAAGTGTTTTTCATTTACTAAAAAAGGAACAATTGGACTTGATTTGCCTACAGGAAACACACGTGATAAGGCTACATAGGAAAGTATTGATTAACAAGAGATTGGGACAGGAGTTTATTTCATCTGACAAAGTTAAAAAAAGAGGAGTAGTGATCTATGCAAAGGAGAGACTATCACCGAAATTCATCTTTAAAGACGATCAAGGAAGATTTGTGGCAATTGAAATTCAAATACAAGGAGAGAAATTTTTGATAGTAGGAGTTTATGCACCGAATGAGGGGAAATCTGAATTCTTTAAAAAGTTGCATGAGACCTTAATGGACTATTTGGATTACAATCTGATTTTGATGGGGGATATGAATGGAGTAGTATCTACAAACATGGATAAGGCACAAAGACAGGTAGTCACCAAGGATGGTAGACTACCGAAAACATTTTTTGAGATGACAGACAACTTGGACTTAGTCGACATTTGGAGAACAAAGAATCCCTTGGGAAGAGAGGGAACTTTCTTTTCTGAAGCCAAGATGACATGGACTAGAATCGACCAAATATGGGTAACTAGAGGAATGGCACCAAAGATAAAGAAAGCGGAAATTTGTCCAAAAACCTGCTCCGACCATAATGCTGTAAGGATGGAGATGAAACTAATATCAACTGGCTCCTTCAGATGGAGGATGAATGACACCTTATTTAGAGATGAAGATGTGATTAAGAAGGCCCAAAAACTTTGAGAGACTATTTTGAGATAAATATGAACACTAATGTTGAAAAAGAGTAATCTGGGACGCAAGCAAAGCGGTTATGAGAGGGTTCCTGATACAACAGAATGCAATAAAGAAGAGAAGCCAAAATGAGAAGAAAGATAAAATTTTGGAGAAAATAAAAGAAAGTGAGAAGAAATTGAGAGCAAAACCAAAGTCGCAGGAGATTTTGAGAGAAATAAAGTTATATCAAGTACAATATATGGAAATGATGAATCAGGAAATAGAATGGAAAATTAAACAAATGAGACAAAAAACATTTGAATCAGCTAATAAATGTGGGAAATTGCTGGCTTGGCAAATGAAAAAAAGACAAAAATTAAATACTATTATAAATTTAGAAGTGGAAGGAAAGAACATACAGAACCCAGCTGAGATTAGAAACTGTTTCCAGAGGTACTTTAAACAATTATATACACAAGGGCCACAGAAAGAAATTGACATAGATCGATTTTTGAAGATAAATGGACTACAAAAATCTCTCAAGAAAGTAAATTAATGTTGAACTATAAAATATCTGAACAGGAAGTAGAAGGTGCCATTCAAAACATGCAACTAGGCAAATCTCCAGGACCAGATGGGCTGACTTCTAGATACTATAGATCCTTGAAAGAGTGGTTAGTACAACCTTTAAAGGAAGTCTGCAATGAAATATTGGAAGGGAAAAGGGCACCAGAGTCGTGGAAAGAAGCGTATATTACACTTATACCGAAAACAGAGACTGAAAAGACTCAGCTTAAGAACTACCGCCCCATATCATTACTTAATGTGGATTACAAAATTTTTGCAGATATTTTGGCCAAGAGATTGAAAAAAGTGTTGATGGAAGAGATTCATAAAGACCAAGCGGGCTTTCTCCCGGGAAGACACTTGTCTGACAATTTGAGGAATATAATTAATATTTTGGAAAAACTAGAAGTGAATATCAACACTAAGGCAGTTTTGATATTTGTGGACGCGGAGAAAGCTTTTGATAATATCTCTTGGAGTTTTATGAAGAAGAACTTACAGGGGATGGGGGTGGGTGAAGGATTTGAAAATGGTATAGGTGCAATTTATTCTGAACAAAAGGCCAAATTAATTGTTAATAATGAGGTGACGGAGGAATTCAAGATAGAAAAAGGGACACGACAAGGCTGCCCAATTTCCCCATTGCTTTTTATATCAGTCCTGGAGGTTTTGTTGAATATGATTAGAAGGGACCAGTTGGTTAAAGGTATACAAGTCGGAGCTAGACAGTATAAATTGAGAGCTTTTGCAGATGACTTCGTATTGACATTACAGGAGCCAGAATCTAGTACTAAAAGAGTTTTGGAATTGATTCAAGAATTTGGTCAAGTCGCAGGATTTAAACTGAATAAGTTAAAAACAAAGGTTTTAGAGAAAAATTTAACAGTGATTGAAAGAGAGAGGTTTCAGAATGAGACAGGTTTAACAGTGGTTAAGAAAGTGAAATACCTTGGGATTAATATGACAGCTAAAAATGGGAACTTATTTAAAGACAGTTATGAAAAATGTTGGACGGAAGTGAAAAAAGACTTAGAAATTTGGTCAAATTTGAAGCTTTCATTGCTAGGCCGTATTGCTGCGATAAAAATGAATGTATTGCCTAGAATGTTGTTTTTGTTTCAAACATTGCAAATTGTGGACAAAATGGATTGCTTCAAGAAGTGGCAGAGAGATATCTCTAGATTTGTCTGGCAGGGCAAGAAGCCCAGAATAAAATTTAAAATATTAACAGATGCAAAGGAAAGAGGTGTATTTACCCTGCCAGACCTTAAACTTTACTATGAATCAGCAGCTTTTTGCTGGCTGAAAGAATGGCTGCTTCTTGAAAACACAGACATTTTGGATTTAGAAGGCTTTAATAATGTATTTGGATGGCATGCATATCTGTGGTATGATAAGGTCAAAGCACATAAAGCATTTAAGAATCATATTGTCAGGAAAGCATTGTTTAATGTCTGGGCAGCAGTTGAAGAAGGAGCAAAAAGGGTTTTCGTGTGTGTGTGTGTGTGTGTGTGTGTTTCTTTGTGGCTGATTAGCTGTTCTCCCTGTGCAAAGGTCAGAGGGGGCAGGGTTTCTGTTGAGGCAGGTGATTAGCTGTGGGAGGAGCTTATCAGAGCTTGCAGGGCAGCGGCGCGCACAGTTTGATCCATCTTTTAGATTTAGGGGAGCTAGTCTCAAACGTTTGTTGGGGGAGACCTAGGGGTTTTTTGGGGGGGAGTTATTTGTCCTGTCTTCACGCTTTTTATGATGGAGGACCGCTGTAGCCACCCCCAACGACACGTTCTCAAGATGGAGGGGGAGGGAACAGCTGCAGTCGCCTGCGGTTCCTGCGCAATGTTTGCCATCTTGCCAAAGGTTGCAGGCAGCTTTACCTGCAGCAATTGCATGTTGATTGCCCTCTTAAAAGACAAAGTCCAGCAACTGGAGGAACGTGTAGCTACGCTCCAAAGAATTAGAGAGCTGGAGCTCTTCTTGGAAGCAACAGAGCACACCGTCTCCACCAAGGAGGAGACAGGGGACTCCCTGAGAAGGAGGCTAGTTCACCAACACAGGAGCCAGATATATGGAGAAACGTGACTCAAAGAAGTAGGAGGCCCAGGGTTCGCTCTGATTGTTTAGAAATACACAATCGCTTTGAGGTCCTCTCCCTAGCATGGAAGACGAAGAGCAGACTCCATTTGAGGATCTCTCCCTCATTACAGTCGATCAGGTATATGAAGACGAGCAGCAAAGTCAGTCATCAGGTAATGTGCAGGCGACCTTGGAACGGACAGCTCACGGAAGAACCCCGACCAAACCTAAGAGGAGGCGTGTAGTGGTGATAGGGGATTCCCTACTGAGGGGAACAGAAGCAGTGATCTGTGGGCCTGACAAGATGTCTCGGGAAGTGTGCTGTCTCCCCAGGGCTAAGATCCAAGATGTAACTGAACGACTGCAAGGAATCATAAAACCCACTGACAAATACCCCTTCCTCTTGGTTCATGTGGGAACCAATGACACTGCAAGCAATAGCCTCCAGAAGATCAAAAGAGACTACGAGGCTCTGGGCAGGAAATTGAAGCAATTAAATGCACAAATTGTGATCTCATCTGTCCTCCCAGTTGAACGACGTGGCCCAGGGAGAGAGGGGAAAATAGTGGAAGTGAACAGCTGGCTTCGCAAATGGTGTAAACAGGAACGGTTTGGATTCTTAGATCACGGACTGCAGTTTCTTGAAGATGGACTTCTGGCAAGCGATGGGCTGCACCTCACAACGGTTGGGAGAAATGTTTTTGCCAAAAATCTCAGAAACCTCATCAGGAGGGCTTTAAACTGACTAATGTGGGGGAGGGAGACAGTGCTCCTGAAGGTAGGATTCTATCAATTGATGAAGATCATCATCCAAATGTCATAGACCAAATGGAGCAAACAGCACACAGACCTAGTGGTGGGAGGAAAAAATCCTTAAATAAGAGACACGGGGGAATGATTAATGGACTTCAATGTCTGTACACTAATGCGCAAAGCATGGGAAATAAACAAGATGAGCTTGAGCTCTTGGTACAGCAAACTAAATATGACATAATAGGCATCACTGAAACCTGGTGGGATAAGTCCCACGATTGGAATGTAATAATGGAGGGATACAATCTATTTCAGAGAAACAGACCAGACAAGAAAGGAGGAGGAGTGGCGTTATATGTCAGGGATGTGTATACCTGTGAAGAGATCCAAGATTTAGAACCTCAAAGCCAAAGTGAGAGCATTTGGGTCAAAATTAAGGGAGAGAAGAATAACAGTGACCTCATTGTGGGAGTTTACTATGGATCCCCAAGCCAAACGGAGGACATAGATGATGCCTTCCTGGAACAGATGGCCAAGCATGCAAAGGGAAGGGAGATAGTAGTAATGGGGGACTTCAATTACCCGGATATTTGTTGGATGTCAAACTCAGCCAAGAGCATAAGTTCAAACAGATTCCTCACTGGCCTTGCAGACAACTTCATTGTCCAGAAAGTGGGAGAAGCAACAAGAGGAACAGCCATTTTATATCTGGTCCTAACCAATGTTGATGACCTGGTTAGTGGGGTAGAAGTGGAAGGATCATTAGGTGCGAGTGATCATGCTCTTCTGAAGTTTACTATACAGCGGAAAGGAGCAACCAAGCATACTAGGACTCAATTTCTTGACTTTAAGAAAGCCGACTTCATAAAACTTAGGGAAGTGCTGGGTGAGATCCCATGGACAGTAATACTAAAAGGAAAGGGAGTTCATGATGGCTGGGAGTTTGTTAAGAGGGAGATAGTAAAAGCACAACGTCAGGCAATACCAATGAGACGGAAACATGGAAGGTGCCTAAAGAAGCCAGGGTGGCTATCTAAAGAACTTTTAACTGAGTTAAGATTAAAAAGGATGTGTACAAAAATGGAAAAGAAGGAAACCACCAAAGAGGAATTCAAACAAATAGCCAGCACGTGTAGACACAAAGTCAGAAAAGCTAAAGCACAGAATGAACTCAGGCTTGCTAGAGAGGTTAAAAGCAACAAAAAAGGCTTTTATGGGTATGTTCGTAGCAAAAGGAAGAACAAAGAAACAGTGGGGTCACTCAGAGGAGAAGATGGTGAAATGCAAACAGGGGACACAGAAAGGGCTGAACTCCTCAATGCCTTCTTTGCCTCAGTCTTCTCCGATAAAGAAAACAATGCCCAACCTGAAGAATTTGGAGCAAATGATTCAGCAGAGGAAACACAGCCCAGAATAACTAAGGAGATAGTACAGGAACACTTGGCTAGTCTAGATGTATTCAAGTCTCCAGGGCCAGATGAACTGCATCCAAGAGTATTAAAAGAACTGGCAGATGTGATCTCAGAACCACTGGCAGTCATCTTTGAGAATTCCTGGAGAACAGGCAAAGTCCCGGCAGACTGGAGGAGGGCAAATGTCCCTATTTTCAAAAAGGGGAAAAGAGAGGACCCAAATAATTACCGCCCAGTCAGTATGACATCAATACCAGGGAAGATTCTGGAGCAGATCATTAAGCAAACAGTCTGTGAGCACCTAGAAAGGAATGCTGTGATCATCAATAGTCAGCATGGATTTCTGAAAAATCAGTCATGTCAGACTAACCTGATCTCGTTTTTTTGACAGAATTACAAGCCTGGTAGATGAAGGGAACGCAGTGGATGTAGCCTACCTTGATTTCAGCAAGGCATTTGACAAGGTGCCTCATGATATTCTTGTAAAGAAGCTGGTAAAATGCGGTCTTGACTATGCTACCACTCAGTGGATTTGTAACTGGCTGACTGACCGAACCCAAAGGGTGCTCATCAATGGTTCCTCTTCATCCTGGAGAAGAGTGACTAGTGGGGTGCCACAGGGTTCTGTCTTGGGCCCGGTCTTATTCAACATCTTTATCAACGACTTGGATGATGGACTCAAGGGCATCCTGATCAAATTTGCAGATGACACTAAATTGGGAGGGGTGGCTAACACCCCAGAGGACAGGATCACACTTCAAAACGACCTTGACAGATTAGAGAACTGGGCCAAAACAAACAAGATGAACTTTAACAGGGAAAAATGTAAAGTATTGCACTTGGGCAAAAAAATGAGAGGCACAAATACAAGATGGGTGACACCTGGCTTGAGAGCAGTACATGTGAAAAGGATCTAGGAGTCTTGGTTGACCACAAACTTGACATGAGCCAACAGTGTGACGCAGCAGCTAAAAAAGCCAATGCAATTCTGGGCTGCATCAATAGGAGTATAGCATCTAGATCAAGGGAAGTAATAGTGCCACTATATTCTGCTCTGGTCAGACCTCACCTGGAGTACTGTGTCCAGTTCTGGGCACCACAGTTCAAGAAGGACACTGACAAACTGGAACGTGTCCAGAGGAGGGCAACCAAAATGGTCAAAGGCCTGGAAACGATGCCTTATGAGGAACGGCTAAGGGAGCTGGGCATGTTTAGCCTGGAGAAGAGGAGGTTAAGGGGTGATATGATAGCCATGTTCAAATATATAAAAGGATGTCACATAGAGGAGGGAGAAAGGTTGTTTTCTGCTGCTCCAGAGAAGCGGACACGGAGCAATGGATCCAAACTACAAGAAAGAAGATTCCACCTAAACATTAGGAAGAACTTCCTGACAGTAAGAGCTGTTCGACAGTGGAATTTGCTGCCAAGGAGTGTGGTGGAGTCTCCTTCTTTGGAGGTCTTTAAGCAGAGGCTTGACAACCATATGTCAGGAGTGCTCTGATGGTGTTTCCTGCTTGGCAGGGGGTTGGACTCGATGGCCCTTGTGGTCTCTTCCAACTCTAGGATTCTATGATTCTATAAGGATTTACTGGAAAATAAAACCCCAAGGTGGCTGTCACCGATGGAAGCAAAAGCACAGAAAAAGCTCAATATGGAGGCCAAATGGCCGAAATATTGGGAAATTTTGGAACAAGAGGGAGATAGACTGAAATTGCAGTTTTGAGAAACTAAAAAACAAAGTGCGAGATTGGCTTCATTATTATCATATAATTTGGACAAGAAAATTGGCTTCCAGGTGGAAAAATCAAAATTAGAAACAGAACTGTTAGAACCCAAAACTAAGATTTTGTCAAAGATGTATAATTTGCTGTTGAAATGGAATACTCAGGATGAAACGGTGAAATCTGCTATGATCAAATGGGCACAAGATGTTGGACATAACATAATGATGGCTGACTGGGAACAGTTATGGACCACAGGTATGAAGTTTACGGCATGTAATGCCTTAAGAGAGAATATTATGAAAATGATATACAGGTGGTACATGACCCCAGTCAAGCTTGCAAAAATTTATCATTTGCCCGATAATAAATGTTGGAAATGCAAAGAAACTGAAGGTACATTCTTTCACCTTTGGTGGACGTGCCCAAGGATTAAGGCTTTCTGGGAGATGATCTATAATGAAATGAAAAAGGTATTTAAATATACCTTCCTGAAGAAACCAGAGGCCTTTCTTCTGGGCATTGTCGGCCAATTGGTGCCAAAGAAGGACAGAACTTTTTTTATGTATGCTACAACAGCAGCAAGAATACTCATTGCAAAGTACTGGAAGACACAAGATCTACCCACTTTGGAAGAATGGCAGATGAAGGTGATGGACTATATGGAACTGGCGGAAATGACTGGCAGAATCCAAGACCAGGGAGAAGAGTCGGTGGAAGAAGATTGGAAGAAATTTAAAGCCTATTTACAGAAATATTGTAAAATTAATGAATGTTAGAATGATGTTGGATAGAAATTAAGTGGTTTCTAGCTGTAATACTATAAGGGAATATGAAAAATGGATTACTAACAGGTAAAAATTTAACGTTACAATATTTTAAGATTTAAGATTTGAATAAACAAAGAGGGGAAGGGTTTGCTGAACCAACAAACCGAACTGGAATACAAAAAAGGCAGGCGTGAGGAGGTCCGGGAAATAAGCTAATGAAAAATAAGTAATGGAACGATTGAGTTGTTTTTAACTATTTTTATTTTGTATTTTTCTTTTTTCTATTTTTATTTTGTAATATTTTGAAAATTTCAATAAATATTTTATTAAAAAAAAAAAAAGAGTAAGGTGAGCGATGGAATGACGGGCATTGGCAGTGGGGTGGTGACCTTGTGACAGGGTGAAGGAAGAAATTCTGAGAGGGAAGGCACCCAGGCTGAGAAGGCAAAACTCCCATTAAGTGAGTGTGGCAAAATTAGGACTCCCCTGATGCACAAGGGGGGGGGTACTATTGGACAGTGTGGATGGTTTATTCCCTGGGAGCACCTGTTTTGAACCAATTTACTGGGATCTACACACTGAATTACTTGTTATAAACAACTTAAGGGATTAAAAAAATATCTGTATTGACAACATTGCTATTACAGATATTCAAAAATGCCCTTAAAATAACACTTCTCTTTTCTTTGCAATTCAAGCTTAAATCCATGAAGATTGGGCCTTCGATGCTTGTTCTAATTCATACATGTAAACTCTGAAACCTCTCCACTTGATCTAAGGGGATCTAAAATCTAAGGTTTCTTTTACTTAAATGGAAGGAGAAAAACTTCACCATTACAAATTGCATATTTCACTAGAACAGGCAAAGAAATTTAAAAGTGCTTGTGTAAACCTCTACTAGTTGATACCAACCCACACCAACCCCACACACTGCTTGCTGATAGGAAATTATTGCAGCAATAGGGAAATGGATTTGGAAGTCCATCAGGCCAGAGGTCCTCATCTCTGCTTTAGGGACATAAGAACATTGCTGATCCCTTCATCGACAAATATGGAGAACCTCTCCCATCTCACCTGTCAGGGAACTGACATCGGAGCCAGAGGCGGAGGTAAGGCGGAGGTAAGGCTCCCAAGCGATGCTGGAGAAGGGCCCAGCAGGGAGAGAGGCAGCTCATCAGCTGGGGAAGGAAATCAGCGTAACACCAGGGATAAAGGGGGGCAGATGGGGGAATTGGCGAGGGGGCTCCAGGACTCCTCGCCGGACACCAGCGGGGAGAGCACGGGTCCTCCGCTACCCACACCCTCCCTGCGCAGAAGACATCCGCACAGGGAGAGTAGGAGGAGACTTGGCGTCAAACAGCTTTTATGCTGGAAAAGGTTTAAGAAACGCCCACTGATGGATTCTGCTAGCGACTGAAACAGCCACGAAGTGAAGGGCTGTCCAGACAGAAAAGGTTTAACAAGGCAACCTAGCCAGGAGTGGCGGAAACTTATGCACGAGCAACCCCTATAATTATTACATCACCCAACAGAACCCCGTGACCTAGTGAATGCAGTTGTGTTAAAGGTCTTCAGTCCTGACCTGCAGTGAAGTCTTGTCATCCAGCAAGAAATGCCTGGAATAATCTTTTCCATGATGCCCAGACAAGGAACAGTGTGAGATCAAGTTATATCAGTTTATTTCCAGCACCTACAGATGAGGTCCTGTGCAGAAGAATATATAAATAAGAAGAGTCTTCATAAACTGCAATCTGAAACAACAGCTTAGAAGTCTTTTTGGCATATATGCCGTCAATCAATTAATTGCAATTACATGCAAACATGACCTCCTGGCTGTACAGCAGTATTAAATGTGTAACTGAGGTCATACACTCAGTTTTATTTAGATATTTATTTAATTTATATACCACTCTTCATCTAAGGATCATAGGGCAGTTTAAAGTATAAAAACATATAAGACAGTAACAAACCAAACAATATTCAACACTATAAAGCACATTTGAAACACATTATCACAGTTTCAAGCACCCAGAATTCTTTGAAAGAGTTTCCTTTAAAGGTATGTTGCAAATACAGTTTAACAGCACTCTCGTATATCGCTTTAACTGTCATGATTTCCCACAAAGAGTCCTGGGAAGTGTAGTTTAATATCAGCTCTGTGAGGGGTCTCCTAACAACTCTCAGCACCCAAACTACAATTCCCAGGAATCTTTGGAGGAAGCAATAACTGTTAAAGTGGCATAGGAGTGCTTTAAAGGTACCGTATTTTTCACTCTATAGGACGCACTTTTCCCCCTTCAAAAATGAAGGGGAAATGTGTGTGCGTCCTATGGAGCGAAGACGCCATAGCCCCGCGACCCTCTCCCGGCTGGAGAGGTGAAGCGCGGCTATGGCAGGAGCCTCTATAGCCGCACGTCACCTCTCCAGCCAGGAGAGCGCGCGCGGGGCTAAAGAAGCCCCCCCCCCGACCCTCTCCCGGCTGGAGAGGTGATGCGCGGCTATGGCAGCAGCCTCTCCGCTGCGCCTCTCCGCTGCTCCCTGACCTGCTCTTTGGGGCTGGTGGTGGGCTTCCAAGGTAGCTGCCTGAACGCACCTTAAACGGCACCTTGTTTTAGAGGGGGAAAACAAGAGGGGGAAAATTCTCCCCCTCTCTGCGCAGCGCCCCCTGCCGCTTCGCTGAAGGGGCGCTGGGCAGAGAGGGGGAGATATTTTTTTTCTTGTTCTCCCCCCTCTAAAACAAGGTGCGTCCTATTGTCCGGTGCGTCCTATGGTGCGAAAAATACGGTATATAGTGGATGTAACCTGAAATAGCCAGTTTGTTGCCAATAATTTACTTTAGCTTGTGTGCCACAATCCTCTCTAATCATGGCGGTTATGTCAAGCATATGTGACTGTTCTTGACACAAACAATTTAATATTGCAATCAACATAAAATTAGTTCATGCTTCTCATTTTTTTGTTTTGCTCTTGAATAGGTATAATTCTGCACAAGTTAAGCACTGGGGTCCCGTTCATTTCAGCAGGAGGATTAAACTTGGTATTCGAAATGTGACTTAAACATGTCTAATTTTGATTTGCTAGTGCCCTAAGATTTTAGTTTCCCTGGGTACCTACCGTCTCTGGGGCACACTTATGGTTGTTGAAGACTTTCTTAATGCTTCTAAACTTCCCACTGACGCTGAGGGTAGAAAAAGAGACAGCATATTGCATCTGACGCAGTCGTACGAGGCAGCTGAACTGTTCTAAGACTGTTTTTTCATCCTTCCACCCCAACCAAGGAAGGAGCTATCTAGACAACCATCAGTCATTTTGTCTGTTTATAACTCTGCTATTCTTTGTTGAGCTATTTTATTGGGTGGTAGTGGTGACTCAATGGGTGGAATTAAGCTGTGACTGGATAGGGTCAGGGTCAGGCCCTTTGGCTGGATCTTTGCCCCTCCAGACTGGTGGTTTATTACGACTAAACGACTAAAAAACAACAACAAATTCTGCAACATCTGCTTGACACAGTAACAGTGCACTATTGGCAGATTTCTTCTGCTTTGGTTTGTTCCGCTTGCATAATGCTACCACATTATTGCTATTATGAAAGGCTATAGCACAACAAAAGGAGGACAGAAATAAACTGGAGCATTTGTAGTATAAAAAGTTCCAGGCAAAAAAGAAAGCAAGCATGGAATATGTGCTGATTGAATCTGAAGCCAAATGACGGCCCTCAAACATCTGCAGTCCCAGATAGCCTTGAAAGTGGATTCACATGTGATCTTCCCAATACATACCCCGATTTGCGTGGGACATCCCAGAATTACAGAAGCTATCCTGGCTTCTGAATGCATCTTGGAATGTCCCATTTTTTGGTCCGGTGCTGTTGCATGAACCAGCTGGCTTGCACCAGTGAGCTGGACCAAAAGATGCTCGTCCTTTGCTCTCACACTCTTGCACAAGTCATCTGGCTCCTGCAAGAGCTTGGGAGCAAAAATGAGCATCTGATTTTGTGGGGTGTGAGAGGGCAAGCCAATGCTGTCATGACCACAAATCATCATTGTTGCACAATAAAATAATAATAATGTTTGGAGGGGCCCTAGTGTCTCAGCTCATATACTGTTTCCTGACCAGCTGCAGTCTGGAAGCTGAGAGAACTTAGTAAGGGACCCCATCCCTGCCACTCTGTCCACCAGCCTTACTTCACCTTGGAGAAGAGTTAGACTTTGAGTACCAATCTTAGCTTGAGTGTCCAAAGTTCTTGGAAATGCAGGTTACAAAGATGGCTGGGTTTCTGTTGGGAATTCCAGTGTCTGGGTAGACTTGTCTTGGGTTCAGTTCCTGAGGCTAATTCTGTCAATGAGGCTGAGTCATGCCAGCATGTCCCTGGCACCGAACTATCTCTAAATGTAACCCAGCCAATTCTGGGTCAAACTGGAAGTGGTAGATAATGTATATCCTGAAGTGCTGAGATAATTCAACAACTTTTGTTTTATCCCCCAACATTTGCAGCATGGCTGCAGGACTGCTCATAAGGATAAATTATACACAAAGATTGCAATGCATGTATCTTGGGGAATTGATCTGGCCATGAGGGTCCTTAGCAGGAGAGTCCCCACGGTGGCAGCGCTGCGAGAACTCCCCTGCCCCGCCACCATTGCCACAGAAGTGGCACTAGTATCAGCCCAAATCACACCTGAAATCACGAGTTTTTGCAGAGTGCTTCTCTACCAGTGGCGGAAGTGGTCAGGCAGGCAGAGAAGTGGTGCCAGTGGCAGCAGGGCAGGGCAAGGTGGCACTTCCCATTTTGCCTCAAGCAGCAAAACAGGACACACCACCCTGGTTCTTGGGCCCTTGTGGGAGATCAGACCAGCTCCCACACCGCACTCCTGCAGGAACTTACACTTCTCGGCCGGCAATTCTTCTGCTTCTTCCTTCGGCTGTGGCAGGAGTAGCTCAATGCCTCTGAGTATAGTATACCTGATGACTGGATAATCTTTTTGAAATTGTAATAATAAAAAAGACAAAACATAATATTACACCAGAGGATTCCCAATCTCACCAATCACCTTTCTGAAGGTCCGGTTACCCCAGATAGGATAGATGCAAATCTCTGTGGTTGTTAAAAGCACAGAGAATACTTTAAAGAAAACTGTTCAGAAGCCAGAATTCCATTCCCTTGATGGAATAGACACTTAATAATTACTTGACATGTGCTCAAGGCATTTTTGGCTGGCTAACTTCTGAATAGTTTTTCTGTCAATTAATGCTTATGTGGCATCATCATGCAACTTAAGCCTCAAGACTTGAGCTATATGTAACTTCTCAGCGAGCCTGAAACTGCTCAACAAACTAATTGCACAAGATTGCCAGCTTGAAGACTCCTGGAGAAAAAAATTATTTTGATTTCAATAAAATAATAATAATAATAATAATAATAATAATAATAATAATGCAAGTTACATTTGTTAGTGACTGTATCTTGCTCAAGGCAACCCAAAGCAACTTACAGAGCAATGGGCAAAGGGGGCTAGAAAGGTGAGATAAGATTCTGTGGAATATCATATCACCCATTAGCTTGCTGTGGCCAGGATGGGAGGCTCAGAAGGTGGCTTTCCTTCTTTTTTCCTTTCCCTTCCTTGCCTTCCCTTTACTCTCCCTACTGACTCTGCCCCTCACGCTGACCACATCAGCTCCAGGACCTGTTTAGGGGCCTGTCAGGGCAGGGGGGGCTTAGGGATCAAGGAGAAGCACGACCCTGACATGTCCCAGTTCAGCCCACACCATCCAAGGAACATCAGCCGTGGGTCACCAACAGTGATGGAGCTTTCCACTCCCATGGGGGGAGGAAGAAACCTTTGCCAGCAGACCTCCCTCTCTGCTGACAGGGGTTGTGGGTCCTTCCACTGCCTTGTCTGCTGCCTCAGCCACTCTCCCACAAGGTTGTCATCCAATTTTCAAAGAACTTAGAATTTTTAACCATGGATTCTGACTTAGTCATAACTGGGCAACTGTGTATTGGAAGAGACTGTATATTGAAACTATGGAGCTAAGCAAATTCAACAAGAGAGTATTTCAGATACTTTGAAATACTTCATAATAGTGTTGTGAGTTTTGGTTGTGTGCCTGGGTCCCTTCGGATTCCTGTATCCTCCAAGGATTGGTAATGGCCCCCTAAGTATGGGTTGTGAAGGAAGTAGTTCTGTGCCAGAGAGCAAATGGGTGGGCCCTCCTCCCTTAATCGACCAGTAGTTTTTGGGACGAGCGCAGAAAGAATAAACACCATGGTGCATCTGCAGCAGCACAGCTGGATGCCTTCATCTGCCCCAGCTGCAACAAAACATGTCTCTCCCATATCGGTCTCTACAGCCACAGCAGACACTGTAACTCTCCAACTTCACCTCCAAAGGTTCACTCTTCCATTGTCTTGTGAGACGAGTCTCACACTGCTCAGAGTGGGGAGGCATGCAACAATATAATTAAATATGACATGATCTAAAATGTCAAGAGATGGTATTTATTCTGCATTATTGGAATATATGGGCACATGAAGACAAACATGCAAAAACACTCACACACACTTTCTGGTCAGATACATATGTCATAAGGTGTAACAGATGCAACAGAGTACATAGAATCTGCACACTCTTGCTTACCACCAGTGTAACAGCTGGGCTTCCTAGATAGTTTTGTTGTAACCACTGGAGGAGAAGGTTCTGTTTTCTCTGACTTGGGTTTTTTGAAGCCCCTCATTGCCTTCCAAGTGCAATATCTGCAAGGATAGTGTTGACATTGGCATACTGTATTTAACTGAGACAACCAAAGGCATTGTTACTGGCTGGGACAGTCACAAAAGATGGGACTGCACGACAAAAATAGTTGCCAAACCAGCTATAGCTTTATTGAGCCCCTGCTGATTTGGCCCCAGAGCCATTCTTCCAGCCCTGGTGTCACTGCAGCTTGCAATGGCTGAATAATAGCTGTTTGTGTTTGCATGGCCACGCCATCACAGATTAATTTATCACATAAAACATGCACTTGCAAAATGGCCATGATAAGCTTAGCAAATTATAACCACACCTATTGTTTTAACCCAATTAAATCCTCATCCTCCGATATCTGCTCCCTAATTTGGCTCCTCTTGAATCTGATTTTTTAAATTTTGTTGTTAAGTTGCAAAAGCAACTTTGGGTCAGATTCAATGAATCTGTTTGTAATCTACACGCAGTGGCTTCATCCATTACCATTATAACAATAATGCACACACTTTGCCTTTCTAATCTACTTACTTCTTCCAGTAGAATAATAAAACTGGAAAGATACTCATAAAAGCAGAATGATAAAGAGTCCTGTTCAGCACACCTTCAGCAATAAAATTTCGGATCTGAACGACCTGTGCATCTGTGAGGTTGACCTGGACACAGAAGAAGAGGCCATATCAGGAAGCAGATGACAACTACATCAACCTTCAATTAAAAACATTTCATAGCACAGCTGATGTCACTGGATCCTTTGGGATCCTACCTTTCAACTGAGGGCTGAATGCAAGAACCTGCATGTGAGGCTTTCTTTGGGGGAAACAGACGCACAATACTAGGGAGGTCATAGTTGACATTTTATCGTCAGTGTGAATCTGGTTTCACAGCTTCCCTCCCACATCTACATACCAGCAATTTACTTCCGGAGGTGGCGCCAACGGTAATGGCGGATTCCCTCTGATTCGGAGGGAACCCGCTCCACAGAAATAGGGTCGGATACCGCTTCGGCGCAGCGGGGACCCCTTAAATCACAGGCGGGTGAAGCCTGTGACCCTGGGACTCGGGCACTGTCTGCTCCCCCCCAATCCGCGAAGGAACCCGGCAACGGGCTCCGGAACAGAGCGGGGAAGTGGCGCTGTGCTGTGAGTCGTCTGCTTCTTCTGTGGAGTGAAGCCGCGTAGCTGTTGCCGGAGAGCGCTGCCTTTCTTCCTTGACAATTTGGCTTTGAAAATAACGATCCGTGAGTAGGATTACGGCCTAATTAAAGGAACTGTACAAAAATTGGAAGTAATTGGCCGAAGCAGAGAGGTATAAAAAGGAAGTCTACCTCCCGCTCTTGTAGATAGAACAAAGCATTGAACTTGAAAGCGGAAGCTTCAAAAGACGTGCAAAAGGATTACAATCTGATCATCTAACCGGGTTTTTCCCCCCCTCAATTTGGGGGAGGAGGGGGGGAAGCTTTGAACGTTATTTCCCTAAGAAGAAGTGAGAAAGAGGAGATAAAAACCACCGCTCAAAACCCCTGGAACGGGTTCCCAGTGTCAGTAAAAAGCCTAAGAGAATGTACTGCCTTTGAACGTATTTTGACAGCTAGCTCTGCATCTGAAATACAATTTGGATACAATATTGCTGATAGGCATCTCCTGGTCTTAAAGTAACTGCTTAAGATAGATTGTTATCTTTCTGGTGAATTGGGGGACTAAAGGGAGAAGTTAATTACTTTAAGAACTTTATGACTGTTACAGTATCCCCCTAGTGGAATTTGGAACTAGTTACAACTGCAGCTGGCCTGAAGAAATTTCTCACACTATTTTCCTGTAACTTTCCATTCCAAAACAACTTTGACTCTGACTGTGTGACTGACCTTGAGTTTTATCTAGAGGGGTATGGCAGATGGGAAAGAGAAGATAGACTTGTTACAAGCAACAAGGTCTGGCAGAGTATATCGTACAGACAGTGGATTGCAAAGGAGAGCTTCGACATCTGGCCCCCCCGGAGTTCCAACAGCAACCTCATCGGCACAACCTAAAACTAAAGGTATGGCAAGTGACGATGCCCTGGCTCAGGCACTGGCTAAAATTAATGAATCTTTGGATAGAATAAGTAAACAAGTAGCCGAGGCATCGGATAAGATTGATCAAAATACGACAAGTATTAACCAAAATACGGCAAGTATCAATAATTTGGGACAGAAAGTAAATACTAATACAGAAACTATTCAGAAATTATTACAGGAATCTGCTTCGACACGTAAGATTGCCGAAGAGGCTAAAGAAATTGCTACAGCTACTGTTACAGTAGTTCAAGAGAAGATACCACCGCTACATAAACAACTTGAAGACCACAAGTCAATTCTGTCTATGATCGAGTTGAAGGAGAAACAAGTGAACTTAAGGGTCAGAGCTGTACCTGAAGTGGAGAAAGACAACTTAGTTGAATTTCTTACGCAGGAATTCCTAGATTTTTGGAATCCAGATTTGGGGAAAGACAGTTTTAAAATAGTGAATGCTTTTAGACTTGGAAAAGGAGGGAGAAAGAAGGTGAGAGACTGTTTGATCACCCTCCGAACAAAAGAAGAGAGAGACAAGATTATGAGTTTGCATTTCCAGAAGACACTGGAAATGCAACAGTCAAAAGTGGAGATATTCAAGGATATTCCGAAACATCTTCTGGATCTCAGGTTTAATTACAAAGACCTGGTTACCCTGTTGAGAAGTAACGGAATTAACTTTAGGTGGGAATTTCCTCAAGGCCTTTCCTTTAGTTACAAAGGAAAGAAGATAAAAATAAGATCGGAAGACGACAAAGACAAATTTTGGAGAGACCACGGAGAAGACCTACAGAAGAAAGTTACAGGAGAGTTAAGAGCAATTGTAAGAGAAACTTTAGACACACCAGGACTATCTCTGGAACTAAAAGACCGCCTGAAAAACGTGATATCACCGACGGAACAGGAACAGGCACTGGGTGCCGTTGGAGGAGAACTAAAATAATTACATCATGGCCCTGCAACTATTAAGTTGGAATTGTAATGGTTTGAACTCCCCCCAGAGAAGGAAATCTGTGTTTCATTTATTAAAAAAGGAACAATTGGACTTGATTTGTCTACAAGAAACACATATAACAAGGTTACACAGGAAATTATTGATAAATAAAAGACTTGGTCAGGAGTTTATTTCATCGGACAAAATTAAAAAAGAGGAGTTGTGATTTACGCAAAGGACAGACTATCACCGAAATTTATTTTTAAAGATGACCAAGGAAGATTTGTGGCAATTGAAATTCAAACACAAGGAGAAAAATTCTTGATAGTAGGGATTTATGCACCAAATGAGGGGAAATCTGACTTTTTCAAGAAGTTGCATGAGACCTTGATGGATTATCTAGACTATAACATGATTTTGATGGGAGATATGAATGGTGTGGTATCCACACATATGGACAAGGCACAAAGACAGGTAGTCACCAAGGACGGTAGACTACCAAAAACCTTCTTTGAGATGACAGACAACTTGGACTTAGTTGATATTTGGAGAACAAGAAACCCCATGGCTAAAGAGGGAACCTTCTTTTCTGAAGCCAAAATGACATGGACAAGAATTGACCAAATATGGGTAACTAGAGGAATGGCACCAAAGACAAGAAAGGTGGAAATCTGCCCGAAAACTTGCTCCGACCATAATGCTGTCAAGATGGAAATGAAACTAACACCAACTGGCTTCTTCAGATGGAGAATGAATGACACCTTATTTAGAGATGAAGAAGTGTTAAAGAAGGCCCAAAAAACCTTGAGAGACTATTTTGAGATAAATATGAATACCAACGTGGAAAAAAGAGTAATCTGGGACGCAAGTAAAGCGGTTATGAGAGGGTTTCTGATACAACAGAATGCAGTAAAGAAGAGAATTCAAAATGAGAAGAAGGATAAGATATTGGAGAAAATAAAGGAAAGTGAAAAAAGATTGAGAACAAATCCAAAATCTCAAGAGATTCTGAGCGAATTAAAGCTACACCAAGTACAATACATGAAAATGACGAATCAGGAAATAGAATGGAAAATTAAACAAATGAGACAAAAGACATTCGAGTCGGCTAACAAATGTGGGAAACTGTTGGCTTGGCAAATGAAAAAAAGACAAAAATTAAATACAATTACGAATTTAGAAGTGGAAGGAAGGAATATACAGAACCCAGCTGAGATTAGAAATTGTTTCCAGAGGTACTTTAAACAATTATACACACAAGGGCCACTGAAAGAAACTGATCTAGATCAATTTTTGAAAACAAATGGATTACAAAAAATCTCTCAAGAAAATAAATTAATGTTGAACTATAAAATAACTGAACAGGAGATAGAAGGTGCCATTCAAAACATGCAATTGGGTAAGTCTCCAGGACCGGATGGACTGACTTCCAGATATTACAGATCCTTGAAAGAATGGCTAGTACAACCTTTGAAAGAGGTCTGTAATGAAATAATGGAGGGGAAAAGGGCACCAGAGTCGTGGAAAGAAGCTTATATTACACTTGTACCGAAAACAGAGACTGAAAAGACACAGCTTAAGAACTACCGCCCCATATCATTACTCAATGTGGATTATAAAATTTTTGCAGACATTTTGGCTAAGAGATTTAAAAAAGAGTTGATGGAAGAGATTCATAAAGATCAAGCGGGCTTTCTCCCAGGAAGACACTTGTCTGACAATTTGAGGAATATAATTGATATTTTGGAAAAACTAGAAGTGAACATAAATGGCCGAAATATTGGGAAATTTTAGAACAAGATGGAGATAGATTGAAACTGCAGAGTTTTGAAAAACTAAAAAACAAAGTGCGAGATTGGCTTCATTATTATCAGATAATGGAGGCATACAATTTGGACAAGAAAATTGGCTTCCAGGTGGAAAAATCAAAATTAGAAACAGAACTCTTAGAACCCAAAACTAAGAATTTGTCAAGAATTTATAACTTGCTGCTGAAATGGAACACTCAGGATGAAACGGTGAAATCTGCTATGATTAAATGGGCACAAGATGTTGGACATAATATTATGTTTGCTGACTGGGAACAGTTATGGACCACAGGTATGAAGTTTACGGCATGTAATGCCCTAAGAGAGAATATTATGAAAATGATATACAGGTGGTACATAACCCCAGTCAAGCTTGCAAAAATTTACCATTTGCCCGATAATAAATGTTGGAAATGCAAGGAAACTGAAGGTACATTCTTTCATCTTTGGTGGACGTGCCCAAGGATTAAGGTTTTCTGGGAGATGATTTATAATGAATTAAAAAAGGTATTTAAATATACCTGCTTGAAGAAACCAGAGGCCTTTCTCCTGGGCATAGTCGACCAATAGGTGTTAAAGAAGGACAGAACTTTCTTTATGTATGCCACAACAGCAGCAAGAATACTTATCGCAAAGTATTGGAAGACACAAGAGCTACCCACACTGGAGGAATGGCAGATGAAAATGATGGACTATATGGAATTGGCGGAAATGACTGACAGAATCCGTGACCAGGGAGAAGAGTCGGTGGAAGAAGATTGGAAGAAATTTAAAGATTATTTACAGAAACACTGCAAAATTAATGAATGTTAGAGTGATGTTGGATTGAAGTTAAGTGGCTTCTAGCTGAACAGGTTTTAAGGCTATAAATGTATCAAGATTAAGGATTAGGACCAAAAAGACTAAGAGAAATGGAAAAATTGGTTCAAATAGGTAAAAATCTAATGTCATAATATATTAAGATTTAGGATTGGAATTAAAAAGGAGGGTAAGAAATTGCTGAGTTTACAAACTGAAATGGAATACAAAAGAGGGAGGTATGAGGAAGTCCGGGAAATAAGTAAATTTAAAAGAGGTTATGAAAGGACGGAATTATTTTTAACTGCTTTTTCTTTTTTTTCTTTTTTTCTTTTCTTTTTTTACCTTTTTCTATTCTGTACTTTGTATTTTGTATGGTGTATTTTTCTCTGTTTTTGTTAAAATTTTTGTGTTTATTAATGTGATTTTATTTTTTCTGAAACTTTAATAAATATTAATTTTTTTTAAAAAAAGCATACCAGCAATTTAAGCAGTGGCTCATCCCTCAGTCTTGCTCTGTGTCATGCCTCTGTCAAGACCAGCCTGGAGTCCAATGAAGCCTCCTTAGAAGAGGGCCCCATTTTCAAGCCTAGCTCTCATGAGATTCTAGGAAACTCAGTGGACACTGGCAACCCTCTTGAGACCATCTCCCAGGAAGATGCCTCACTTGAGGAAGCTACCCCTGCCCACTCAAAATGGTGCCACTGCCACAGAACATTGCCAACACTATCAGAGATCACCTCTGTTGCTATCAAACTTGGTGATTAAGCAGTATGCATAGAAATAGCTAAAACAAACATATATCTAGCTGAGTGCATATACTGTTGGAAGTGCTGGGATGCAGCTCAGCTTGCACTGAAGGCTGATGTATCTCCATGAGAAAGGGGAGATGGGGAGAGGAGCCTCCAGACTTTCCGGTCTGTCCTTCTGATCTTCCTTCAGGGTTAGACTATCGGTATACACTGTACTCTTAGCACTGCTGACTTCACTTCCTGTGTCCATTCCCTTTCTTCTTCTTATGTGTGTTCCTCATGACAATAGGCATGATTTGATGTCTACTCCTGAGATACAAGAGCAAGAATGGCTTACTGCATCTTCATCTTAGCCAGAGAGAACTAGGGATCTTTCCTATCAACATGTATTTCCAATAACAAATACTACCTTTCTTTCCCCTCAAAAATCCGGAGTCTCAGCGTGATTGTATCCAGGGGAGTCTGTCTCCATTCAGCTTCTGCCAGCATTTTACTCCAAATGCTACCATTCACTATGGCGTTTAGCAGAAGTCCCAATGGCTTCATTTTGTGCCCAACTGTCTTTGAAAACTTGGCTCCAGCCTCTTACCCTCAGTTTAGGTGGGATATCTGAATTCAAAAAGAGCTTGTTGATGGTGGACACTTTGCTCTTCAGAAAGGCAATATCTTTCTCGGTGTATAACCCAAGGGAGGACAGGACGACCACGGAGTCAGAGAGGTAAAAAAACCTGCGGGAATAAAAGACAGACACAGAGCAGAAGGTGGAGAGATGGGTGGGCAGTGGGAATGGGGGTATGTTGGACACAACACAAAACCTGAGGCAGGATCTCATCATCACAACTGGTGGCTGGAATCTGGACACTGGGCAGTACAGGCAATATCTGGGGTCACTGAGAAGGATCTTTATCAGGGTCATTCTCATGCTGATAAGAGGAAAGCAGGCATATAAACTCAGGACTAATTCCAAGATGGTCCCTGCTCGTCATGTACACCAATGAGAAACCAGTGCAATCGGAGCTCTTCCATTGTCACCATTAAGCACCTGATGATGGTACATGGCTGGTAGGAAGCATTCAGTAAACAAACAAACAAACCCAACAACCTAAGCAATATTTTTTGATCAGGAGCTGGCTGAATTGCAGGAAGCAGAGAGAGTAAGAATAAATGGACGGTTATCCCAATGGAAGGATGCAGAAAGTGGAGTCCCACAAGGACTGGTGTTGGGACCTGTCCTTTTAACTTGGCGAGGCTGCCAAGTTTGCTGATGATATGAAATTGCTGAGTGTGCTTATATCTAAAAAGGATTGTGATGGGCTCCAAGCGGATCTCTTCAAACTGCATGAATAGGCAGTAAAATGGCAAATGCAATTTAATGCAAGCAAGTGTAAAGCGATGCACATTGGGGCAAAAGAAAATTCCTAATTTCACATGTGTGCTCATGAGATCTGGACTGGCAATGACTGACTTGGAAGGAAACCTTGTGGTCATAGGGAAAATGTTGACCTTGTGTGTGGCAGCTGTTAAAACAGCAAATACCACACTAGGTATTGTTAGGAAAGGGATTGAAAATTAAACTGCTGATATCGTAATACAAATCTATGGTGTGACCACACCTGGAGTACTGTAGAATACCATTTCAGTTGCCTTCCCTCAAAAAGCTATTACAGTGGTACCTCGGGTTAAGTACTTAATTCGTTCTGGAGGTCTGTTCTTAACCTGAAACTGTTCTTAACCTGAAGCACCACTTTAGCTAATGGGGTCTCCTGCTGCTGCTGCGCCGCCGGAGCACGATTTCTGTTCTCATCCTGAAGCAAAGTTCTTAACCCGAGGTACTATTTCTGGGTTAGAGGAGTCTGTAACCTGAAGCGTCTGTAACCTGAAGTGTATGTAACCCAGGGTACCACTGTATAGAGTTAGAAAAGAGCAACCAAAACATTTGGGACTTTTTAGTTAAGAGAAAAGGCAAGTAAGGGGAGGCATGATATATCTGCATAAGATTATTTGTGGTATGAAGAATTGGGGATATAGGAAAGTTTTTCTCCCTCTCATAATACCAGAATTCATCCAATGAAGTGGAGCCTTGGAATATTCAGGACAGACAAAAGAAAGGACTTCTTCACATACCACATAGGTTAATTTGCAAAATATAGCGATGGCCACCAAATTGAATGATTTAATTTTTTAAAAAGATTAAAAGTGGAGGATAGGCTATCATGGCTACTAGCAATGATTGGCTATGTTCTCCCTCCCCTGCCAGAGGCCCTGGGCCTGTGAATGCTGTGAGTCACTGGTGGAGAGAGGTCTCTTGGGCTCAGGTCCCAGCTGGTGGGCTTTCCATAGGTAACTAGCTGGCCATGGCAAGTATAGGCTGCCAAACCAGATGGCCCTTTACCTGATCCAACAGGACTCGTTTTTATATTCTTAATATAATCCAAACTGGCATTTTTACCAGATGACCCTATATGGTGATACTTACAGCACAAGGCACCACCTTGCTATGTGAGGGCCAATTTAGATGTGATTATGACAAATGCTTCTGTTCAGAGATTTGCCCCGTTAAATGTCTGCTCTGTTCACCCGTGGAGTCCAAGAGGTGTGCAAGGCATGGCAGGAGAAATAACAGAGGCTTGCTCACTCACTTCTCCATCTCCAGGTAAAAATAGAGATCGTTGACCAGGAAGTTGACTGAGATGAGGCGGCCAAAGATCTTGCGCCTCACTTGCGGCACTTCAGAGTCTTCTGACGTGGAGCCGTAACGCCCACTCACTCCACTGAAGCTCCCACGGGTCTGAGGCGAGGATTGAATAGCTATGAAAGAAAAGGGAGGCCCCAGTCACAGCACCTCCCACAACCACCTGCAGGCCACCAGGCATATTAAAAAACGCAACTCGTATGTTCCACATAAGTTAATCTGCTTTGATATTTGGGAGTAGGGCAGAGTTTCACTGGGCTTGCAGAAAAATATCACTCAGCCTTCACTTTATATACCTGATCTTAGTTCTCTGGGAAGTGGAGTTCCTGGTTTTTGGAGCAGCACATTCCTGATACTAGAGTTAGAAGCAAGGCATGAGAACAAGGCTGGGCTGGGTGGAGCCATGCAAACACTGCACATCTTTGCAGAGGACTCTGTGAGCAAAGTGACAAGACTTGGGCCTTTTTAGTTTAGAGGAAAGATGAGCAAGAGGAGACATGAGAGGGGTGTCTACAATTCTGAAAGGTGTGGGGAAACTGCATCGGGAAATGTTTTTCCTCCTACTCTCATGACACTGAGCAAGCACAGGAAATAAAACCAAGGAGGTGACTCCTGTCACCTGCCCAAAGGCCAGTCATGTGGGAACAAGAGACTTTAAAAGCACGCACTTTCCTTCTCATTTTTCAGTTCCCGGTGGAGGAAATCTTCAAAGCGTTTGCGCTGCCCTACGTAACTCATTGCCTTTCGGAACTTGCAGACAGTCCTGATGAAAGTACCAAGAATATTCCAGTACCTTCTCTGTAGAAGAGAATAACGTTACGTACAGCCCATGGTAGTCACAGTAGTCTCTCGTAACAACAACAACAAGAAGAAAAAGAACCTTAAAGACCAACAGATTGATTGCAGTCTGTTTCATCAGGTGCACAAAGCATTAGCCAAGGGTAATGTTAATATCAGGACAGATAGAATGCAGTGCCATGGAAAGCTCTGAAAAGGGACTGAAGGGGACACATGTGGGCGAGGAGAGGGAGGGAAAGGAGCTGTGGAGTGCAGAGTTCTGAAACTGGCAATGGGCATGTCCACAGTGCAGCAGTCCATGTGGATGTGCAGCTGCAAGTCTCCCCATTAGCGTGGGGTTGTTCACATGACGTCTTCCCCATCCCAGTGTTTTCACAGACCTTTCCCCACTTTAAATGCACACCCCCCCCAAAAAAAAAATCCTGGCCATTTTGGAGTTTCCAAGGATCAACATGCACACACTCTGCAGTTAAAGGGGGGAAGTGTCCAATAAAACACTGGGGGGTGCATCATGTCCCTACATTAATGGGGGGGCAGAAGGCAGGTGCAAATCCACATTTTGCTCTTCTGTGGACTAGTCAAATGTTAGATTTGCACAGGGCAAAAGGTGCTTGTGTGCTCTCCAGGGACTGCTGTTTGGGGAAGGAGTGAACACCCTCCATACCACATGCAACCACAAGTCCCTTTGCACCTAAGATCTGGAGCTCCGCCCCCCCAGCCCCATTTTCTCCATGATTGGAGCACATCCAGTTTTAGACACATGCATTTGATTCTGTTGACAGATCAAATCAAAAGCAACCTCCAGATTCAATGGTTCACCTCCAAATACGTCTCAGTTTCGTAGCCAGTAATTACAGGCCCAGCAATGAATGGGGTGAACATGGGGATGGATGAGAAATTCCTTTTAGCAAATTGTGTCTTCTCCAACATGTAGTCACTATCACAAACCATCAACTTTGATTAGTTAACAGAATTCCCAGCGTATTGTGAGCTGGGCAAAAGGACACAAGCCTTTAGACTGCCAGCTCAGGAGCTCACATCAAACATGGTCTGAATCTATGGCAGGAGGAGACACATCCAAATCCTGCTCCACATTCACCACTCACCATCTTTTCTTTCATCAGGGAGCCCCTCCTTCCCCTCCCACCTGCGGTAATGGAAAGGTCACTTTCAGGATATAAGCCTTGATACATTTGGAACCTGCCAGGATGCAACAAAAAGGAGAGAGAGAGATAGGTGAGGCAGTTGCTTTGCTCCCCTTATAAGCATAGTCCTCCGTATTCCACTCATCTGTTTATCTCCATGGGATATTTAAAGTGCAGTCAAGCCAACAATTCATGTTTTGCTAGATAGGCACATGACAGAAGCTGAATTTCATAGAGTTTTCCTGTAAACTCTGTGAGAGACAGCCCCACTGTGCCCTGAGAGGAGGAGGGCAGAGCTATTATTTTCTCCTACCTGCCAGGACACACTCTTTCCATCTCTTTCTGCTCTGCCAGTAATGTGAGAACATCTGCCTGTCTGAGCTCCATTGCTCAGACTCCATTTTAAACTAGACTACAACATGTCTTTGTAACTGGATTACCATTTTAAGCCTGCCTGAACAAAGCTGCTGTATCTGTTTCTCTTCAACAAGTATTCAGAGCGAGTAAATCTTATTTTTACCTTCTACAAGACTGTGTTGTTGTTATTTTAAGGGGGAGAAAAGAAAGAAAGGGGGGAAATGCGAGGAAAATCCAGTTTGCCTTGAAGCATCATGGATTACTTAAACTAAAAGACTAAAACTAGCCTATCTGATCTTCCCTTATGGGAAGGAATGGCACTCTGCTGAACATCTAACTTAAATCCATCTTTATTTTTTTTAATGTGGTAATTTATATAGATTATATTATATATCAAATATCATCTATATTATATAGATTTATTTGACTAAACTGCGGGAGGCAGTGGAAGACAGGAGTGCCTGGTGTGCTCTGGTCCAAGGGGTCACGACTAAATGACTAAACAACAACAATAGATTATATAAACTGGACACCATTGTTTGGAAAGGCAATATAGATGTAAACAAGAAATAAATAATGAATTTGATAAACCAATGTACATGGTGATTCACAGAGTTGGATATGGCGAAGGGATGGTCCCTGGCCAAAGAAGCTTCAGCTTTAGCCCTGTTGTAATTGTTGGTGCAAAATATCTATATAAGCAGGAGAATTCCTGGGTCCCAAGATCCAAGTTTGGGACAAGTACTCTTTGGTGGGAGAACTCCAGCAGGTATCTAAAGTCACAAAATATGCAGCCAAGTAAAGTGTGGAAATATAGGCTGCTAGACATTTAAAATATGCCCTTTAAAGTGAGTTCCAAAATGTCCCCTTAAAAAGTCTCTTTCCAAAGTTTCCCTTTTCCCACAGCATAGACCATACATTTGGTAACTTAAAAAATGATATACTTACAGTTCTCCAAAGGTCAGATTCATGTGCTTCAGAATAGTTACAAATGCAGAAAAAGTTACCGGTAGCTTAGTTTCCAAGTTGATGAAAGATTCTAAATTATTTGTATAGGAACTCAAGAGAGCCATGTGAGAGCCTTGCAGCTGAGCTGGAGCAACCAGCTCAAACCTCTTCACACGCTAAACTTCTCAAGTAGACTGGGGGAGAACAAAGGCTTGATTACCTAGTTCTTCCCAAGGTGAGGGGAAGTGGACATAGCTAAGCCTGGCAGGACAGTTTACTCTATGGTACTAACCCCTTAATGTGTCAGCTAAACTTAAACATATTGGTTATATGAGGCTGGTTATTCCACAGTAATCACTACCACACTCCAGGTCATAAATGTGATGGAATCGTTCTGTTTTGATAATATTTGAACAGAACCTTTCATTGCCAGCTGCCGCCTTGTCAGTTGTATCATTGCCCATTCCACTGTGCTGGTCATATTTGCGCCTCCTGTTTACTCACCATTTCTCTTCCAAGGCCTTCATGACAAAAAATTGTGCTGTGACCAACATGGGAACAGTCACATTAGCTGCCCTTGGAATCTCTCTGATAATATCTGCATCACAATCCAACAGCTTTTCTGGGTGGGTAAAAAAAAAAAGGGGGGGGGACAGGAAGACATACTTTCCAAAAGAGTCTTCTATTTATTTTTGCCTTTGAGCAATACTGAGTAAACTTGGTCCAATACATTAAGATCATTAAGAAGTGGTAATTGATACAAAGAGGATGGCCACCTGTCTGTGTTTTCCAGCCAAAATTACCAGGAGAGCTTCACCACACATGTATGACAAAATGCTTTTTTTGAATGCTTGTTTGCTTTCTAAGCAGGGAATCTAATGCCCAAACTGAATTTTCACTCATGAAGACCTTCAGAGTGGCTTAATTTGAGGAGACAAAAATAATCCGAGTTGGGGAGGGAGGGTCCTTCTGATTCGTTGGTCATTTTTGGAGCTGTTAGCAGCCCGGCCCCAATTTATTAGTGTTCCTTGCTTTTTCATTATGTGATCCCAGCCAAGCAGGGACAGCTTCAGAAGCACGATGATGTCACAGGGAGGTTTATCTTGACAAGTGACATCGGAATGCACAATGGATCAAGCATGCCAACGCTCATTCCGATGCGCATTCAAGGGCGCATCTGAGCTGATGCTCCTGCTTCAAATCCACTTCCCTTTGCTGCCACATATAGTGCAGCAATCAGGGAGCATCAACCTGGACATCTCTTTGATCAAGGCTAGGGAGTTCCACAAACAAGGGCAGAGCCTAGCTGCTCCTTAGGTAGACCCTGGGCTGGCCTGACCTGAAAGTATTAAGCAGATGAGATCCAGAGGCACCAAGGAACTACCTGGGACAGGGGTGGTTGGCAGAGCCATGTGGGGACCTGGGACAGGAATGCTGCCCTTGCTTCCTCCACCTGCAGCCTCAAGGGTCCTGGTGCACAGACCAGGAGTCTCCAAGGTGGGTAGGGCTGGTGCACAAGGCAGGTGGAAGCTCCTGTCATTGACAGGTCAAGGGAAGCTCACACACCTTGCAATTCAAGGGAGTATCTATAGCCTGCGAGTTGATGTGTTGGGTCTTGTGGGCGAGAGTGAGGTGCAATTGGAGCCTGGCTTGCATACCGGGTGGGATACTGTGGAAGAAGAAAGTCCTGACGCAGTCATTGACCTGAAGGCGCTGGATCCTGGGATTCCCCTCGTTTTTGAGTTCTTCCACGGCCATCCAGAAAAGGAGTGGGGCTTCAGCGTTGTGCATCTTGAGAAACTGCCTGAAGTAATCCAAGTGGATGGGGTTCTGCAGCACTTCTGAGAGCGCCCTATAATGGGAAGGAGACATGAGGCGCTGCTGAGGCCATCAGCTCTTTCACCTAAATCACATATTTTTGTACACAGGTCCCAGGTTGTGAATGATGATGGGAAATAGGGACAGAGAGACCCTTCCCTGTCCTCCGAGACACTGAATCCTAAGAACTGTCAGCATTGCATGAAGAACCCCAACCCCAAAGGGACCTGCAAAATTCTCTTTAAGAAAATCTCCACTTCAGTTTAAAATAATGCTCCTCAGTCTCACGAAAGACAGTGTGATATAGTTCTCTTATCATTTCTTGTATACTACTCTCTCCTGGTTTAAACAGTCTTGCAGGTTTCTGAAGTGTTGCAATCTTTGCAGTTTAGCCCTTTGCATGTTTTCACAGAAATAAGTGCTGTTGTGCTCAAGATGACATTATTCCATCCTGGATAAGTGTCTAAAGAACCACAGCCTTAAACCTCTCAAATCTATTTGACAAGAGAGGATGTTATGGAAAATGTGCAGACCATTGGCCTATACTGCACTCTGCCTCAACTCTCTGAAAAATCTCTTGTCTGTTCTCAGTCTATGAACAAACTGGAAGATGGTCTTGGTAGCCCAGAATGGGCAGCTAGTGGGGGCCAAACCAGACATGAGATTGAGAGCATGAATTTGCAGCAATAACAGCGTCCCCATAATGAACCTCCTGTCTGACTTGGCCCTGAGTGTTGGAGCTAAGTGGCAGGTCGTATCTCTAAGGCACGATGATGTCATACCTGGGCCTCAGAGGGGGCTTTCTTGAGGCAGGCCCCTTCCTCATGAAGGACAAGCTTGATCGGGTCCAGTGGAGATTCCTTCTCATAGATAACGGACGACTGAACACGCCTGCAGGGGAAAAGAAGCGCTGCCCCAGGTGAATGCAAGCCTCCTTACAATTAGCCACGAGAGGCGGTCTTCTGCGAGCCAGCGGTGCTCCACTCAAGACCACCACCACAGTGACCTCATGAAGACCACCACAACAGCACCTTGCAAGATCTCAGCACAATGAAATTCTCCTGCATGAAAACATTCTTTCTTCACCCTTATTCCTTCTCAGAGCACAACCAGACATGACAGTCAGACTCAGAACTGCCACTGCTCCATAATCTTCTTCACTCCAAGCTCCCCCTTAGCTTTGCTCTGTTCTCTTCCGATGGAGGCGAGTAGGGCACTGCCCCATGAACCTCAGCCTGCCCTCAGCCAAGCCCCACCTGCCAGCCTTCTTACTTAAACAACCAGTCCAGATTTGTAGAACTAGAATCAGAGAACCGTAGGGTTGGAAGGGACCCCGAGGGTCCTCTAGTCCAACCCCCTGCAATGCAGGAATCTCAGCAAAAGCATCCATGACAGGTGGCCACTGCTTAAAAACCTCCAAGAAAGGAGAGTCCATCACCTTTTGGGGAGTCTGTTCCACTGTCAAACAGCTCCTACTGTCAGAAAGTTTTTCCTGATGTTTAGTTGGAATCTCCTTCCTTGTAACTTGAAGTCATTGGTTCAGGACCTTCCCTCCAGAGTAGAAAACAATCCTGCTCCATCTTCCATGAGACAGCCCTTGAGATATCTGAAGATGGCTCTCACATCTCCTCTAAACATACCCAACTCCCTCAACTGTTCCTCCTGGCGCTTGGTTTGCCTCTTTGCTTCCTTCAACTGGCTCTCTGCCTGTCATTGGCTCCGGCTCCACTTCCTGCCACCCCCGCCAGTCCCAATAGGCACCAGCCCCCACTGGTCTCTGCTACTCAAGCTGGACAAATCCTACCCTGGTACCAATACCCCAGGGACTCACCACTTGATGGGGAACTTTTGCAGAACGCCTTGAAGTTATTGCTTAGAAGTTCCACAGCCATCTTGGGGTTCAGCCGGGCCAGCTCCTCAAATGTCATGCTGCTGTAATCTGTCTCCAGGGAGGAGAAGAAGATCAGAAGCACTCTTTGGTCCTCTACAGCCAGGACAAGGGATCATGCAAGGAGAGGGTCTATGTACTGGCAGCGCCACCATGGAGCACATGATGTGCAATTCTATGTGGCGGCACATTGCTAAAGGTTTTGTTAAAAACAGCTGAGACAGGTCCAAGGTTTTATGTCATTTCAGTTAAATGCAAACACTCCCTACATGCCACCTATGAAACAGAAGCACTTTGGTTTCCTTGGACTTCCTGCCACCTGGACTAGGAGACTAACAGTGCAATCCTAACCACCGCTACTCAGAAATAAGTTCCACTGAATTCATGGGGCATGCTCCCAGGTCAATGGCGTTAGCACTGCAGCCTAAGTGAAAAGTTAGTCATAGCAGCCTTATCGTTTTCCATAGGAACTGAGCCCCCCCCCCCCCCGCAAGCCCCTCTGCACTCTGGCCTTGCACATGGCCAAGGGCTCATCTCTGCATCTTGCACACAAAGATGAATGCCAACCCCCTCTAATCCCTGGATCCAGCAGTTGTTAAAAGCTAATTAAGTCCTCTAATTCTGGGAATAGCCAAGCTAGCTTCCTGGTGAGGTGATGGGGGATTAAATGGAATCGAAGGCAGAGAGCTGCAGTGATGTGACCCAGAAGTAAAGCAGCGAGCTGGAGAGAGAATGAGAGAGCAATGTTTGATGTCTGCTGGAATGCAAGGCTGCAGCTATGGGGAAAACAAGGTTCCTTTGGGGTGGGGTAATGCTGTGGACCTCTCCATCGTACGCTCAGGTTGTATGCATGTGTGAATAAACCAAATATCATAATGACCCCATAGTCTCCTCTGAGCTTCATTTCTAAAAGGAAAGACAAACTCTGGGTAAGCGCCCGGAATCTCGCACTTGCTCAGAGAGTGGGGGAGGATGCAACACTATGACTTCTTTTGAGTCAATTGCTTCCTTCATCTGCCAGAATGAGCTGCCAACAGAATTTTATCCTCTGTGAAGTAAAAACGTTTCAGGAGAGAATTACTTGAAGAAAACTGGCTGTGGGAATTTCACCTCCACCCCCACCCCCCCTAAATATTTAGCAAAATGCCTTCCTGATTTGCACTGCCCTGTAAAAGAGCAGGGGGGATTTGGGCAGGGAGACCATTTCTGCTCAGCCCTAAATCCCCGTGAGAATGCAGCGCAGATCTGCTCCAAGGGGCCGGCCCCTGTGGCAACTTAAACCTTGTCTTCAGCCAGAGGAAATAAAAAGCATTGCTCTTGAGTGAGTCCTGCAGGGCCGGTCTTCTTCTCACCCATCTTGTGCACTACAGGCTCTGCCTCCATGAAGATGGAGCCCCCCAGGCCCAGGTCCTGAGTGCCCATCATCTGCCAGTGTTCCCCCACGAGCAGCTCAAAGTCTCTCATGCCAGCCAAGGTCTGGCACAGGTGCAAGGCCTCCGTGATTCGCCTGGCCAAGCGGCGATTCTCATCCTTCTCGTAAGGCTCTTCAGCACTGAGTTTCTTTTCCTTGCCGCTCTGCAGTGACAGACAGATGGACAAGGTGCATCACGCAGGTGAAGAGTGAAAGTATGGAGAGCAGGATTAAAGGCCAACGAGCATTCAATTACAGATCCATAGTGGTGGGACTATGCCTTTCCGACCTCCACATTTCCTCCTTTAACTTTGTTTGTGCTTTGGGAAAGTTGCTGAACTGCAGGCAAAGGTCACATCCACATCATACATTTGAAACACTCTTATAACCACTTTAACAGCCATGGCTCCCCACCTCACCCCAAAGGCCTCTGGGAACTGCAATTTGTTAAGAGTGCTGGGAACTGTAGCTCAGTGAGGGGGCTCCTCAGCACCTCTTAATAAACAACAGTTCCCAGGATTCTTTAGGGGAAGCCATGACGGTTAAAGGGGTGTTGTTGACATCCATCTGTCTCGAGAGACAATGGAGTGTAGCTATGGGGGTGAAGTCAAGCCACTGCATTAGGGTGCAAGACTGGGCAGTGTCCGTCAGGAGATGCAGCACAGAATCCAAGGTCATTCGACCAGCTGCCATGTTATAGATTAGAAATTGGAAATTGGAAACAATTGGAGATTGCAGTCAAATACAGCTAGCAAGCATAGGGCTAGTTAGTGCCACAGCGTGTAGTTCCTAGACTTTCCTCCAGAAAAGGAGGATGTGAACCCTTGTCTTACTGTTCCTCTCTCCTTCTCTGCATCATGTAAAGACAGACGTGCTTAAGTTAGCTCTGAGCTTAGAGCACATGTACAAAACTCTCTCTCCTCTATTTTCTACCCAAGACTTTTTTGCCTGTATTATCCATGCTTCTGCATGGAATAATGCATGACTGAGGCCTTGAAACTGTAAGTAAAGCATTTTAAACTTACTTAACAGTGTGTGTGATCTGCTCACAGCAGAAGGGGGTAGGGAGAGAAGTGCTGTGAGTACCTCAGAATGGGATAAAAAGGTTTAACAACCTATATTCCTAACACTATAGTGCTGGTTAACTTTTGTGAGTTTAACCTCTGCTACAGGGGCTCTCTACCTGCAGGAGAGTGTGCAAAACCCGCTGTTTTGAATCCAGGCATTTTCTTTTGTTGTTCACCGACACACATGGGTCCACAGAGATTCATATTTTATTCCCTCACAAACTTGTGGCCCTCCAGAAGTTGTTGGACAGCAGCTCACGTCATCCTTGACCACAGGCCACGCTGGGGGGCTAACGGGTGCTAGGAATCCACCAACAATTGGAGGGCCACAGGTTCCACATCTCTCTTATAGGTGAACACCCAGCATATTCCAAACTGTGGGGGAAACATGACCCTTTGATCACACCCTGACACCTCATGAGCCCCTCACTGCCCTGGTGGTTCCAGCTTACCACATAATACAGGAACATTTTATCGTCGTTCTGAAGGAAATCCTCATAAAGGAAGCTGAGTATCTAAACGGAAAGCGAGAACGGAGTCTTATGTAGGTACTCTTTCCATTTCAGGCAAAAGGCAACAGCTTTCGAGCTTCCTGCAAGCAAGCTCTTTAAATCAATTAATCCACTCTGCAGTGAGAGAGAGAACTTTACCTTCTTCGACAAATCCTATGCCACACAAGCCTTGGAAAGACATCTAGGTAAAAAGCGGTGCTGCTTTGCTACTGAAAAGGCTGGGCAGCATGGCTGACTTCCCTCTACTGCAGCAGGTCTGAGGAACCAGGTGTTGCTGGACTCCAACTCCCAGCTTCCCCAGCAAGCCTGGCCGGTGGGCAGGGATGATGGGAGCTATAGTCCAACAACATCTGGAGGGCCACAGCTCCCCCCCCCCGGCTGTGTGTGCACTTCGCCTCTAAAGCGCATTCTTTCCCTCAAAGAATCCTGGGTGCTGAAGTTTGCTGCTGGGAACTGTAGCTCCGTGAGAGTTAAACTACAGTGCCCAGAATCCTTTGAGAGAATGAATGTGCTTTGGAATGCGTTTTAAAGGTATAGTGCTTACACAGCCTCTTATTAAATTAGCCTCTTCTCTTGGCACTGCAGAGTGTGAGTTCTGTCTCTTCCTCTGCACCATCACAGGATTGCACCTGTCTTTGGTACCCCGACTGCTTTTCTATTCCAACATCCACAAAGTCCCATCTCTCAGTTGTCCTCAGCGTCTTCTTTCTGTGCTTCCATTCCATGTTATCTCCTGTTTCCCTATCCTAAGGGCTCTCTGCACTTCCTCCTCTCAATCCCCTTTCTTTCTTTCTTTCTTTCTTTCTTTCTTTCTTTCTTTCTTTCTCCCTCCCCCCTCCCTCTCTCCTTCTTCCACTGTCCTATTTCTTCTCTCAGAGTTCACTGGCAACAGCTCACAAGGCTTTTACACCCTCAACAGTTTGCGCCAGTTCAGGATTCTCAGATACAACTAAGGCACGTGGTGTGTTAGGGACCTGCAGGGTGCATCAGGGGAAGGGGGGCTGGAGTTTGACTTAGGAGAGGGGGGCTGTGATTTGTGGGAACCTGTACCAGCCAGGAAGCAAGAATCAGAGGCAGGGGGAGCTCCAGAGCTGGGAGGTGGAGCGCAGGATGGTTTGGAAGAAGAAGAGGCGGCAGAGGCAAGTCAGGCAAGTGAAGGGCCCCCTCTCCCACACCTCTGTCTCCCAGAACCATGAGGGGACTGAAGAGGGGTGGGCAGAGGAAGCTTCCATGCAGGCATTATCTCCAGTTGCAACTGCACAGCCCATCAGGGGAACGTACATAAACTGGTAAAGGGGGAGTGGTCCCCTGTTGCTGCAACTGCTCCCTAGAGTCTGGGCCTGGCAATAGCTGCCTAGATGCTAGGTTGGTGTGCGTGGCCATTCAGAGCTATAGAAACGACTGTAAGTGTCCACTTTTGACAATAAAGAGTTAACTATGTGCTGCATGCATTCCTGACATGGTGTGCCTGGCTGCCTACAGCAGGCTAGAAAAACCAGCGGCACCTCTGCCACACATCTCTGGATACAGGAAAGGAGGGGTTATGGGCTTACGAGGGGCATATATGTTTCCCACAAAGAAGTGGGGAAGCCAGGGCCACAAAGAATGGATATTTGGAATTCCTCCTTGTTTTGGGGAGGGGGGTGCAGGGCATGTTGTCTATGCTAGACTCTGATTACAATACGCCTACTTTACTGGGTGAAATCTCAAATATGCTTCCCGCTATTCATTTTGATGGAGAGAAAACAAGCTTTCCCACCTTACAGATTTCTTTCTGTGCCTTCAGTACCCAGGGTATGACATGTCCAGAAGGAAGGAGATTTTGTAAGTTCCTGAGAGTTGTCAGTTTCAAAGGGAGGTGCCAGTTGCTGTTCTGGGTCAGGTACAGCTCACAAATCCTTTCCCCCATGACATGGCGCAGAAGGATGTTCCCTTCGCCGAGGGAGCAGAGCATCATGCGCAAAAAGTCCTCCAGGTCATGCCACAGGTCTAGGAGATGCACCTCCAGGCCATAATCCCTGCGCAGCAAAAACTCCCGGAAGGGGCGCCCTGCACATTTGTCGGCAGTGAGTGCCCAAGGAAGGAAATCTAAGCACATGGGAGACTTGACCAGGGTTTTTAAGGCAAGCAGCGAAGGGAACTGGACCACAGGAGTGGAAGAGCGCAGCTTATTATAGGTGATTGCGTTAGCAAGCTCATTTGCCAGAGGAGAGGACATGAATTCGCTTGGACTGCTTTTGAAGCTTGGCGATTCATCAGAAATGCCCATTGCTGAATCCCGGATCTGATCTGCTGGAGAAGGACTGGAACTGGCAGAATGTCTTGCAGAATGACGGTGCTTCTTGTGTGCCGGACTGCTTCTGCGTGACTTCTTCTTGCGGCTTTCTTTGTGCTTCCCTCCTTCAGAGTAGCCTTGGCCTGTTACATGGTCCCAGACCTTCCTCTTGCTTTCCAAGCTGCAATAGGACTGCGTTTCGCTGCTGCTTTGCCTGATGCTCATGGGCGGCCGAGGAGACACCGCCTGCTTTGGCAAACCTGCCCTGTGCAGCCTTTCCTCATACTGCTCAAGGAGATGGCGGCACGCTGGCTCCTTCTCCATCTTCAACTTGCAGTGGATGTAGAAGTTTGGGAGCCAGTAGCTTTCGATCTTGAACAGGGCCACTTTTTGCATCTCGGACAGGATTTCCCTCCGAGAGCGGACGTGTTGGGGGTGGTAGGGAGTCATTTTCAGAAGGGATTCTGCAAATGTTACAAAGCATTGGGGGAAAGAGGAGTTAATGGTTCATAGAGTTGTGAAAGAAGAAAATGGTCTTTCTGCTGACTGGCTGGGCTTCTGGGATGACTGCTGTTTTAGGCTGCAGTCAGATGGCAAGTGTGATGGAGGGCACCATATTAGCTATCCATTGCCTGGAGGGTGCTCAGACACTCCCCACCCCCACATAATGGGATGCATTAAGGGGAAAAGGCACCACTCCACCCAAAAATATTAATGTTTTCATTTGGTGTCTTGTATCAAAGAGGGAGTCTGAATAGCCAGTGGCGGAATCATAGAATTGTAGTGTTAGAAGGGACCCAAGGGTCATCTAGTCCAACCCCTTGCAATGCAGGAACCTCAGCTAAAGCATCTGTGCATGCCATCAATGGTCTCACAAGTTGTCACACTTCCAATGGCTGAGGCAACGTTTTTCTCTGACTTACACGTCAATCATATGCATGAATAGATTTTTTTAAAAAGCATGTTTGGGTAAAAGTTATCTGTCCTCTGAGAAGTCTATACTGTGTGTTCCAGGGTGAGTGGAGTCACTGTTGTGGCCATGTCTTCTGATAGTCATGAAGGATAGCCCTATCAACAGCTATCAGCCATTGTGGCTAAATGGAACTTCTGGGTTCAGAAGCAGGAAAAAGAAGAGATGTTGCCTGCAAGCTCTCTTTGCGGGCTTCCTGGGAGCACGTGACAGGCCTTTTTAGGAAGCAGTGTGCTAGACTCAATGGACTTTTTTGAAGGAAACTAGCCAAGCAGTATCACATGCAGAGACACAACAGGTGACTTCAGTTTCCTTCACAGGCAGGTGACTCTGTGGGGAATCATGGAAAGATGCAGTGGGGAGTCGCTGATTTAGAAAGGCGCACTTGGGGTTCCCAGGAACCTTTATTTATATAATTAGTTCTCTTGCAGCATCACGACACTATGAGAGTGTGTCTCTTACCAATGGTTGTGTTGCAGAGGATGACAACGGTGGAGCCCTCCTGCAAGTGAGTAGCCATCAACACCTGGATCAGGGACTCGTAGAGATCTTGCTGGGATTCATCAGTTTCGTCAATCCCAAGTATCCTTTCCGTAGCGAGCCAGAACTTGGTCAGCTCTTCCCCTGTAGATTAGACCTAAAGTTAGGACTACGCATTCCAGGCAATATCTGTAATGTCCTGCTGGGAAGGAATAGGATTTTCAGCTACTTCTTGTGGGGGATTTGGTTGTGAAACTTGGATTGCAAAATGGTTGCTTTCTGCTTTAAAGGCTCTGCTCCACTGAAAGGGCAAAAGCTCACAGGGAGGTTAAAAGTATACAGGGATGGTTTGCTTAGGAGGGGCATGGAAGGTTAAAAACATTCCTCTCCCTGCAATGCCCCTTGTGCTGCTCTCCGGACTGGGGAACAGCTGAGAGCAGTGAAAAGGAAGCTGGACTACAGGGGTAGGGGAATTATTCTTTATCTGGAGGCCTAGTCCTTTCTGTTGTTCAGCTGATCAGTGGGAAGGTGTGTTGTGGGCCACATAAGATTAATAAGGTAAGGACCCCCTGGACAGTTAAATCCAGTCAAATTTGACTATGGGGTGCAGCACTCATCTCACTTTCAGGCCGAGGGAGCCGGCATTTGTCCACAGACAGCTTTCCAGGTCATGTGGCCAGAATGACTAAACCGCTTCTGGCACAACAGGACACTGTGACGGAAGCCAGAGCGCACGGAAACGCCATTTACCTTCCTGCCTCAGTGGTACCTATTTATCTACTTGCACTGGCATGCTTTCGAACTGCTAGGATGGCAGGAGCTGGGACACAGCAATGGGAGCTCACTCCGTCATGGGGATTCGAACCGCAGACCTTCCGATAGACAAGCTCAAGAGGCTCAGTGGTTTAGACCACAGTGCCACCTTAACCACATGAGTTAAGGCGACAAGCAGCCCAGGGGGTACAGACTGCACACTTCTGAGGAAGATAGAAAAGGGGGCATATTTTCTGAGACTATACATACTGACTGGAGAATATGCACATGTTGGCTGGAGAATGTACAAGAGTCACCTGAAATCTGCACATTTCCCAAAGCCTGTTGGGTATTATACATAATGGCCAGATAATGTACAAAATTCGTTTGATTCATGAAAAATTACCCAAGGTCTCTTGGAGATTGTGCATCTTGACCAGGAAATGTGCACATTCTCCAGGAGGTCTGATGAATGTACACAATGGCTGCTTGTTATGCACATTAACCATTCAACTTGAATTCTCCTTAAAATATCAGGATGGAGGCTATCAATTAATAGGGCAGGCTACCCACCTGCAGCATGAGGGAAGACAGCAAGACAAACAACTGAGACAGAAGTTGAGTTGCTATTGCAAACATATATTTGTATCATGCAAGTTGCAGAAGTGAATGGAATCGAGGCTCCCACCACAGCTAAAGAGTTTGCTGTCAAGCCTTTTTAAATTGTGATATCTTTACCCTTAGAGAATGATAGAGTGTGCAGAGGCAGGTTTTTATCAGATAGAAGGAGCTGGACAGATGTTCAGCCCCACGGATCAAAGAGAGGAGGTGGAGAGTCTTGGGTTGCCATTTGTTTCCCGCTGTGTAATTTCTGTGTGCTGCGCTTCCCCTTTTCTTACCTGCCATTCCTTGCATGAAGGCGCGGAAGCGCCACATCCCCCGGCTGCCCCCAATGCACTTCTCAAGAAGCCACTGGTCAGCCTTGATCCACCGCAGCATCTCCGCTGTAGAGCAAAAGCAAAGTGACACACTGAAAAGGTGTGTTGGCAGGGCACCAAAAAGTGTATTGGTGGCACCAGCTTGGCTGCAAGAGTTGCCAGAAGGAGGCGCACAAGACACCATCCAATTTGTGCAGCCTTTTATTCTCCCAAAGATATCCTGCAAGGCAGCAGAGGCTTAGTCTCAGAGTTTTCCTTCTGCTAGATGGGCTCCCTTCCCAGGTGGACGAGGAATCTGCTCATTGTTGGATACTTGGGATTTTTTGTGGGTTCTACATTAGTTTGGACAATCAATCAGTTTCCCTGGTTGTTGTTTTTTCTGGCAGATAGTGTCTGGAATGTTTCTTTTAGCATTTCATGTCAACTCTCACCTGCCTCTGGAGACCGGATGAAACTCAGGAGCTCTTCACAGAGAAGGTAGTGCAGGCACAAGTTGGTTTTGCAGAAGTAAGGCAGTCGGTGTTTTTCCATCCAGTTCATCAAGCCTTTGTGCTTTGATACCTGTATTGGCCCAAAATGATGTGCTTAATTGAGACCAGATGTATGGAAGAAAGTCACCAGTTCACATTTAAAGGTGAACCTCCCTAACTTGCACTTTCTGAAACAATGCAGGAACCAAAACACAACCACCCTTCAGAATTCTCAGTGCTCCAAATTTTGCGGTGCAGCTTTCTGGCCTAGTAACATGCACAAGAATGCATATACTGGGCTAAATGTATATAAAAATGCATATATTAGTGAAAGTAACATACAAAAATGCATTATATTACGTTTAGGCATTTTATGAGGGTTTTGTGGTTTTTTTAAGGGAATGGATGTGGAAATGTGGAGAACTGAAGATTGGAAAAAGAAAAAGAGGGAGAGACAGAAAATGACAGATTCACCCATCACTAAAGAAAAAATTGTATTAATGAGCAATAAAAGAGTGTGTGGAGGGGGTCACATCTGCAAAATCCTGGCATCCAAGAAATTTGTGGTTTATCATTTTCTTTACAAGGAGGTAAAAGACAGCTTACTTGAATGGCACTACCCTGCAGAAAGGATTACTGGCTGTATCACAACACCCCACAGGCACCACAAATTCAGTGTCAAGGAAACTCAACAGCAAAGACAGAGATGAAACATTTCAAGCAGAAGTAACCAACACAGTTGCCCTCAAGACAAGGTTGTACTACAAGTCCCATCTGCCCCAACCAGTTTGGCCAATGGTCAAGAATGATGGGAGTTGTGGTCCACTAACATCTGGTGGGCGCCTCGTTGACTATCCTTGGTTTAGAGGGTGAGATAGATTAAAAAGGGAGATGAGGGACAGAGAATAATAGCTATGTGAAAAGGACAGGATTGTGATCAGCTTTATAGCCCATCCACTAGAAGTCATAGAATCATACAGTTGGAAGAGACCACAAGGGCCATCGAGTCCAACCCCTTGCCAAGCAAGAAACACCATCAGAGCACTCCTGACATATGGTTATCAAGCCTCTGCTTAAAGACCTCCAAAGAAGGAGACTCCACCACACTCCTTGGCAGCAAATTCCACTGTCGAACAGCTCTTACTGTCAGGAAGTTCTTCCTAATGTTTAGGTGGAATCTTCTTTCTTGTAGTTTGGATCCATTGCTCCATGTCCACTTCTCTGGAGCAGCAGAAAACAACCTTTCTCCCTCCTCTATGTGACATCCTTTTATATATTTCAACATGGCTATCATATCACCCCTTAACCTCCTCTTCTCCAGGCTAAACATGCCCAGCTCACTTAGTCGTTCCTCATAAGGCATCGTTTCCAGGCCTTTGACCATTTTGGTTGCCCTCCTCTGGACACGTTCCAGTTTGTCAGTGTCCTTCTTGAACTGTGGTGCCCAGAACTGGACACAGTACTCCAGGTGAGGTCTGACCAGAGCAGAATACAGTGGCATCTAGATGCTTGATCTAGATGCTATACTCCTATTGATGCATCCCAGAATTGCATTGGCTTTTTTAGCTGCCGCGTCACACTGTTGGCTCATGTCAAGTTTGTGGTCAGCCAAGACTCCTAGATCCTTTTCACATGTACTGCTCTCAAGCCAGGTGTCACCCATCTTGTATTTGTGCCTCTCATTTTTTTGCCCAAGTGCAATACTTTACATTTCTCCCTGTTAAAATTCATCTTGTTTGTTTTGGCCCAGTTCTCTAATCTGTCAAGGTCGTTTTGAAGTGTGATCCTGTCCTCTGGGGTGTTAGCCACCCCTCCCAGTCCCTTGTCAGTCTTGTCCCTTCTGGTCCTCTTTGATGTCTCAGTACCAGACAGAGCTCTCTTATTCATGAATTGGTTGTGCTCACGCTCTTCAGAGAGAGGCAAGCACTTCAGCAAGTCGTCTTTGTCATTCCGCATGGACACAGCAAGGCAGTTGTGCGTCTGCTTTCGCATGAATGAGAGTCTGAATTCCGCTCATATTATGCCTTGGTGGAAATTAGGTTGTCCAGACACACAAACAGCAAATTGCAGGATGATGGAAAATGGAATAGCATGAGAAATTCCAATCATCACCCCTACCACAGACCAAACACCAATAGTTGCATTTTGGACACCACACATTGAAGAAGTCTATTTGATTCTGTGTCAGATTCCTGGGACTTCAAGCTAATATCAGCAATACCATCAATGCCACTCATCCCCATGTGCAAAAGGCTGCCAGCTTTGGAAAATATCGACATTTACCAGGTTGCATGGTAATTCTGGCCAAAGATACCATTGACGAGTGCTGTGCATGAAAATAGGGGTCTGACCAAACACCTGTGGAGAGAGAGAGAGAGGGAGGGAGATGGAGAGAAAGATACAGAAAAAGATGATTAATGAAGTCTCTACTTTCATCTCCAGCTCTAGTTTCTACTGGGATATAGTCATTGCTTTTTAAAATGATAGTACTGTTACACACCACCCCAATCTCTGAACAAGGCGAGACTCCAGGGGTTCCAGGCGCTGACCCAGGATTTGTTTCTTCCTTGAATAGGAGCATGGGGAGGGGTGTTGCAAGCACTGGAAAACAAAGCAGGTAATGCACAACAGATGAAGGCATTCCTGCCCGCTCTCTGGTTTGTGCAGCAACGTGTAAACACATCTTGAAATGTAGCGGGGCAGGTGACAACCTCACTGAATTTGAAGTCACTAATATGTAATACGTACATAGCCAAATATACTGGGTATTAGAGGGAACTTACAGGAAGATTCAGGAATGTGTTGAAGAAGTCAGCAAAGATTTCATTTTGCATCAGAAGTGTCAAGTGCTTCTTGGCAATCAGTTCTGCAAAGAAGAAGAGCGTGATTGTGGTGAAAACGGAAGTTTGGGTTTGAAACAGTAAAGTTATCCACCGAATTATTTGCACTCATCCTTACTGCAAAAAAGTTGTCTTTTGAGGAAGCAGGTTTGTTGGGTAACACCTCCCAGTTGCAACACATGAATTTTGTGGTATGTGACTGAATATCATATATGGTATATCATAACAACAACAACAACTCCCTCCCACAAATACATTTTAAAGGCCAAAGGCCTGGTTATAGAGGAACATTATTGCCGGCACCTAAAGATACTCTATTTAGTGAAGGTGCCAGGCGAGCCTCCCTGGGGAGAGCATTCCATAAGCAGGGAGTCACCACAGAAAAGGCCTGTTTTCCTGTTGCCACCTTCCAGAGCTCTTGTGGAGGAGGCAACTGAAGAAGGGCCTCAGATGACAGTCTCAGGGTATGGATTGGTTCATATGGAGAGAGATGGTCCTTGATTATTCTGTTGGAATTGGTAGGAAGCGAGTCTCATCCACTGAAAAAATTATGAAGAGATATTGGTGTAGAAGAGCCAGTACTGACAGCATAGTGTTTTGAGTCTTGGGCTTGGCTGTGAAAATCCCCGTTTCACATCCACGAGGGCTTCTCTGAGAGCCTTTGGGCGCACCATGGCCATCTATCTGCCCAGCCTATCCCAGGGTGGTTGTGAGGATGGCTGGGCAGTTATGCCACCACCCTGAACTTCTTGATGGAAAGGTTTGATAAAAAATACAGTGAACAAATGATACGTGCGCACGCACACACCAACTCTTACTCATTCTGTTCATGTTGAGTCTGGGTTGAGGATGCTTTCACTGTCGCAGCATTTCAGGGCAGTTTTTGCTGAGCTCTGTTCTGTTATGATGCGTTAGAACAGTTGCTGCTCCAGCAGGTTCCACATTCCACCAAGGCAGCTCTTAGCTGATCAAGATTTTTCTCCATTGTTGCACATAACATGAAAAATTATATTGCTTTACAGATTTCCTCCTAACTATCAAAGATCTCCTTAGAATGTCCTGGCGCTGTTCATAGACTCAGCAGAGTCCAGGGGTGAAGTTTCCCCCCGAATGGCAGCACCTCAGGTTCCTGGTAGGGCTGCTGCATGTTTGAACTTGCTCTGTCCTCCCTTCCCAAAATAACCTCTCTGCACATAGGAAAAAAGCAGCAAGTCGGCTAGGAAGAACTCCTGTTCTTTGTGGGTGGGTGTATGCGTGACTGTGTGCAGGGAAATTCAAACATACAAACATTCATTCCCACTTGTACCCTAAAGTGGAACAGTCCAGGAAATGTTCTGCCATTTAGTTCATTATTAACAGGCCTTTGCATATCCCAAAACACACATTTCCCTAGCATGCATGTTGTACATGTGATCGTGGAGTTATGATATTTGGGCATTAATTGGAAATTGTTTCACACCAGCCCCACCGCAAGCTCACCACATACCTCTAGGGGTATATAGCACTACACTTCCCCTGCATAGGGGAGCAACCAAGATGATCAAGGGTTTGGGAACCAAGCCTTATGAGGAACGGTTGAGGGATCTGGGTATGTCTAGCCTTGAAAAGAGGAGACTGAGAGGAGAAGTGATAGTCATCTTCAAATATCTAAAGAGCTGTCACGTGGAAGATGGAGCAAGCTTGTCTTCTCCTACTCCAGAGGGTAGGACTCAGTCCAATACAACTAAACATGAGGAAGAACTTTTTGACAGTAAGAGTTGCTTGACAGTGGAACAGAATCCCAGTAAAGGTGGCGGACTCTCCTACCTTGGAGGTTTTTAAGCAGAGGTTGGGTGGCCATCTATCATTGATGCTTTAGCTGAGATTCCTGCATTGCACAGTGAGGGGTTGGACTAGATGACCCTTGGGTCCCTTCCAACTCTAAGATTCTAATTTTCTATTATTCTCTTCCTTAATAGCCTGGGGAAAATAATCAGGAACAACCACTAATTCCCAGTCCATGAAAGGATAAAATTGTTAGTTATGCACATGATAGGATAAAATTATTAGTTATGTACATAATGGCAGCCAATAGAGTAAAACTGACTTTGCACCTTGAGATGATAAATGCATCATTCACACTGCTAGTGTAACAGAATCTTGTGGCACCTTAAAGTCTGACTAAAACCAGTGGAGAGCCCTCATTGTCAATGATACGGAAGCAGATGGAGAGCAACGGCGTACGCCAGGTTTCCATGTTCCTATGTAGCGCATGAGTTCTAACAGCAGGTGGCAGAATGAGATCAAAAACCATGCATTCTAATCCCAGAGTTTGTGGAAAGTGCAGCAGGAAATCCCAGTGGCATGCTAAGAATTGTTAATACAATGGATTTTCTTCCCAAATCTGGATTACTGCTGCTTATCATCTCTGACTTAGATGTTGCAATAACTCCCAATTACTGCCACACAGTTACTGACGTATGTGGATTAAGTGCAGGGCTAGCACTCCAAGAACCGACAATCCTGATTCCAGAGACACAAGTCTCCCCGCCCTGCACAGCTTTGCACAGAGACTTTTAAGCATTAGATGACCAGGTCATCTGAAGGCCCGGTCAAGGCCTGATATTGTAAGCAAGGAAGAGCCGTTTTATGCAGGGTCCCCCTAAGATGCCACTTGGCTGCTGCTGCTGCTGCCAAACAATGACTTGCTTCCTCAGTCTCCACAACCACCCTGACGAGGGCCAGTGGCTGGCACAAGATCGCCCAGTGAGCTTCACGGCTGAGAGGGGATTTGAGCGCTGGTCTCCGAAGTCCTAATTCAACACGCTTAAGACCAGGCGGGCTCCAGAATTGTGTTCTCTGCTATATGCAGTCGTTCCAGCTACTGTGCGAATGGCGCCAGGTGAAGCCTCATGTCATGAAGTTCAAGTGACCAAGAGAAAATGTTCCCCTTTCTAGACTTTCATGTGAACCAGGATGTCTTGGGCAACACATGTACCAAATCTCAGCTTGCTGTTCAGTGTAGCAAAAGTCTGCTGGCAATTGCAATGGCCTGTGAGTTGAAGAATCCGTTTCAAGTCTATTATTTTTCACAGAGTATAAGCACTTGCTCCTTGCAAGCGTGTACCATGCAACCCCAGCCTGTGGGGTGCAGGACTAGGATTCCTTTCCTTTCCTTTCCTTTCCTTTCCTTTCCTTTCCTTTCTTATATTTCTATGCCACTTTTCACTCCCATGAGTCACAAATCGGCTTACAAACCCTGGAGTGGCAGTAACACACACACACACCCCTCCTGCCGTTTCCCCCCCTTACAATTGGCCATGCTGGCTGGGGCTGATGGGACTCAGAGTAAAACAGCATCTGGAGGGCTAAAGATTAGGCAGCCCTGGCCTAGGGAGAACATGGGGGAGAAAATTAAATCTGCACTGATACTAGAAAGAACACGGTAAGGACCCTGCCTTCTGCTTGCCTATGATTTGCCTGGTCTTGTCCTCTGCCCACAGGCCTCTGGGCCAATCAGAGGGTGGGGAAGCACAGCAGGCAGATTAACCTTGTAATGCTTGGCCAATATCCCACTATCATACTATGCAGGCTGTTTCCACCAGTATGGTAGTCACACCACACCTGGACTCAAATGCACCTGGACTCGATGGGGTGGAGAAACTCCAAAATGTCACTCTGTGGCATCCTGGGGTTTTTTTGTCCTTCAATGAGACATCAATGTGTTTCATCCTGGATCACTTTAGACTGACGTTCTCCCCAGCTTCAGGATAGCTGAGGCACACACTCGTCTGTCTACTGAATTAAAATGGGGCATTCATCATTCTCACAGCCAGAACACCTGTTTATTAGAGCATATAAAAGTGAGACTTAACTGCCCTACGGCTCCTGATTCTGCAGGAGTCCTTGATCAGAACATGGCCTCTGATTAGAAGTAGGCAAGTCCTATGCAATGGTGCACACAGAGATATAACAGGCCACCTCCTCTGAAGGTTAAGTCATTCTGCATTCCCTCTGCATTGGAGTGATGGAATAGTCATACCTGATCCAGATACGTCACAGGGCACAATCCCTCACACACCCAGAGGGGGGGGTGTTGATTGGAAGAAGGCATGGCCTTGATAGCAAATCATGTAGAGCTGGAGCTGAGAGTTCGTTCCCCCCCCCCTCTCTCTCTGTGTGTGTGTGTGTCCCCACACACTGAGAAATTGCACCCCAAATAGAAGCTTGCAAAAGGTATGCATGCTTGCATGGAAGTAAGTTTCAATGAAATGTCAATAAATCAGTTTCAATAAATGTGAGAGCTGTAGCTTGGTGGCCCAGGATCTTGTTTTGCATGCAGAAGGTCCCAGGTTCAGTCCCGAGGGAGGGCTGGGAAACCTTGGAGAGCATCCTACTCAGGTAAGTGTGAAAATTACCTGCTCCTTGGTAAGTGAGCGCAGGACTGACGCTTGCTGCCTCAGTCCTCTTTCCTCCCCATCTGCCTTCTGAGGCCACGGCCTCTGCATTGCCCCAGATGCATTGCAGACACACGTCATAGTCAAGCCTATCAGTGCCAGATGGAGCTCCTTTTCTGGGGCGGGGGGGACAGAAGAAAAAAGAAGAAAGCTTTCCAGTGCTACCTAGATAACCCCCTGACCTTCGCTACACACACACACACATTTTGAAACCAGCGACCATCTACCCCTGACCTGGCAGCTTCATCAAAGGCAGCAGGGACCTTTTGTGAATCTTTCAATATTGATTCGTTATAAAAGCAAATTGAGCACGTAGGCTTCTGTGCGTGAGAATTTCATCAGTCCTGCTACCTGGAAGCCAGAGGCTGTAAATCTGCCAGTAGATGAGCACAGCTGATGCATTCTCCACCAGTTCAAATCACGAACATGAACCTGAGACACAAGGAGGGGAAGACCAGGATATTCTCTGCAGAATCCAATGCAAAAGCTCTTCCTGGGCCATATTCTGCAAGCAGCAGCTGCACAACTGAATGATCCGTCCGAGTGAAATATCCCTCCATGTGGAAGAGCAGCGTGCTGTGGGAAAGGCATCGCTTTTCTCAAACATGCTTTTTTGCTGTATCCAGAGAGATGCTTTTTAACAGGGCTCAGAAAAAGCTTTCCTCTTTTTTTTTTTAATGATATTTATTAAAATTTCAAAAGAAAAAGATTACATTAATAAGAAAATTAACAATAAAAAGGAAAAATACAAAATACAAAAAAGAAAAAACAGTTAAAAACAATTCCATCTTTTCATCACTTCTCTTACATTTACTTGTTTCCCGGACCTCCTCATACCTCCCTCTTTTGTATTCCAATTCAATTTGTTAGTCCAGCAATTCCTTTCCCTCCTTTTTAATCCTGATCTTTAATCTTGATATATTATAACATTAAATTTTTACGTATTAAAAACCAATTTTTCCATATTCTTTTATACCATTACAGCTAGAAACCGCTTAACTTCAATCCGTCATCATTCTAACATTCATTAATTTTACAATATTTCTGTAAGTAGTCTTTAAATTTCTTCCAATCTTCTTCCACCGACTCTTCTCCCTGGTCTCGGATTCTGCCAGTCATTTCCGCCAATTCCATGTAGTCCATCATTTTCATCTGCCATTCCTCCAGTGTGGGTAGATCTTGTGTCTTCCAATGCTTTGCAATAAGTATTCTTGCTGCTGTTGTAGCATACATAAAGAAAGTTCTGTCCTTCTTTAACACCGATTGGCCGACCATGCCCAGGAGAAAGGCCTCTGGTTTCTTCAAGCAGGTATATTTAAATACCTTTTTTAATTCATTATAAATCATCTCCCAGAAAACCTTAATCCTTGGGCACGTCCACCAAAGGTGAAAGCATGTACCTTCAGTTTCTTTACATTTCCAACATTTGTTATCGGGCAAATGGTAGATTTTTGCAAGCTTGACTGGGGTTATGTACCACCTGTATATCATTTTCACAATATTCTCTCTTAGGGCATTACATGCTGTAAACTTCATACCTGTGGTCCACAACTGTTCCCAGTCAGCCATCATTATATTATGTCCTACGTCTTGTGCCCATTTGAGCATAGCAGATTTCACCGTTTCATCCTGAGTATTCCATTTCAACAGCAAGTTATACATCTTTGACAAAATCTTAGTTTTGGGTTCTAACAATTCTGTTTCTAATTTTGATTTTTCCACCTGGAAGCCAATTTTCTTGTCCAAATTGTATGCCTCCATTATCTGATAATAATGAAGCCAGTCTCGCACTTTGTTTTTTAGTTTTTCAAAACTCTGCAGTTTCAATCTATCTCCATCTTGTTCCAAAATTTCCCAATATTTCGCCATTTGACCTCCATATTGAGCTTTTTCAGAGCTTTCGCTTCCATCGGTGACAGCCACCTTGGGGTTTTATTTTCCAATAAATCCTTATTTCTTATCCAGACATTAAACAATGCTTTCCTGACAATATGGTTTTTAAATGCTTTATGTGCTTTGACCTTATCATACCACAGATATGCATGCCATCTAAATACATTGTTAAAGCCTTCTAGATCCAAAATGTCAGTGTTTTCAAGAAGCAGCCATTCTTTCAACCAGCAAAAAGCTGCTGATTCATAATAAAGTTTGAGGTCTGGCTGGGCAAATCCACCTCTTTCCTTTGCATCTGTTAATATTTTGAATTTTATTCTGGGCTTCTTGCCCTGCCAGACAAATCTAGAAATATCTCTCTGCCACCTCTTGAAACAGTCCATTTTGTCCACAATTTGCAATGTTTGAAACAAAAACAACATTCTAGGCAATACATTCATTTTAACCGCAGCAATACGGCCCAGCAGTGAAAGCTTCAAATTTGACCAAATTTCTAAATCTTTTTTCACTTCAGCCCAACATTTTTCATAGTTATCTTTAAATAAATTCCCATTTTTTTGCTGTCATGTTAATCCCCAGGTATTTAACTTTCTTAACCACTGTTAAACCTGCTTTCCACCCCGCAGACTGCATAAACTGACTTCCAGGGCTGAATTAGATTGGCAGGGGGATGGCACCCACCCACAGCTGCTGCCTACCCCAGGATACTTGACCAAGGTCCTCCTGGCAATGACGTAGAACCTGACAGCCTCATGCTCAGAGTTTCTGGCTCTGATCCACTCCGTGGCTGCTGCTGCTGCAGGCGAAGGTTGCAGGCAGTCATGTGCCCTTCTTCACAGATGATGCTTCTCTCTTTGAAGGAACCAAAGATAAAGGACGAGCAGCAGGGGCTTGGCACCCAGAGAGCCCACTAAGCAGGCATACTCCAGAGGTCACCTGGTCACCAACTTCCCGATAGGGTGAGGTCTGCTGTAAACGTAAAGGGACTCCTGACAGTTAGGTCCAGTCGCGAACGACTCTGGGATTGTGGCGCTCATCTCGCTTTACTGGCTGAGGGAGCCGATGTTTGTCCGCAGTTTGTCCGGGTCATGTGACCAGAAAAAGCTTTCCACCCCACAGACTACATAAACTGACTTCATGTGGCGAAACCAGAGCAGCGCACGGAAACGCCGTTTACCTTCCCACCAGAGCGGTACCTATTTATCTACTTGCACTTTGACGTGCTTTCGAACTGCTAGGTTGGCAGGAGCAGGGACCGAGCAACGGGAGCTCACCCTGTCGCGGGGATTTGAAACACTGACCTTCTGATCAGCAAGCCCTAGGCTCAGTGGTTTAGACCACAGCGCCACTCACATCCCTTTTTGAGGTCTGCTGTACTCCCGTTTAAATCATACTTGCAGTTTCTAAGTTTGCATCTCTACATACAAATCAGCACGTGCAAATTATATGCAGATCTGGGTCCTCTTTTGCCTTTTTTTTAAGGGGTGCCTTTCCTCTCTTTTTTTGCTTTTGTAAGTAGCCTGAGCATCCCATGCATTGTCAATCTCTGGAGCAGCGGTGGGAGAACCTGTGGACCTCCAGACACTATTAGCCACACCGTTCCACCAACCCACTTGCAGCAATGGCAAGGGAGAGGGATGATGGCCATCCAGAGGACCTCACAGTCTCCAACTCTTGCTCTGAACATCGGCAGGGAAAGGGGGTAGCTATGCAGCTTCTCTAACCCTGAGGCTGTGCAAACACTAGCAACTTAAAAGGCAGCAAGGTGTGTTTCAAGTCACCTTACTGGAAACATCAGAGGGAGGGCAAAGATGTCACCCTTCTTGATGTGCCTCCCCCACAAGAGGTCTGGAGGGTGGCAACACAAGAACGGGGCTTTTCTGCAGTGGCTCCCTGTTTGTGGAATGCTCTCTCCAGGGTAGGAGACGCCTCTGGTCCCTTCAGGTGTGATTGGCCAACATGTGGCCAAAGCCAAAGAACAGAGTACAGTATGCTAGTAAGTCTCTCTTCTCTTTGGCGATCACTCGTAGCTGAGTAAGATTGTCTTCCACAAACACAGTTTGAACAATGAGTCCGTAAGTGACTGTGGAGGCCAATTCTGGATCCACACGCCCTTCCACAGTGGGGACCTTGGTTTCCGGGCGGGAGTTGATCACGGTGTGGATTTGCCAGGCGTGCCTTCCTCCTAGCATGTTTCTCCCTTGCGTACTGAGTTTGAGTATCTTCAAAGCCCATGACACCTTTGGTAAGGGCTGTTCTCCAACTGGAGCGCTCGCAGGCCAGCGTTTCCCAGTTGTCCGTGTTTATACTACATTTTTTTAGATTTGCCTTGAGACAGTCTTGAAACCTCTGCTAGCAAGTAAACATGTTTGGAGCTAAGGGAAGTGGAGTTCTCCAAGATCCCTCGCTAGAGGGGGCTCATCTCACCCTGGCTTCAAGTCACCCAGCCTCCTGCTGTAGCTTTAGTTGGTAAACAGCCTTTGAAAATAGCTTGCGGGGGGGGGGGGTATGAATTCTGAACAAGGGCAGCCTCCAAGACACCTAAGCACCTTCGAAGAACCTTTGTTCTGACATGCAATGAGCAGGGGGTGAGGCAAGAGAGCGAGGAAGGGACAAAAGCCGACCCCTTCTGCAATTTCCTTTCTTTGCAACACAGAGAAAGGAAGATTGGTACCAAGGAAAACTGGCTAATACTGGGAGAACACTTGATATCCCAGATTAGCAATGGAGAAAATGGATTTTTAGCAGGCGCAGCTTGTCATCTAGGAGTCAGGAAAACCGTGGCAGCCCAAATTCTCTCTTCCATGGGTGCTCCTAAACGGGGCCTTAATATTGCAACTGAGTCAAGTCTGAGGGGCACCTGTCTGGAGACACCTGACATACCTAAGAAACTCTGAATATCAAAGAAACAGATGCTGGACTAGGGACACCATCAAACTGGTCTACCTCTCCACACCGAGTTATCTGGAGTGTGTTCTGCAACAGGCAGTTGACGAACGCAGGGAGCTGCTTTCTACCAGAGCACGGGTCAACCAGAGTGGAGGCAGCTCTCCTGGGGTTTAGGCAAGAAACCTTCCCATACGTACCTGGGGAAAGGAGACCTAATAAAAACAGGGGTGGGGTGAGCAGGGCTCCTCCTTGCCAGTTGTCTAGAAGAGGGAATTTCAGTTGGCTAGCTATGCTTGCAGAAATCCCCTTTATTAAAGGTGCAGGATCTGTACCCTCTTTTTCAGAGATGAATCTGAGAACTTTTGTGGGCAAAGTACATGCTCTACCACAGACTAATTAATTTGCAATGCCATTTTAAAGATGATAATCGTAATAATTAATTTGTGTGCCCCCCTCTCTCTGTCCCTAGCCCAGTTTCTCCCCTAGCTGAGCAATTAGGTTCAAGTGACCAGATACGAACTTGTCTGAATAATTGGAGGTTTGTCTCCACTGCGAAATAACCGACCACTTGATGGGATCCCAAACCATGGCACCAGACAAAGCACTGTCTGATGGAAGGGCTTGGAGAGTTGAAGAAGAGGCAGGGAGAGCCCAGGTGACTCAAGGTGAATGGAAGATGGGTCTGAATTAGGACTTGCCTTCCTCCATCAACTCGATCCAGCTCCTCAAAGAACAGACAGTAATGGTAGCAGCAAGCCACAGCTGCAATTTGAGGGCCAGCCCAGGGCCTCCCAGATGCTGTGAGGCTCCAATTCCCATCATCCCTGACCACTGGCTGTGCTGGATGGGGTTGGTGGCAGTTGGGAGTCCCAGGGCACATGAGCTAGCCTTGATGGCTAACAGTCTCCATGAATTGGTGCAAATCTTTCTACAAAGCCGTCTAAGGCAGGGGCCAACACTACATTTTGTAGTGAATTGTGTAAGCTAATGAGAGACTGAACAGAGAAGTGCTTGTCTTTTGTCTGACCCAAACCCACTACCAGTTGATCCCACACACACTAGCATTATCATGTGCAAAAGCAGCACAGGGTGGTATACAATCAAGTTTTACTCAAAGCATGCTAGTGGAATTAAGGCACTTAACTGAGAGCTCATGCAGACTTCCTTTCATGCTGTTTTACTGCTGAATCGAACCTGCTCAGCTTCAATTCTGCGCATTCACACTGTTTTCTGGGCTACTTGCCTCTTAGTTCCTACACAGCTCCTTCTGCTGTCAAGCAAAGTCTTTAATTCTTCATTCCCACTTGCCCAGAGCCATCATATGAGGTTCATGAGAGAAGTGCTCTCTGTCTCTCTCTCTGCCCCTCCATCTCCACAAAGTATAAAGTGAGTGTACACTTAAAATATTAGGCCTTTCAAAGGGGGGATGTAAGACGTGAAATCGCTTTGAGATGTTTTATGGAATGCGATTAATAAATGCAATTAAATAATATATAAAACGTTGGGATTAAAGGCATGACAATCTCTTGGCTAGGACCTCGGCAGTAATAATGCAAAAAGTAGCTGGGGTGGAGGACAGGACTGTCTCAGTGGTGGCCCCAAATCTTTGGAATTCCCTCCCCAGGAAGGCGTATTAGGCCCCCTCATTGGCACTTTTAAAGAAGGGGGGTTTTAGAAAGAAAGAAGAAACTGCACCTACCCAGCACTCAGCTTTTTGTCCGACACCTTATTTGGCTTTTGCTTTAGGAGTTGTGATTGTTGCCACTGTGAATCTGTAAGGGGTTTTTTCTTTCTTTCTGATCACAAGTTTTATTACCTGATGGGTTGCATTTTCTTAACTGCTGCAAAAAGTGGGTTGAAACAAACGCCTTGTTTAAAATTCATTAAAGACCAACCCACCCAAACAAAACAACGCAGCCCCCAGTCACCCCAGCAAAATGCAAACACGAAAAAAACCCCAAAGCAACCCGACTCCCTTCCCCTGCCTCTTGGAGCTGTTTGCGACGCTAAGATTACATGTACCGGCGTGCAAGTTCGTATGTTGTTTCAGCGAGCGCGGAGAAAGTTGCGCAAAGGCAGTTCCCGAGGTGTCAACATTTCGGAGAAAGCTCCTCCGCCAGCTGCCCGTCCTCGCTGTCCAGGACCTGCTTCTTGGAAGGAACACCCCCATCCTGAAAATCCCGGCATTTTTCGTTTGCATGGCCCTTGCAGCGAGACTACACAGATGCATGAAGTGCTACGGGGAGACTGGGCTGCAATTCTCAAACCTTTGCTACAAAAAATTAAGCCCCCCGGAACTGACTGGGCTTGACTTCCAAGCAAGCGCGGCTAAGTGGTGAGACCCGGAAAGGGGCAGGAGGGAAGCCGGAGCAACTGGGGCCAAGAAGCGGCTCCCGCTTTCACTCTTGTCGTCCAATTTTCTTTTCCAGACCGCCCCCTCCCCCCCTTTTTTGCACGCTCCTTGCTTTGCCTCGGACGACTCAAGCCCAGCCTGGCCCCCCCGCCCCCGCCTTGGCGACCCCGGGCATTTCGGCTCCAAAATGAGCGCCCCCCCCCCGCTTCCTCGCGAGTCGGGCTGCCCGCAGGGCTGCCCCAAAGTAAAGGCAGCCGCGTGCGGGGAAGGGGGAGTGGAGACCCCCCCCCCGTCCCAGTCGGGCAAGGGCTTCCTTAGGCGGGCTTGCTTTTTGGCAGGCGGGGGGGGGCTGCTGCTTGGGGGCCTTCTCCCCTCCCCCTCTCCCGCGTCAGCTGATCCCGCGCCGGGCCAATCGGGAGGCGGGGCTGGCGCCGGGCAGCGCTTAAAGGGGCGGCCGGCGGCGCAGCGCCTCTAGAGCGGAGCATGGCAGCGCCCCGGCCCCACTGACCAGCCCGCCGCCTCCGCCTCCGCCGCCGCCTCCGCCCGCCGCGCATCCTCCGCCGCAGTCGCCCAGGTAAAGCCCGGCTGCGAGGGACGCCGAGGCTCTTTCCGTGGGCTCGCGCGCCCGCCTCTCCTCCTCTCCGGCTGCCGGGCGGGGGAAGAGGGAGCCGGCTTGGGAGGGAGCGGGGAGCCGCGCTTCTTTCGGGTCTGCCACGATGCTGTTCACACGGGGCGAGGGCGGAGCTGGCGGAGGGGGGGGTTAAGCGTGTCCTTCGCATGGAGAAAGGGGGGGGGACTCGGGGGGGGAGGGTGTCTGGCAGCATTTGCCCCCTTGGCTTTTCGCCTCTGCCTCTCCAGCCCCTTCCTCCCGCCCCTTCCCTTTTCTCCAGCTAAGCCGGTCTTGTTTCGTTTGCATTTCTCCTCAGCTGATGGCATCCGCTTCTGTCTGTGCCTCTGTTTCGGGAGAGACAATGGGCGCTGTGTGCCCGGCAGGAGGCGAGGCAGGAGGCTCTCTTTCTTCTTCTTTTCCTCCGAGACACGAAAAGCAGGTTTCTCCAACCCTGATCTGGGGGGCTTCCTTGTAATCGGGAAGCAAAAGGAATTTTTCATGCCTGTGTTTGAGTAACGTGGGGGCAGGGAGAGGGATTGCTAAAGAAGGGCGAGCTCGAAAGAAGCTTATTTTATTCTGCATTTCTTCCGCAATCCCTTTTTACTTTCCACATTTCAAAGGCATGGTAATCTCCAATCTGGTTGCTTTTTGAATTTCCAGGATCTGTAAAAACAAGAGTGTAAGTTGCTCCTGGGAGCCTGTGGAAATGCTCCTCAGCCCAGTGTGTTTGGGGTGGGGTCTCCAGGAGGGGCGAGCGCAGGCATCGCATTTCATCACTTACAGGCATACAGAAGAAGCGAGCACCCCCTTCCCTCTGGGTCTCAGGGAGGCACAGCTAGCAGGGAAAGAAGCCTCTGCCCTGGAAACTCTCCAAGGGATCCACCTGGAGGGCTTGTCTTTGAAGAGGATGCCTGGAGCAGAGGAGGACACAGTGGAAGGACCAAGGGTGGGGGTCAAAAGCATGTGCCCACACCACTTCACCTTACAGATCCATTTGGAAAATAAATCCTAAAGTAAACGTAGGTGCCATCATAGGTCATAGGACCTTACTAAAATGCCACATAACTACAAAAGCTTGTTCATTCCCTATCAAGAGGTTTTTGAAGTGTGGCTGTGACAACCACCAGTACTGTACACTCAGTGGGGAGCTGGGCTTGGACTCCCACCTCCTTATCAGTATTTGGAGTGTGGCAAACTTGGCTTTGCCTCCCTGGCACATGGGAAATGGCCCTTCGGTTGGAGAGCACAGGAAATAAATCCTCCTGGGAGAAGTTAGGCACCTCAAGATAAACAGCTTGGAAATAGTCGAGAGTGGAAATGGGGAGGCTTTGCAAAGGCGTCGCCACTGCCTTTCCTAGAAGGGGACAGTTGGACTTGATGAAGGGGAACCAATGTGGTGCCATGCAGATGTTGCTGAACTGTAACTCCCATCATCCCTGGCTGGGGCTGATGGGAATCGTAGCCCAACAAGCACTTTGGGTGTCTCTGGACAAGTTTGCCATTTGTATGTACAATATCGCACGACATATATTTGTACTGCGTATGGCTCAGGGTGGGTAGATGATCCAGACCTCAATGGAAGCATTCCTTTGTAGCAGTTTTTTTCATGTGGAGCTACTTCATAATAAGTTTTTTGGGGGGAAACCAGTAGAAGAGCATACAGACATGTCTACCACTACATAGAATTTCCCACACAACAAAGAGTTCTGTGTGAACTCAAAAGCTTGCATAGCATCCTGGGTAGTGGAGCTATACAGTCAGCCAGCCTCTTGATGACTATATCTGTGCAATATATTCTTGTTATATTTCATCTTCTACATTTTTAAGGAGTAAGCATAAAAGCTTTAACACTAAAAATAAAGTGGGGAGTTATTTTTCAATGGAAATTCATTATAGATATAGCTAACACTTTTCAACATAAAATAACTCTAGTCCCCAAAAGATTATACCATGATGTATTAATCTTCAAGGCGCTACAGGACTCTTTGCTCCCTCATTAAGGGAAAGTTGCATGAATGCAGAAGATAAAAGGGGAAATGCATAACAATTCAATGAAATTGTCTAATGAAGCATTGGAATGTTGTTTAATTGTGTTATTTTGCCATGCTTTTTATCACATACTAGTAGCCTTACTAGGCTGCTAATGCACATCAATTGACAATACAAATTCCTGTGTTTGGAGGAACATTAGGTTTCCAGTGTTTCAATGTCAATTTTTTGTAGCTACCAGAAAAGTACTTTTTGTGCATCCCAAACTAGAGAGATTATTAGTGGAGTTCCTGTTTAACATCAGCTAGGACCCTACAGCCTTCACAAAAGGGGACCTTTATCCACTGCAAAAGTAGTTGGAAGTGTCTGTTCCCATTACAGTATGAGCCTCTGTGTCTACTCAGAAGTAAGCCTCATTTATTTCAGTGAGACTCACAGGGGAAGTGTGTGTACTGTACATTGTACAAGAAGATTGCAGCCCTAGTTTCTCTTAAGAAAACAGCAAGTTACTGGATAAGTATTGCAAGTTCATGATCTGTTTGATTAAAGAGCAGCATACAAGCTCCCATTGGGAAGAACTTCTGATCTTGCGCCAGAGTGGTCAAGTGCTGCAGAGTGCTGGGAAGCCATCTGTGCTGTCCAGTGTAAATTCAGTACAGTGGAAAATATGCCATGCATATTTAAATCACACTTCCCAACTTGAGAAAGTTTCAGAGTTGGTCCAGGCCTTCCTGAAATCTCCTTTATACAATAGGTATCGGTTTCATGTATATCATGTTACAAGTATGGGAACAACACATTGCTGGATGGGTCTCTCAGATGCTAAAAATAGTATAAATAGCAGTACCCAGTTTACAGCAGGATGGTGCAGTTGAGTTCATTTTTTTTAGCTTTCTGCGGAATTGAGTTGTTCGAAATGTATATCTGGGAATCATGAGCTCACCTGGAATCTGGGAGTTTTGTTGTTGAAGCTGCCCCCGTGGAAGGACCTCCACATGCGGAATTATGCCATTACAAAAGTGTTTGGCACATGGGCAATGCCATGTTCACCACTGGCTTTCCTATCGTGCACAATACGTATGTCTTACAAGCATGTTTCCATTCACTCAAGGTAGGAGAGATTGTGTACAGGTTCTAATGGATTTGGAAAGTCTTAAGTAGATCGTTGAGACTGCCTTTTAATATAGTTTCATCAGTAAAATATATTACTTACACTGGTTTGTTGTAGTTTTCCAGGCATGATTCAAAGTGCTGGTTATTGCATACTCGTAAAACGCTTATAATTATGGCTGGGGAGGTGTATGCAAAGGAAGGGCCTGTAGCTTGCAAGGGCCTTTAAATGGATGTGTGTGCATGGAATACTTTGCAGAATCCCTATCAAGGCCATCCCCTGTCAGTACTGGAGAGCACATTTTACCCTTATTGTTGTATTGTACCCAAGTACAGCACTTAACTATCCCTCCAATTAATTAGTAGCATTTTGCTTATATGGGAGAAATGATACCTCATTGGGACAGGTGCATGTTAAATCTTCACAGACCTATCCAGACTGATCTGCCCCTGATCTACTCAGAATGAAGCTTGCCCCAGCCGGGGTTTTGCTTCTTGGTCATGGGGTGGAATGCGGAGTGAGAATAGGCTTACGTTAGCCAGAGCCTGGGCTCAAAGTACCATCAGATGCTGTTATGTTCATGAGAACACCCTCCAAGGCCTTCATAACTCCTACCCTCTAACTCATCATAGCTTAGGAAGCTAAATTAGTTTCTCTCTTTAGGAGACAGATGAAAACCTTCCTGTTCAGGCATGCTTTGCGGATGTGAGATTTAATATTTTGCTGCTGAAGATTTTGCCTTGTACAATGTTTTCATGGTCTGGTTTTTATGGAGGATCTTTATTGTGCATTACCTTGGGCAGTTAATTTGGAAGGACAGTGACACATTTCTTAAAACATACCTTTTCTCACCTGGTCTAAAGGGTTTTTTGGGGGAGGGTTGCAGCTTGTGCAACTTCTTGGCATGAGTTTGTAGTAACAGCTGTTTTCAATTGTTAGCAAACAACTGATAGAACAGCAAGATACTGATATGACTCTAGAACAATTTAGATTCCTTATTTTAAAAATGGAAAGTGCAAGAAGCAGACAAATTAAAGATGGCAGTGACACGCAGATTCCAGTATTAAATTGAAAAGCACCACTGGATATGACACCCTGTGCTCTCTGAATTCCAAAGTGGGCATCACTCTCTCCCAGTTTTTTATATGATGAAAGTCCTAAACACCTAGCATGGCAATACTGGAAGTGCTAATCAGGGCTGAATTATTTGGGACTGAGTGCTTCTTTTGTATAACAGTGTCCCAAGTCAGATTTTGGAATTCAGGCAATACTGCCAGCTCCTCGTTTTTTAACAGCATTGTTGCTCAACCCTCAACTGCGTATCACATCCTGACATACAGTAACTTGTTTTGATTGACCCAACTGTGTTGACTGTGCAGTGTGGTCATATGTGTATATACCAGCAAAAGTGTGGCTTTCATGTCACATGAAGGTGATGCAAGTTGCCACTTCAAAGCATGGCTGTCTTTAGATTCCATTTGCCCATCCATGGCCTGATTTTCAGGCAGTGTAAATAGCTGGCAGCGCTCCACAGCTGGACTCTTAACTTGACTGGCATACTCTGCCTGGGTTACCAGAGAGCACTGATTGCAACTAGGAAAGTGTCCCTCCTTGCTTGTTGGCAGGACTCCCTTTCATGGACTCCTCCCCACCCCACTTTGCTTTACAGGCCTTCAGAAGCAGCTTCTGTAGCCATGGCTACCTCTGCGAGCTCCCACCTGAGCAAAGCCATAAAGCAGATGTACATGAAGCTGCCTCAGGGTGACAAGGTGCAAGCAATGTACATCTGGATTGATGGGACTGGCGAGTTCCTGCGCTGTAAAACCCGGACCCTGGAGCAAGAGCCCAAGAACGTTGAAGGTAAGCAGGCGGGTTGGCATGTGCTTCTATCCTACCTGTGAAAAAGGACCGCAAGCCATGTTGTTGTTGTTTATTGAATTTATATACCGCCCTATACCCGGAGGTCTTAGGGCGGTTCACAGAGAAGGTCAACATAAAAGCCACAATATATATATATAATCAAAATAAAAACAACAACTCTCCCCCCCCCGGTCTATTTGTGATGCCAGCTTCTTGCTCTGGCTCTGCGATGCCACCCTGTTTCTGGGCAAGAGCTGCCAGCCTAGCTAGTGACTGCCTGGTGACTAGGCAGCCCTGTTCAGGGAAGTTTTTAATGTGTGATGTTTTATCGTGTTTTAAATAATTCTGTTGAGCCACCCAGGATGACTGGGAAAACCCAGCCAGATGGGCAGGGTATAAATTATTTATTTTATTTTATTTTCTGCATTGAAGAAGAACCTGGCTCTTTCCCTGGTCTGAAACATTTTTCCATTGGGTAAAAGACTGAAAACGAGCATGGTGGTGGTGTTTTTATGAGTTTTTATGAGTTTATAGTGCATTCCAGCTCCCCAGCCAACAATGTTTACTACAGTTCTTTGCACACTTACCTGGGAGTAAGGCCTGAACACAGTGGGACAAAGTTGTCTAGTGGGATAAATGGATTGTCTGCCAAAGTTCAGTTCCTTTTTGTGCCAGATGAACCGAACGTTGGTGGAGGAGAAAAGGTGGGGAAGAGGTTTGTCTACATTTCACAAAGAAGGCAAAGTCATATCTTTTTCCTTTTAATTCCCTCTAAGACAAGTAGAGCCAAAGTGACTTCAAAAAATTGATAAACTTGAACTTCAGCCTAGGCCTTAGATCAGAACCATTATCCAGTGATTCACTGTTTACTCAAAGCTTGGGTGGGTTGGTCACCAGTGTGCAGTGTAATCCTATGTATTTCTGCTCAGAAGAACACACCACTGAATCTAATAGGACATCATAGGACATGATTCCCCTCAGACTTACAACTTTTGTGCTAAGCTTTTTCCCCAGACTCAAAGCAGCTGAGCTGTCTGCCCCCCTTCTGCCCCCAGGACAGGGAGCCTGTGACCCTCCAGATGTTGTTGGATGGCAGCGCCTCCCGTTCCTGACTGGACCGAGTTGGTTGGCGCTGATGTGACTCTCCACAGCATCTGCAGGGGGCTTCCCATCCTCAATGAGGTCTGCTCTCTTGCAGGCTGTGCTGTGATTCTGAAATAAGCCCAACGCGTTACACCTTTAGAGGATCCTGGGAGGGTAGTTTGTTTCGGTTGCTGGGAAATGTAACTCTGTAAACTACCATTCCGGGGTTCTGGGGGGTTGTGGGGGCTTCCTGATCATGCCGCTTGCTTGTTCGCTCAGGGCCTTGGTGTGCCAGTATTCATCCCTGATCTTGTGAAGGTGGCAGGAAGCAAGGGGGGGGGGAGAGCCATAAAAATTTCCACTGCGCACAATGAGTTGGCCTTTTGTTTGCCCCTCCGAACAAAGTGGCCTCCCCAACACAATAAACAGCATTAGGATTTCTTCACATGTTGCCATGGAGCTGGCCAGAGATGGTTATGAAACCCGCAGAGCATGTATGGCCAATTAGAAGTATTTAGTCGAGTGCTTTGTTTTCATTCTGAGGAGCGAGCGGCTGGCACTGCTTGGTTTAAATCATTTCGCCACCTCAAGCATATGAAAGGGATCAAGCTGGCTGGCCGGCTGGATTAACCACTTTAATGCCAATTCAAATATGATTATACTGTTTGCTCATTCTCCCTCCCGCCATCTCTGAGTGCTTGTACCTGGGCCCACTCTCACGCACACATCCTGCCCTGGAGGGAACGCTTTGAAACAGAGCAAAACCAGACTCCTGGCATGAGGAACGCTGTGGGGTCAAGATCTGGGAGAGTGGGGGGAGCAGAGGCGCCTGGGGCAGGATCTGAAGCCCTGGATTATTTGCAAGCACAGCTGCCCAATGTTTTGAATCAAGTTTCTCTATAAACCTGAGGATGTGGGGCTTCCGCTTTTAATATAATGGGTTCTGGAGCATCCTAGCTCTGTGCTGAATGGCAGGTGCTCTGCTTGGATTCTCTGATAATTGTTGTAACAAGCTGTTGGCATGAAATGGTAGCATAGGAACATGGTCACAGACACCAGTGGCAAGGTATGGCATGGTGGACGTCTAGTTTCTCTGTTTTGCGGGGGGGGGGGGTCAAGCTGCCGCCACCTTGGGCCTGTAACAGATCTTCAGTATTTCCCGTTAGGTGGAAAACCAACTAAAACTGTTTCCCGCATTGATACAGAAAATCCCCTTGTGTGCCAAGTTTTGTACACATTGCAGGCATCTTCCTAAACAGCTGCTCCAGAACATGATAAATCCCAAATGCACATTTATCCTGGATGCAACTTTCCTATTCCTCACAAGCAGGCCTCATTTCAGCTATAGTGGTGGCAGCACAGCCAGTTAGCATAGATTCTTTTTCTGGGAAGCAGCCGGAGTTTATCGCTAAGGCAGCCTGTGCTTCTGCTTCCAGATCTGCCAGAGTGGAATTTTGATGGCTCTAGTACCTACCAGTCTGAGGGCTCCAACAGCGACATGTACCTGGTGCCATCTGCCATGTTCCGGGACCCCTTCCGCAAAGACCCCAACAAGCTGGTGCTCTGCGAGGTCCTGAAGTACAACCGCAAGCCGGCAGGTATGTCCAGCGCTGCTCCTTTCCCCTTCCACTCTGCTCTTGATAGGAAAAAGAGAGTGCAGAAAAGGCTGCGCTTGGGAGAAATGAGGAACGAGTCGTAGTAATGCTTAGGAAGTTCAGGCCCCGTCAACCTGAGAATGGGAGCGAGGAGATACGGTGCTTGTTCTTTTTTTAAAGGACAAAACAAATTCACAGAGGTTGGTATCTGGTGTCAACAGCTGCTAGCTAAGATGAATAAGGGAAACCTCTGTGCTTAGAGGGCAGCAGAACAGAGGACAGGATTCCTGGAACATAGGAGCTTACTTCCCATGAGACATTAAGCAGCACTTTCAGGTTGTGACAAAAGATTTACCGTACAAATTAAGGATAAGCAATTTGTTTGTTTTCAATAAGATTTTTATTAAGATTTGCCCATAATACAATAAGATACCTGAGAGATAAAATGAGAAAAAGAAGCAAATGGAAAAGAGAAAGGGAAAATAGAGAAATAGAAGAGAGAAAGAAAAAAATAAAGAAAGCAGAAACAGAGAAACATTAGCAAAAATTACAAAAGAGGGACTTTGATTTTCCATCTGCTGGTCGCATACTAGAAGAAAATAGAATTATTTAAAACAATCAGTCAATTCAAGCAACTGTCTACTCCACTTTCTGATAAACAATATTTCCTCTAAGTTACAAGTGTCCCATAGTCATTCATTTCCTTTTCTCACGGAAAGTCCAAAATAAGCAATTTGGTTGTGGTGTGTAAGTGTCCCCCTCTTCTTGAAGCAAGCATTTTGATCCTCTTTTATTTCCATGCTTTTCTATGTACAAGAGTACATACACTGTCAGAGGAGAACTTGATTTGATTTGATTTGATTTGATTTGATTGCAAGTGTTTTATGCTGTAAGCGGCCCAGAGTGGCTGGGGCAACCCAGTCAGATGGGTGGGGTATAAATAAAATAATAATGATAATATTTAACCCTAGCATCCCTATATAAATGTAACAGGTAGTCTTACACCTTTTTGAAAGAGAGAAATTTAACATTTCCTTCATGGATCAAACCAAAGGTCTGTCTAGTCACCAAGCTGGTGCCCTCCAGATGAGGATTTGGACTATGGATGGTGCTGGGTGGGTCTGATGAGAGTTGCAGTCCAAAACATCATCCAGAGGGCACCAAGTTGGGGAAGGCTGATCTAGACCAACCTTCTGTGTCCAGTAACCACAGCCATTTGCCTCCGGAAGCTCACAGTGCTGGCGTAATGTTGGCAGAAAAGCCAGTAAACATCAGATGCCACTTTCAATCCACAAGACATTCATTCTTCCAGCTGCGTCGGCTGATCTGTTGGATGCATGCATAGCTCCCCCATGCTTCTTTCTCGCAACATATTGAACACAGTCATTCTTCTCTTTTAACCACTGCCTCGCCTTCCTGCAGAATCCATTTGCAGCTTGGAGCCATGACACTGTAGTTACCATGGTGATAACACCGTTGCCAAGGTGACATTTCAAGCACACCGTTAAACATAACTGTTTGGGTTTGATCCCAGTGTTCAAGATAGTTTAGCTGCAAAGTCTAGATCCCAGTTTAGCTAGAAGCTTTTGGAATGGAATTGGGCAATCTCTCCCAGCTTCCATTCTTGATATGGGAAATGAGCCTAGTGATCCACTTTCCAGGATGACTCTGTGGTTTAATTGGAAAGAACCACAAGACGCTCTGGCCTTTACTGATAGATTGCAACACTTTCTACAGTTCTGAATGGTGTTATTATGTTTTGCTGATCTATGTTGCCCTGATGTCTTACAATATGGTGAGGGATGCGGGTGGCGCTGTGATCTAACCCACTGAGCCTCTTGGGTTTGCCAATCAGTAGGTCGGTGGTTCAAATCCCCATGATGGGGTGAGCTCCCATTGCTCGGTCCCAGCTTCTGCCAACCTAGCAGTTCGAAAGCTTGCCAGTGCGAGGAGGTAAATAGGTACCACTGTAGTGGGAAGGTAAACAGCATTTCCGTGTGCTCTGGTTTCCATCACGGTGTCCCATTGCACCAGAAGCGGTTTAGTCATGCTGGCCACATGACCTGGAAAGCTGTCTGTGGACAACGCTGGCTCCCTCTGCCTGAAATCGAGATGAGCGCCACAACCCTATAGTCGCCTTTGACTGAACTTAACCATCCTGGAGTCCTTTACCTACCTTTTACCTATGATATGGTGGTATATATTCTTAAACTCTTTTGTAAAGACTCTTGATTAACCCTTACCCGCTAGCATTTCCCCCATGCAGCAGAGAGGCATGAGAAAACTACCTGCAAGTTCCTTCAGGCAGAGCTTGTGGTGTGGTACAAGTAATACTAATTTGCCTTACACACGTTTTTCTCCCAGAAACAAATTTAAGGTCCACTTGTAAAAGGATTATGGACATGGTGTCTAACCAGAACCCCTGGTTTGGGATGGAGCAAGAATATACTCTTCTGGGAACAGATGGACATCCCTTTGGCTGGCCTTCCAATGGCTTTCCCGGACCACAAGGTAAAGACCAGAAGCAGAACATGTTCTTATTCCAAGGCAAAGTTCACAAACCAAAACACCTACTTCCCGGTTTGCAGCATTCTTAATCCAAGTGGTTCATAAACTAAACTGTTCTTAAAACAAGGTACCACTGTATTACTTCCATGGTTTATGTGCCACCTTTCAAGGCAAGGCCATCAGTTTGCATAAAATAGTAACTGCACAGTTTGCCTTACTGCGTGGCTGGATGTGAGTGGTAGAGACACAATTCTTAAGGTTGCATCCACCACATCCCTCCAGGTAATATGCAAATAAGAGTCTGAGGCTACATTTGATGTAGGATTCAAAGATGGCATTTAGAAACATTTGCAAAAGAAAAGAACAGTGACCAACTTTGGCTCCACCAAATATATGAGCCGGATGAATGCCTGTCATGATTCCTGTAATGATATTACAGGAGAACCTTTGCAAAGATGTATAGTCATGTGCTGAACATGGTGGTTAGAGATGCTGACTCACCCGTGGTCTCCTCTTTCTTCTGGCATTCTGCAGGGCCATACTACTGTGGTGTTGGAGCAGACAAGGCCTATGGCCGAGACATTGTGGAAGCCCATTATCGAGCCTGCCTATATGCCGGTGTGAATATTGGAGGCACAAATGCAGAAGTGATGCCAGCACAGGTAGATATTGGAGCCAAAATCCCGAAACGAATGTTGGTCTCTCTGCCTTGGGGTTCTTTGCAGGCGTAGTAGTGTACAGGCTGTGAACAGCATCGTGCAGACCAGTTTGCGCCTCCCTTTCTCTGTGCCAATCCTGATTTGAAACTGTCTTCTCTCTTCTGTAGTGGGAGTTCCAGGTGGGCCCCTGTGAAGCAATTGACATGGGAGACCACCTCTGGGTTGCTCGATTCATCCTTCATAGAATATGTGAAGACTTTGGAGTCATTGTGTCTTTTGACCCCAAGCCCATCCCTGGGAACTGGAACGGAGCTGGATGCCACACCAACTTCAGCACGAAGCTCATGCGAGAGGAGGGAGGCCTCAAGTGAGTGTGTCTTCAGACCTGGGGAGTTTTTTCTTAGGAGAGGATTAGGAAGACAGATCTTGACAGCTTCGGGCCGTACACCTTAAACAACATAGTGCAGCCACTTGTTCCAAAAAAAGCCTTCCAAATTCTGCAGGAATTTAAAATACCCAAGCATGCAGATATATCACGACAATATACAAAACAGAAAGGAGATCGGTACATTTTAATGTGCCTGTATTTTTCTTCTTCTGGTACAGAGTATGACTAGGCAATAGAGGGAAATGCATCGTTTTGCAATAGCCTACTGCTTTGATATTATCGGCTTTCTTGAGCTGCTGTTGTTGAGAAATATCTTTGTGGTTCGGAGGCTCAAAAAAAATCTATTAAAGAATTAACTGGTGTCTGAGCACGAGTCAAGAATGGGGCTGTGTGCATGTTGCAGTTCTATGGGTCTGGAGAGGTGCCAAATGCAGCAGTGAGCACAACATCCAGTTTCCCTTTTAAATGCACACATGCTATTTTATTATATTTTTTATGATTTTTTAGAATAGGTGGACTTCAGCCACCAAATACTAGATTTGCTTTCTGTGCTTCTAAGGAATTGCAGCGCACACACACACACACACACACACACACACAGAGAGATCCTAACTCCAATAATAGTGACCTGTGGCCTTGAGCAAAAGTTGACTCTCCCGATGATGTGCTAATGCTGTCCTGCAACTAAAGAGATTTGGAGGCCCCTCTGGCGATCTCAGCATCCTGCCTCTTCTCCTTTCCACAGGCACATTGAAGAAGCCATTGAGAAGCTGGGCAAGCGCCACCAGTACCACATCCGTGCCTACGACCCCAAAGGGGGGCTGGATAACGCCAGGCGCCTGACCGGCTTCCATGAGACATCCAACATCAATGAGTTCTCTGCTGGGGTAGCCAACCGTGGGGCCAGTATCCGCATCCCGAGGAAAGTGGGCCAAGATAAGATGGGCTATTTTGAAGACCGCCGACCCTCCGCCAACTGCGACCCATACGCCGTGACCGAAGCTCTCGTCCGCACTTGTCTCCTCAACGAAACTGGGGACGAGCCCTTTGAGTACAAGAACTAAGTGAACTCTGTCCCACACAGGAACCCACCCATTCCCTTCCCCCTTCTGCATTTTCTAGATGTTAATTCTGAGGGCATGAGATAATACCATGTCTGTGCCTCCCCCAAATTTACCCTCTTGTTTCTTCTGGGTGGAAGAGGGAAGTCTTAGTCTCTTTCAGTGTTTATTCTGTCGTTTGAGAGGCCAGGAAAAGGAAGAGTAGGCATTAGAGGAAACAGTCCCCAGTTAACCACTATTTTTGTCTAATCCATCTGTATGTCTTGACAGGATTTCGGGCACTTCCAGGGACAGACAGCACAGTGGGGGAGGGGGGATGCTTAAGAAAAATATGTGCGAGGCCCATTTGTTGTGCTCCTCGCCCAAATGTGCCCTTTGTGAGCCCTGCTGAAAGGAACAGGAGAGAGGCAGAGTGAGGGAAGCCTTTGGCGCATCATTTGTTCACTTCAGTGGCGCTTGAGAATTGAGGCGTTCCGCAGCTCACCATGGAAAATAGGAAGGTGGCTTAACCCATACATAGCCTGGGTCCACACCCAATCTCTCTCATGGGCAGAAGGGTGTTTTAATAGCCCCTTATTATGAGATGGAGGGGCATTATGGCATGCCAACCGTGGGGCAGTGTTGGGCATTCTTGCAACCTGTGGTCAGTTGTCGTCCCCACAAGACCAAGTCTTATTCAAAAGCTGTTGCAACATGTTTGATCTGTTTTGGAAGCTGTCTTGACTTTTCTGTTTCTAACACAGAGTGAAGTAGTATTTTTATATTTTAATGCCTGAAAAGGAAAAAAAAGTTTGTGTTTCTTTTCTTTCAAAAAGGTCCACTCAATCAGCCATTTGCAAAAAGGCTGAGTTTGCTACAGGTGTCTGTTGGTTAAGACTTGCGTACAGGATCGAGGAAGGGGGTAAGGAGAAAAGATGGGGAGGGGAGAGAGAGAAAAAGAAAAAAGAGCTGCATGTTTCACCTTCAAGAGCAGCTTTGATAGCTTGTTATAAGCAAGGGGTATCCGTTTACAAGTTTATAAGTGAAAATAGGTATTAATTTTTTAATTTAAACTGGAGCCACCGGGGTTGTCTCAGCAAGGCCGCGTGCAGCTAGTTGTGGCAACAAGATACAACCGTGCTTCAGACAAAAGGAGTTGGCTGGTCAACTTGAACCATGTTATTTGACAAGTATTTGGCGGGGGGGTGGGGGTGCGGGAGCAGGGTCAAGGAGTGTGTTAAAATCTCCAGTAGGATTTGCATGTTGGCTTTTGATGACTGCACCAATGAAGGAAGAACAGGTGGGAAGCGAGGTTTTTAGAGATTTTTAAATAACATGTTTTTAGGGGTTTCTAAAGTTGTACAGTTTGGCAGAGGCCACCGCTGCTCCTGTTAGGTACATCCTGGTACATCCAGAAATGCTTCTGCCAGGACTCCACTAATAAAACAATAGTTGCGCTCAGAGGTAATAATGCTAGTGGGTTCAAACGTTCCGGGATTTTGTACGTTGGTATCTTGGATGGTGCCAATCATCTTCCGCTGCATTTGGACTTGAAAATAGGGTGGGGGTTTTTGTAATAAAAATTTAAAAATCAAACCTAGTTGCAATTTTCTGCCTCCCTCTTTTCCATGTCTGCCTGTGTGTACTTGGCTTAATTCATACTGGGAGTGGGAAACCTCAGCTGCCAGGGGCATTCGTGGCTGCTGCCCCTGCGCACAGCAGCAGTTCTCACCAGACAGAGTACTTGCCCCAAACCTGGATCTAGGCAACTGTGTGCCTACATCTTTCCTTTAACCAAACAAAATCAACATTTTTGTCATCGAGGAGAATCCACTGAGCAATATGCAGAAAAAAATTCCTCCCTACTGAGTAACATAAACTCATCCATCAGGTTATGATTAGTCAGCATGACTTTGAAGAGCAAAGAGACTCCCCACAGAGATGGGTCTGGCCCCATGCAATGTTTACCAGTGCCGAAGATGCACCTCTTTAGGCTTTTATGATTTAAATTTATTTTAAACTGTTTTTAATGTTGCATTCTAGATTATTGTAATCCAACCTGGGACCTTAGAGTGAAGGGTGGGTGATAATAATAATAATAATAATAATAATAATATAATATAATGGTGATAATAATAGTTTAATAATACAGATTAATATAGGCCAAAGTGTGCTTGTGCTCACTTTCTCATATGATTTGATGGCCTAAGAATGCCCAGATCAGGCTAATGTTCTCCTTAAAATGTGGTGCTCAGAACTGGACACAGTACTTCACTTGTGGCCTGACAAGTACATAATGGAGTGGATCTATTACTTCTTGTGATCTGGGCTCTATGCTTCTGTTAATACAGCCCAAGGCAGTGATAGCTGTTAAAAGCATGCACATTTCATTGCTGGTTCATTGATGCACAGTTTGTGATCAACTAAGATGCCAAGATCCTCTTCATATGTGCTGCTGCTAAACCAGGTCTCCACCATCCTATACTTAAAACCAATGGTACCTAACTTCAGGTCTTTACATTTATCGCTGTTGAATTTCATCATCTTGGTTTCAGCCTAGTGTTCCCACTTGCCAAAATCATTTTTAATTTTGGTTCTCTCTTCCATGGTGTTAGCTATGCCCTTATGTCACCTGCCTCTTTGAATTAGCATTGCCCTCTTGTCATTTATAAAAATGTTGAAAATCACAGAGCCTGGGATAGCAACCTGTAGCGCTCCACTCAGTGCAGCCGTCCCCAGCCTGCGGCCCTCCAGATGTTTGGCCTACAACTCCCATGATCCCTAGCTAACAGGACCAGTGTTCAGGGATGATGGGAATTGTAGTCCAAAACATCTGGAGGGCCAAAGGGGATGCCTGACTCAATGCATCTCCCCCATGTTGACACAGAGCCATTAATGAGCACTTGCTGGGTATGGTTGTGTGAATCCACTTATCAATAGTCTCATACAACCTACATTTTACCATCTTTTCAACAATTATCCCTTGGGAGACTGTCAAACGTTTTGTTGAAATCAAGACGGCCACAGCATTTCCATGACTGGTAACTTTTTTTTTAAGGGAGACGAAGGTTGGTCTGGCATACTTTATGCTAGATAAACCAATGATGTTTCCTAGTGATCAATGTTCACAGACTTACAGTTTAATCACCTGTTCTAGAATTTTACCCAGTGTTGACATCAGGCAGGTTGGTTTCTGGTTTCAAGAGAGCAAGACTGTCTAGTGTGGAAGCACTTTGCACTTTCTCCAAGAATTCCCGAAGATTACAGGCAGCAACTCCAGAATAAAAATCTAAAAAGCACTTCAGTACCCTGGGATGAAATTCATAAAAAGGCATCCCCAAAGGTTAAAGTGGGGGCATTGCAAGGCTAGAACAGGGCACTTTATCTTCCCTCCTAAAACCAGCCAGGCGGGGGAGGGAGCAGTAGAGGGCAGGGATTGCTGCAGTCAAAAACTCCCACATATTCCCTGACTGCAACTTTTTGGGGTGGCACCATATGAACCATCTGCTCTCCTGGAACTAGCCTCCCTCACACATAGTTTGAGAACCACTACAGTGAGTAACTTCCAAGGAACCCCAGAGTTACCTTGAAAACAGTACGAAAACCACTGCTACATTCCATTCCAGTAACAACAATAAAATAACTTACATAAAGTCAGAAAGGATAGGGAGTGAGCAGTGGAAGTAAAATATATCTATCTGACTGAAAATGAAATTGTATGCTTAGAAGTGTTTTGGAAGCTCTTACAGTTGGAGATGGACAATTCATAAGTTGGATGGACTCTGACACAATGTTTCTCGCAGAGTTCCACAAGTGCGTTTGGGGGTTTGCACCATGCACAATATAAGCAGATATTTCACTTGCAGACATTCTTATCTCAGGAGCGTTGTGAACCAGTTCTTAGCTGATAAGTTGTCTTTAGACCAACTGGTTAACGGATAGTATGCGGCTTCTAATTTAATCTATCACCTAAATCTCTATGGATGCCTTTCTGAGATACTGAAAGAACTGAAAGGCAACTAATAAGCAATAATAAGCAAAAGGCTATCTTTCAGCAAAACAGTAGGACCAACCAGCTGAAACTTTAATGGATTAATCTATTGGTCCAGAATTGCAACTTTTTTAAAAAAAATGTATTTCCAGAAGCTAGGTTATTTAAAAACAAATTTGGATACTGCAAGATTAAAGCCACAAAACCAGAAACATTCTGCAAGATTGGAACAGCAAACAAGAGCATTCTACACTACAACATTTTGTTGCAGATTCTACTTAACAGCTCCTGATCATCTTCACCTTAGTATAATCTTCCGTATTTTCTTCTGTTGCATCTAAGGTGTTGCTTTTTCCATATTTTTCCTTCTTTTTTTCTTGATGGGGCTTGTGGGAATGGAAGTTTAGCAACATCTGGAGGGCCAAACATTCCCCATTCCTGCTCTAATAATCCATAGTTTCCTGTTTAATCTGAACTGGGAAACTATGGTCACCAGCTTTGGAACAAGCCAGGATATCTAGCCAGCATCAAAAGATGGCTTAATACCCTGGCTTTTTCCAAAGCAGCTAACCACAGTTTTTTTTGTTCTGATGAAGAAGGAAACATTAGTTGATTAGAGGTTTTCAGGTTTGTTTACTCAACTCATGAAGGGGCAAATGAAGGGGCTGCATGTGTGTTTTGTTAAGATGAGAAGCATTATCATCTGAAGATCGATCATCTTTGTGTTTTAGGCAATAGGAAAACTCTGTATGTGGTGGTTGACCTGTGATGGCACATTCACATCTGCAAATAATCGTCTGGCACTGTAATTCTCAAGTGATGAACATGTGTGTAAACCGGCCATGAAGATTATGGCTAGGCACTTACACATCCCAGTGCACAGGTGGCGCTGTGATCTAAACCACTGAGTCTCTTAAGGGGCTTGCCGATTGTAAGGTCGGCAGTTCGAATCTGCGTGATGGGGTGAATTCCCGTTGCTTTGTCCCAGCTTCTGCCAACCTAGCAGTTAAAAAGCCTACCAGTGCAAGTAGATAAATAGGTACTGCAGCGGCGGGAAGGTAAACAGAGTTTCCATGCGCTCTGGCACTTGTCACGGTCCTCTGTGTGCCAGTAGCGATTTAATCACATGGCCCGGAAAGCTGTCTGCGGGCAAATGCTGGCTCCCTTGGCCTGAAGTGAGATGAGCACCGCACCACATAGTCGCCTTTGACTGGACTTAACCATCCAGGGGTCCTTTACCTTTTTTACCTAGGCACTTATATAGAACCAGAGGCAAGACAGTTAAATATTCTCAACATTTGAGCATTAAACACTTGTCCTTTGTTGTGACAAAACAAAGGCCTACATTAGTCCTTGATGTGATCTTGATCTTCTTAATCCTACCAAAACTGACATTTTTCAAACAGTTTGGGTAACACAAGGATTTTGCACTATAAGCACCACACAAGTAATACATATACAACCACTGAAGGATTAGGTTCCCGCCAAACAATGCAGTTTTGCTGCTCTTTATGTAACCCACTTAGGTGCAGCAAATTATGTAAATTATGCCCACACAAGAGATTGAAATCAAGAAGCAAAGCACTTAACACACTGTGTAGCTCTTACCTAACAATAAATGGCCACTGCTCTGTGTCTCTTACAAGTACCTACACTCTTTGCAGCTATAAACGAAGCACTTTGGTTCCTATTTTCATGCCGTTACACAGCATCCTGAAAAGGTTTTCAATGAGGCAAAGGTATACACTAAATCAGGGGTCAGCAAACCTTTTCAGCAGGGGCTGGTCCACTGTCCCTCAGACATGGGGGGGGCAGACTATATTTTGAAAAACTTATGAACAAATTCCTATGCCCCACAAATAACCCAGAGATGCATTTTAAATAAAAGGACACCTTCTACTCATGTAAAAACATGCCGATTCCCAGACCGTCCAGGGGCCGGATTTAGAAAGCGATTAGGCCAGATCCGGCCCCCGGGCCTTAGTTTGCCTACCCATGCACTAAATAAATAAATATTGCTTCCACAAAGCAACTTTTTACATGACGCCCATTCTTTAATTCCTAAGTTTTCATCCCCAATTGAAATAAATCTGAAGTCTGTGTTAACTTATTTTTCTTACTTTTGTCCCTTGTTATCCTCGCCTCTTCATCCCAGATCATAAATAGCTTGCTTGGGGCAGAGACCTGTCTTTTTATATTTAACAGTAAAACATCATATACAGTGAGGGAACCCCCTCCTCCTCATCTCCCCCCTTTTTTCTTTTTATTTTCTTCTTCTTAATTGTTTAAACTAATTTATAAACCAAGAACTTATACATTGACCACTAATAATGAAACATATGCTGCAGATATTTTTCCACATTATGCTATTTTTGTGATATACAAATGACATGAGAAAACTTGGTATACTTGTTTGTATGATATTATTCTTGTTTATACCCCCCCCACACAGAGTTGTGTTGTTGTTTTCTCCGGGGTGCTCACCAACACCTTTTTCCCAGAAGAAAGGGACTGAGTGAGGGTATTGTTGAACTAATCTGAGGCTGTGTGCACACTGGACCTTTAAATCAGACATTCCCAATTAGCAGGCCCTCTGTTTTTCACAAGCCAAGCCATGGACCCCCTACTTTTGAAAATGTTGGTATTGTTCTGTGAATGGTGCCATGGACATCCCAGATGGGTGACACAGACTCCCTGGAATCCAGGGACCACCAGTTGGGAACCACGACTTTAAAGCATATTCAAGGAATTCTTTCCCTCAAATGATTTTGGGCACTGTAGTTTACCTCTTCAGATTTACAGGAACCCTGAACAAACTTGGCTCTGCTTGGTCTACTCCACAGGTGGCTTCACAGTGCTATGAACTGGCAATTTTGTGAGAGAGGTTACCAATTGCATGCTCTCTCGCTCTCTGCCATATATTCCACGATCCAATTACAGGCATCCATATTTCTTCTCTGAAGTTAAAACAGAGGCCATGGTAATACAGCTACTTTCTAGAACCTAGAAATACGAGCTTTTATTCTCCCTTTTG